AGAGGTCTTTGATCCAGTTTGATAGATCGTAGGGATAATTATCAACATTGGATTATGATATAGTTGAGTCCAATATAATATAATTAGACAATATATCGTATGTTCACAAGATCTTTTTTGTTAAAAACTGATTTTGGTAGATCGTTGGTAATTTTTTTGAAAGAAGTAAAGTTGTGAAAGATCAATATGTATTTAATAATAAATACAATATATACTATTTGCATGGGTTTTCAATAAACGAGAAATCCAATTTACTAAATACTTAAAACATAACAACGTTAGACTTTAAGTCTACTATAGTTCAGGAGATACCATATTAGCATCCCTGAGACTCTAATCCCAAATGTTAAATCTACAAAACTATATTTCCATAAACAATTAAGATTATTTAAATTAAATATCATTTTAAATATTTTCATAGGATAAATGCTTGATCATAAACAGTAGAAAGATGGTATAGTGTTTAACATAAATCTATTTATCAAAGTCTTCTTTGAAATGAAAAACGTAAGCAGATTTTTCAAATTTGCGGCTTTCACTGCATATAGAACATGTAGATTATTTTTGAATCGATCTTGTTTTCTGGAAAATAATTTTGTATTATTAGGCACAGAATATTTCTCATAGTTCTCTGGAAACTGTCCAATATATCTTTTCCCATGAGTAGAGCAAAAATTATTTCCCATGTCAAATGATTATATGAACAATTTATACTTAATCCACCAACTATACCAAGGTAAGCAAAACAATGAGCTCTTTCTAAAAAGTTTCTGAAACATATATATCACTATCTCTTTCTTTAAATTACAAAATATGAGTGAACCACAATTTTCGAAAGAATAAAAATAACAACGATAGAGTTATTTATTTCGTGATAAATAAGTCAATAAATTTAGACCATTTTCTTTTCATGTGTAGGATGTAGAAAAGATGTAAACAACATAAACATAATACACTGGATTAATCTGATTCATCAATGGTTACTCTATCACATCTTATATTTACGGTCACATTTTTATGTTTATTATAGTGATATCATCTAGTAAATTTTATTGCTCTTTTAAACCTATAACATACAATGTTATTTACTGTATCTGCCATAATGATATCAACATGTATCTTTACTATGGATTTATACATAGTAGACTAAGCTCATATCAACCACTATTTCTTTCAATTATGTTTTCATTCTTGAACTGCTTACTTCATTTAGATATTAATAACTGGTAGATTGTATGGTATCACTCTTAAACTATGAACTCCTCATTAATATACAACTTCTCTTGATATTATGTCTTAAACAAGAATGATACTACACAAACACATTACACTTAATTACTCTTAGCATCAATTATCATTATCTTTTCATTATCCACCAATCTCTTTTCATTCAGATTTCAATTGTCAATTTTTCTTGTTTCAAAATTTGAAAAAATAGTTCGAAAAAAAAAAATCAATTACAATAATAACCACACTCATCGACAACCATATAAAATGCAGATCCATCTAACCATAAATAAACAGTTACGATATGTTTACTATATGGTATAACTTTGAACATTGCTAAACCACTATTTAAGATGGTATAGTTACACCACTGTATACTTAATAATCATTCATAAGTAGCTATAGAGAATATTCTCAAAAGAACTTACTCCATACATATATTGTAACTAGGGAAACTATTTATTAAATACCACTTTCATTTACTGTTATACTACTACTTTCATAATAAATATGACTATTTAAGAATTCTCCAATAACACATGAACACTATCCCTTACTAATATTTTCAATATGAAAAATATAATTATATCTTCTATATCACTTCATTATCCATCAAATGATAGTGTTATAATAATTTATGATCACAGAAAATAGCCTTTTGAAATTAGCACATCATGATAACTGTTATAAACATAGATACAATTATGCTATATCCATAAACAAATTTACTATATCATCTTTTTACTTATATCTTACTGGATATTTATCCTTACTAATTCCAATCTTATTATGGATGTATTTGATTTATGTTTAATTTTCAATGCTTATGGTAATGATGATAAAAGACACATTGATTTAATATAATGAATAATATTTTGATTATATTTTTATTTCATTTTACTGTACTGCTTTCCCTGCTTAACAATTTTGTTCTATCTTTTACTCAAATGATCTTATTTTAATATTTGAAAAATAACGTAATAAAAAGAGATTTTATCTCGATCTTTGAACATTGAACAACATTTAAGAATATACTATGGTGGAGTATTAACATGTTAATCTTTCAATTTACTATTCAGAAAATCTACTTTTTTTAAGAATTAGTCTGACATTATTATGACTGGATATCTAATACTGTATATGGACCTCTAACTGCAACAAAGAATGATGAGAAGTTATTGAAATTCAAAAAAAAAAAATAAGAATTTAATTCCATTATAACTTTAAAATAACAAGACATACTTTATCTATGGATTAACATTTGCAAAAATATGAATATGTTCTAATATTGTTACATGTTCCTTATTTAAAAAGAAAGTTCCCATATTATTAAAATCTTGGGATAATTGTTATTACGATATTTTTCAAGTGTAGAGGGGAAATTTTCTTGTCTCTTTTGAAACTTTGAAATCTCTACATCCAGCAAAATACAAGAAGAGATGCCATATATTTATAGAACAAAGGGTATCTATATTACAATATAATGCATATCTGAATTATTTGTGTATAATGCTCTTAACATACATAGTAATTACAATATATCATCAGTGTGCAATTATGGGTATTTGAAAAATATCTTGACACCTCATTTTCTTACACTTTTTTTGTGTTAATCAAAAAAACTTTCATTGCTTTGAATATTGTCGGAGTAATTTTATGGTATCTTTCTGCTATTCGTGAAAATAATAGTTTTTCAATACCCTATTTCATTTAGGGTCAGATATAATGTTACAAAAATAAAAGAAGTAGAAGTGGAATCATTAGTTAAAAATGAAGGCTATAGGAGTTGACATATTTATGTAGATGTATATATATACATATATGTAGTTAATTGACTTAAGAGACAATGATGTTATCGAACTAATATATATATATATATATTATTTATTTTCATCCCCGTGTGTACGTATATATATGGGAAAGAGAGGAAATAATAAGGGAATATAGAAAGAAAAAGATTTAAGACATTCTTGCTTCGCATTTAATGATCACTCATCTAGTCAAGTTCTCGAATACTAACATAGGTAGAGAAATATTATAATAGTTTTTAAGATATGTGTCAATCCTTTTATTATGATCTTTGAATTAAACTAGCATTAAATCTTCATAATTACAATTTTTCTTGATTAAAAGGGGTTTAAAATACGTATATTTCTAAAATATGATCAGTTGATTTCAAAGTTGTATGACAGTAAGTTCGCTAATCAAGATTTATTGATTAAGCATAGCCAAAGTATTTAACAAAACTGGAAAACAAGAGTCAAAGGAAAAAAATACACAATACATATAATATTAGGGTATTATATATGTTTAGATAGTAGTATTTAATTATTTAACTATTTAGAATTATTTCTTTTAGAATTCCTTACCTGCATTCGATTTAAATAATCATAAATAATAATAGACCAACAAAATGGGCAACACTCCATTTCATTTATATGGTGCTACCCTTACCCTTATATGATGCAAGAGAAGGTGCACTTGCATGAGAGGCTGTCATAGTGGCTGGCGATGAGGAGAATTGCTCAGAAACGAATTGGGAAACTTGCGGCATCTTTGTAGTTAGAGATGTTTCTGGTCTTCTGGATTCAACAGTACTAGTTTCCGAAGTAACATCTATGTTACCCCTTGTAGAACCAACAACAACAGTGGTAGATTCTCTGGAGTTTCTAGATGTTGGTTGATTTTCATTGTTGGTAAACACTGTGCCAGTAGTGGTAGAAGCAATAGAAGTAACTGGAGTTGCATTGAACACAGCAGAAAATGAGTTGGTCTCTTCTTGTTGGTTCTTTGAATTAGTATAAATAGGTTTAATAGAACCATGTCCAATAATAGCAGTCATACTTGTTTCAGAAGTTTCAGATGGTTCTGGACAATAAGTTGTGGTCATAGTGACTCCATTAACAACCGTAGTCAAAGCAACTAAAGTACCAGTTAAAATAGATCCAGTTTCTCCAACATGAATAGTGGAGCTTCCATATATTGGAGTCTCGACTACAACAACACCAATGACTTTGGTACTGCCGTTGGAGTCGGTGGTGTAGGAGATGTATGAGGAAAGACCAGAAGCTGCACTTACTGAGCCTGCAATGTATACAGTGACAGTACTTTGAACCGGAGTGACAACAACAACAATGTCAACTTCGCCGCTGCTGCCGTTGGCGTCAGTGGTGTAAGATGTAATTGTGGATTGAGCAGAAACAGAGCCTATGATGCCTGGGATTGTAGGAAGTGATAGCACTTAGTTTTGGTGATGATGATGAAGTAATAAAACTGGAAGAATCCCAAGTAGATGGTATAGAACTAGTGGAGTAACTAGAAGAGACACTTGAATATGCAGATAATGAAGAGGAACAGGATGAAGTGGAGTTAATAATAGGTATTCAAGGAGCTGGATTACATGGCATACAAGCGCTAGGAAAACCGTTTGGAGCAGTTGCATTATATATTAATGCGTTATTGATAAAATTAAAACCAACATAGTTATCTACAGTTTTCACCGAAAATCCACGCTAGTTATAACCAGTACCAATATTAATTTTATGAATAGTGGCCTCACTGACTGTCAAAATACCAGTACCTGGATCATAATCATAACCTGCTATTACAGTACGAAATGTCAAATAATTACCATTACCAAAACCTCTGACATATATATTATCTGTGTTACCATATGAGCCTATATAAAGCATTGAGAAAGGAGAGCTTAAATATATAGTTCGTGGACCGAGTACACCAGAGCTTGATGCATCCGTTATAACATATAAAGAACCTTAACCTATTGTAATACAACCGTCGCCTGCTATGGAAATTTCCAAAAATGCCTTAACATTCTTCAAACAAATAGTACCAATATTAATAACAGATCCTGATGTAAGGTGTACAATATTAGTAAAATTTGAAGATACATTTTGACCAAAAGACATTAAACCAGTATTGGTTAAAGATATACTTGAATCTAATGTGAACCTGCTAGAACTGCTATTCAAACCATCAAAATACATTTTTCCATTATTAGTAATTGGGAAACCACTCCATGATACAGTCATTAAATCAGTTGTAACATTCTTACCATTAACCACAATCAAACCGTCATTTGTAATAGTTGAACCACCAAATGTAGAACTAAATCTATTATCATATGAATTTAAAGCCCCGACGAAAAGTGAACCCTTCACGAACAAGTCCTTGGTGAAACTGTAAGAGTTTCCGTTTACTAACGCCAAAAATAACTTTTATCAATGGTAAGGGGGACAGAGAAAGAAATATTGCCTAAATAAGTGTCAGAAGAAATTGTTACAGCATCTGTAGAGACGAGTAAAAACATAAAAGGTACCAAAATACCTTTAAAAGAACTTATCATTTTCATTGGGTTTAGTTGATTGATACTGCTATTCCTTTAGTAGCGTAATGATACGTGTCATTTCCATAATCCTACAGAGAGAGCAAATCAATGGGAAGTTAATTATCAAAACGCTGATCATACATAAATATATTTATAATATATAATTTTTATTAGGGATGATTAATTAGTTGTTTATAATATAGCATTTATGATTACATAGTGTATTTTTGTCTTTTTGTCCTTATCGTATCTTTGAAAAGAATAAATAATCCATTAACAAAAATATTCTCGTTAATATTACTAGTATCATTATTATTCAAAAGGGAATAAGAAATTGCCTACCACAAGAGATAGTTAAATCTGTCCACTAACTTATAATTAACATGCTTAAAGTGAAATAACATTATAACTAAGGAGAACTATCGGTATTTATTATTTACCAGTAATTAAATCTTGGGCTTTTTGAAATACCTAATACCTCCTATAAAAAAGCAAATGTCACAGTTAGTGGATAAAAATAAATAGTGTTCATTGATCTGATGAACATACTTTGTTTATGTAGAATAGTAGATAATCCCACTAATTTTTCCAAAGTTAATATAAAAAAACAACATATCTAGCTTTCGGTAAATAGTGGTATTTGTATTTAATACTGTCAAGACTTAACATATTAGTAAAATAGATTCTGGTTTATTAGAAGCCTATTCAAAGAACGTACACAATTATATAGTATGTTCATCGATAAATACAAATTGATCCTTTATCTTTTTAACTCTCTTCTTGAAACCTTTTCCTCTTGAAAAATATTTTTTTAACTATCATTCTTGACGACATAATAAAAAACAGCCTTTTTAATAAAGAGACTTAATTGGAAATACATTGTTAAAAGACCCTGTTACTTTCATTTAAAGTGACATTGACACCTTCGTATTTTCGAATGTGTGCTCACCTAGTGTAGAAGAGATATGTATCTAATTGTGTCTTATTTTACTAGGCCTGCTGAGCTCCTTGAGTGAAAATTACAAATAAACACTAGTATTATACAGGAGAACAAAGAGAACGTATTGACTGTCAATATGTCATTAGAAAAATTGTAAAAGATTAATTGTAGAGTAACTATGTTCGTGATAAAAATAAAATTAACAAAGATAAATATCTAATAGTACGTTAGTAGAAATATCATACAGTAGATATGCTTAATGGTGCAGTTTGATTATACAATCATCATAATATGTTAAATTTAAAAGAATATTCTATATGAGTTTAAATTATGTGAAAAGTCTGGTATATCAAGATAATGGAAGAATGATGATAAATCCTGTTTAATGTTTTGAAAGAGTTTGGATAAAATGGAACAAAAGTGAGGGAAAAGGGCACTATATTAATATATGGGTGTTAAATTTCAATGGATTATACGAAAGGGGGTCGTAGGTAGACGTGATTAAGATGATACTGTAAATAATGGTTATGATTGTTTGTTAATGCTAAAATAAGGTGTTAAGAAATTTTTTTCATTTTATCAGTACATTTATCTCTAAGCATGGGCTTAGAATGGCAGATTTATTAAGAATATTTGTTAATAAACAAAATACACAATATGACATAAAATATAATAAATTGATTTGCAAGCACTTAAGTACGAAACCAATTTTTTTTCTGGTAATGTTATATAAAGATTTTCACTATAAAAAATTTATTCTCTTTTTTTTGTATTATCTTTGATGTTACTTTGAATGTAGAATGTAATTATTGAACTGAATGGATAAAAATGTTTGAAATTTATAGAATTTAGTGTTAAAATCACTGATCTTTAACAAACAGTGCTTTTTTAGGATAAGGAAAAAATTATCAAGGTAAACTTTACTTGGACAAAAGAAATAAAATTAACTAATATTGTGTATTTTCATGTTCCATTATTGACATTGTTTCATCATCAATAGAAATACATGGTTTGGAGCAAGCTTCTGGTGATATCCATATTGGTAGAATAATGAATATTATTAAAATGAATACAATCCCATATGCAACAGAAACATAGTTCATATTAGATGGCACAACAGGTAATGAGTATGGGAAAGAGAGGAAAACCAGACAGAAAATAGCCCACATCATACAACAGATGTGTGGGATAATTGAAAAGCTTGGAACTTTATAATGTGAAAGATTTTCTCTCTCAATAATGGCCTTTACAAACTTTTCCCTATCAGTGAAAAACACAAATATAACACTTGGTACTGCATATGATATCATCAATAAAGTGATACATGATGTGATAATAGCATTGAAAGCGGTATCAGATCCCATAAAGATACAACCTATCACAACAACTCCGAACTGTGAAATGAAGTGACTGTATAATGGAGATTTAAAATTTTCTGTCAGAGTCCCGATTTTTTTCATTAAATTGGAATGTAATGAGTTTGGTACATAACTTTGACCAAACATCCTTCCAAAGGACCATAAGATCCTACTTTGCCATGTCCCACATGCTATCCCACAAATATAACCTGTAGTGAAACAAAAACACTGTAGTAATATAGCTAAATTTTTATTGTGACATGCTTGATAGTAGATTTCAAGAATTGGGAAAAATGCTTTTGTTACAGATTCTTTATTTGTAATACAAAAGAACATACCAATTGCATACACAAAACTTGTTATGAATCCAACTATCACTGTTAGCTTCATAACTTTGGGCACTAAATAACGAGATTGAAAGTGTCCAACTTCATCCACCATGTGCGATACAGAATCTATTCCAACAAATCCCCACATAGGATTAATCAAACCAACAATAAATGCCATTCCCTTTGAATTCCAGCCTGTGTTATTTTCAAAATGGCCAAAAATATAGTGTGCAGAAAACCAAGGTTCTTCTGTGTAATAAGAACGAGTCACTAAAGATATGACCAAAGTTAACCCGAATGCAGCAAGAGAGATATAAAGACCCAATTGTCCAATAGTAGGAAGTGGTCCTGACCAAAGATTAAAAAATGTTAAAGTAACATTGATACATTGATAGCAAACAAATAGATGCCATTTTTTGTATTCATAATTTTTATGTAGAAGACTATGCATACCTATGCAATTCATTGCAAGTGACGAACAGATGCTGGCTGCAGTAAACATTGCACCAAAATAATTTAACATTGCAACGAAAACAGAAGTGGACACTTGGATTCTTGAACGCCAAGTGGGTTTTTGGACACTAACAAGGGTCTCTACATACGATTGCTTTACATCTATGTTTTCATTAGAAATTAGTGTTGTGTGATCGTTTTCAGTTTGCTGTTCTAATAGTTTATAAGTCCAAAAACTAACCCCGCAACTATCCGGTATAAGATATGCAAACTGTCCAAGCGAAGTTGCACACATACAACTAAAGAATAGAACAATTAGAAGACCATATATGATTAATAATGGACCACCGCTAGCTAAACCAACACCTAACGAAGAAGATATACCTATCCATGAACAACTTAAGGAAAAAGCTATACCAAATAAAGAGAGCCAAGTGAATTTTTTCTCAAACACAACGTTTCTGTCATCCAACATCCTTAGTATTGTTTGGTTTTGTTGTTTTATATTTTATACAACATCAAAATGATTTAAGAATAAAAAGAAAATAGTTTTTATATTAGTTCTAAGTCAAATAACACTAAAACAATCTGTTTACCTATATATGTTTATATATTCATATATGTGTGTGATTGCTCGGCTGAAACTAATATTTGTTAATCACATATTCTAATGATGGTAGTTTTTCAATGACTTGGATACACATCTCCAGATTATCACAGATTGGAACTTCTGTGATTATATTAATACCATATTGTTCTAATAATTGTCTATTATTTTTATTGGCTTTCCCATTTAAAATACATCCCAATAAATTTTTCTTTGAGACTTTTTGTTTTAAATGTTCCCAAGTTAACAAAGAATGATTTAACGTTCCCAAACCAGAGTCAGCAACCACAATAACATAGAATGGTCTTGTAGTAGATTCAATTAAATGCGTGATTAGATCAGTGGTAATTTCTAATTTTTTGGTGATGGGGACATAGACTCCACCAGCACCTTCAATAATAAGTGGAGCCTTATTCGATCCATCTGGAATTTGAAAGTCTTCCAACTTAATGTCTTTATTGTTATCGTTTGACTCGTATTCCATGGCAGCTAGAGGTGATAACGGTTTCTGTAGTTCGTATCTCGGAGGAAACACCAAGGTGTTCCATTTCCCGATCGGGTAATGAGTCACTGTGAAGGTGTCCCCACAATCAGATTCTATTCCTGTTTGTACCGGTTTCCAATAGTTGCAGTACCAACCGTACACTAGCAGTTTGGCTACAAAAGTCTTGCCAACATCTGTTCCAGTCCCTGTGATAAAAAAGATGGGTTGTTCAGTCATGACCTACTTGTGTTGATATTAATTCTACTTGTGTTTCTGTTTGAATTTTTTTTTTTCAGCAAGTACTATGAACTTAATATGACTTTTATTAGTGTTATTCATTTTTTTTAACTATGTTATCCTTCTGTTTAGCTTGACAGGTAAATATTATAAACAAAGTACAGTGCTACTCTCCTAAGGGGATTTATTCACAGGTGTTGAGTAGTAGGTAAGTTTGACAAATTTAGAATATTCACCATTAATGCGTAAAGTATCTCAAATATAAGCATGCTAAACTGTTTTAGAATTGCTTGTAAATTCATAAAAACAAATAACAACTAATACAGTAAAAGATTGTACATTATACATATTACTTTGTTTATATATTGCTTGGTTTTACTGTAGAGTTGTTCAAAAGGCTTGATTTGACAAAAAAAGAAGACGGACTCTCGAATGCTCTTTTTGAAGTGATCGGAAGAGTGAGATGGTCCAAAGAAAAAGAAAACTAAAATGGAAGAAGAAAGAGGTTAGTAAAAGTGGAAATGTACGTTGTAGAAAGAAAGCCATAGACTTATAACCAAAGTACTGCCACTTTCAACCTGTAACAAATTTCCAGATTATTTGGTTAAAGACTAGTGTTGGAATTTGCTAAAGATTTGTATTTCCCATGGAGCTATTCTAGCACCATCAATGAGACTGAAGGGTTTTAATACATAGTCGCTTATACTATATACATGCAGATATTTTGTTATTGTTACAATAGATGCATAGGTTTATAGATCAGACGTCATGATCAAAAGATTGCTTGATAAATTGGAAAGTAGGATTGATTATCTAGAAATGTTGATTGGTTCATGGGACTCTCAGCTAGAAAATCAAAAAAATATTTTGACATCGCTTGATTTCTTGGAAGAAGCGATAGCATCAATCTATTTAGATAACTTTCAGTTAAGTGATGATGTATATCATTCTTTGAATAGTATAATATCTCTGGAAATGACAGACCTGAACAAGGACCATCATCAGGAACATTTGCACTACTGCATCTCCTTGTATTATGAAGATATGAAAATAATGAATGAAAAACTAAAACAAATAGATGACCTTTACTGTAATAGATTTTTGAAAAATATAGAGAGATTTAACGATATTCCTTCCAATCAACTACTCATGGTTTCAAATCTCACAAGAAATTATTATAGATTGAGGCAAATTGTGATGACTCAAAACCGCTTGGTTCTACAAGCAATCAGTTTGGTAAGAAAATTTATAGATAAATCATTAGTGACTACTGATTAAAAGGTGTATATACTTATTTATTTGCAGGTTATATATACATTGATCCTATTTGAACCCAAGAAAAGTAAATGTTATTCAAGAAGTACTATTCCCTGGTTTCATTTGTCGTTTCCTTTTTTCTTTTGCTAAGTTGTGTGAAAAAGTACTAAACTGGATCGATTTATGTCTTGTAGGCATAGTCATCTTTTGAGATAGACAATTTTATTTGTTAATTTGGTGCTTCTTAAGCATATTCAGAATATCTTTAGTGGTGTATAAAGAATAATAGCATCAACAGTTTCGTATCTTTAAATATATCTATAAGTTTCCACTATAATTTATTTTTAATGAGTATTCTAAACATAGTTAATGATAGGCCTATAAGGCAATGAATAGGCATTAGTAGCTAAATTTTTATTTTGTAGTTCCTTTAATAATCATTCATGTAAGGTTTAAATTCAAATAGAATCAAAGACAACTGTTCCAATTGTGGAACAAATATTATATAAAGTATACTTTAATACAATAACCATTGTTTTATTCTCATGGGAAATTGTTTCTTACACAAATTCTTCTGCTGAGTACGTAATTAATGTGGTACTCACATTCTAAATAGGTAATATCTCCGATTATCTTTCTTTTATTTTTTCGATTAATACGATATGACATTATCCACGATTATACAATATTGAAATATTTCTTGTCACTTAACAACACGAAGAATTAGAGGGGAATAATAAATGATAAATATTTGTTAATCTCAACCTATAATAACATCTATATTCTGTACAAATTATGACTTCTTTCATATATGTTAACATGATTCTAGGGAAAGAAATTATAGTGTGACCACTTAACTTAATTAATATCTGCTTTTTCAGAGATGTCTTCTGAAATATTATAATGATCATATAATGCTAAAATAGGATATATGTGATGTATAACTAATGAAGAATAAGTTGGACTATTCTTATTATTTGCCAAGAGGTAAATCAGATAGTAGAAAATGAAATAAAAAAAGAAGAGAAAAAAATGTCATAAATTATATTACCAAAATAGATGCATTATGTTTCTATGTCGTTTCAATTATTGATTGTGCCTTTAACATTGAAATATTTTTTTAAAAGATATTAATTGGAAGAATAACTAGATGAATTAAAGGTTTAGGCCTATTTTTTCGTGAAAAATTTTGGTATTCCAAGATAAATTTGATAATTGTTTAAAATACACAGATATTATTTTAATCATAATAGAATATACCAAAAAATCCCTTGTTTTACCTTTCTCTCTGATATTATTTTAAATAATTTACATAAAGAAGGAGAGAACAAATATTTATTGGAAAATTTGTTTTAGCAATATCTAGTTACAAAACTTGTAAGACAAATTGAAAACAAATTGGAATGGTGACTTTTCTGATTCTTTTGTTTGCAAAGTTCACAAGAATAAATCAAAATAAAAAAAGCCTTGAAATATATAGTTATTAATACTTGTGTGGTTTTTGTTTTTAGTTTTCTTTGATGTTGTTAATATGCATAAAAATAAGGATATATCAGCAGACAAGTAATAAAAAGTGATTTTATTACCATATTATGTATAGTAGTATTCTTTACGTTTAATGATATATAGAAATAATTTGAGACAAAAAGGAAAAGGGAATAAAGAAAGTTGTGATATTAGTACATGAAATAATTTTGGTTTTTGTCATTACTTGCATATAATTATTTTATTAACAATTATAAGAATATGACAAAATAGTATATGTAGTTTTTTATTCTTTTTACTGTCGAACATATCATTATAGTCAGTACATCTAGATTAATCAACTCAAATTAATTTTATTGTTCTTCCTAATATTACCAATATTGCTTGATCAACAACATAAAAACTAATAATAGCAGAAGAGGATTGGCCTACGCATATACAATATATCACTTTGTTATGTCAGGATAAATTTTGGACTTTATTCGTTTGGCAATCTAACCAAATACACGCTAGTAGTTAAAGAAATCTATAAATATACTTGTATTATTATCCTCACAGCCATATCAGTTATAATGGCGAATTAAAGTAAATATTTATATATCTACAGTTGATGGCTTTTAAGTCCTTAAAAGATCTGCAAATAAAAAATATGTATCTGAAAAAGCAAAAAAAATCAAATATTGATTGATTGTTGTAATAAATATACAACAAAGTTTAACTTAATGTTATTATTATTTTTGTAATTTCAATCTTGACTTGTAAGATCAAAAAATTGGGAACAGATAAATCATTGTCTTGCTAAATTGTATTTTGATTACAATTACAAATGCTGACCATATATATTATGCGAATAATCTACTATTGTCGTTCAAAATATTGTGATAGCCATTTTATACATCTGTGTAATGTCACTAGAATAAGTGGGTTCTCCTCCTCTGTATATAGAATGATTGTATTATTATTGAGTTGAACATTATAATATAAAGATTTAAAAAAAATATATATATGCTTAAAGTTAAAAAAAAAAATTATGCATTTAATGAGAACAAGTAAGATAATGAGATTCACCCTAAAGTATAGTTTTTAAAAATATATTTTTCAATTGTTCTCCCCCTCCCCCTATTAATATACTTCGTTATACCAAATAGACATATATATTTACTATTTCTGTCAAATCATACAGAACTATCTAAATATATTTGTTCTTCCTTGAAATAAATATGGAATCTTTGGACAAGTTTATTCAATGGGCAAAAGAGAATGGATCTTTGATTGACAAAAGATTATCGTTCAAGATTTCTGATAAAACCGGTATTCAAGTTGTGCTAGATTCAAAAATCGATGTGGATGACAAAAAAGTTGACAACCTACTGATCTCTGTTCCAGAAGAATTACTAATTACAAGAAAGATGGCTGAAACACATTTTCATGTAACAAAAGAAGTTAGCTCCAAATTAGATGAATGTATTACTAATCCAAACGCTATTACACAATTATATTTGAGTAAACTTAAATTTTCTGACCATGACAAAGGTGATTCAAATCAATTTTTTAAGCCGTATCTAAACATTTTATCATTGAATTTACAACAACCATATTTCTGGACTGCTGATGAATTATCCTTATTGAAAGGAACTGATTTATTGATTATTTTAAGGTCTGATTTAATTAAATTATATGACGAATGGGAACAATTACTAAAAATTTTAAAGATTGAACATAAGAAAACTGGAAAAGATTTAAAAAGCAACAGTGAGAATATTATTGTATATATCCAAAATTGTTTACATGATTTGCATATAGGTAATGTTGAATGGACTAGTTTCATTTCATATTTATGGTCCAGTTGTATCTTTAGGTCAAGAGCATTTCCAGAAGTTATTCTTTTAGATTATCAAAATGTAAATAATTTGCAGCAAGCATTCTTATACCCTATAGTTGATTTATTAAATCATAAAAACGATCAAAGAGTAAAATGGGTTTATTCAGGTGGAAGAGTCAGTTTTGTTTCTAAGGAATTACAGAATATGGAAAATGGTGATGAAGTGTATAATAATTATGGTGATAAGAGTAATGAGGAATTACTATTAGGATATGGTTTTGTTGAAGAAAACAACAATCATGAAAATTCTAGATTAACTTTAAGGTTAGGTGCTACAACCATACAATCTGCTAAAGATTTTGGCATCAAATTGACTAATATTACAGATGATAATTCCTGTGTCCAATTTATTATATCCTATAAGGACCCTTTGCCAAGAGAATTGATTTATCTTTTTGGATATTTAGAAAAGCTTAAATCTGAGGATACGTTAGTAAATAGGTCTATTTTAGAAGGTATCAGTGAATTATCTAAAATCTTACAATCAAAATTGGAATTCTTTAAGAGCCATTCTAAGACCGGTGGTCAATTTTCGCATGGTTCTGTAATAAAACAATACATGTCTTCTCAAAAAAAACTTTATATAAAGAGTATTGAGAGTTTACAAAAATTTCAGAAATCCACAATTAAGTCTATACCAAGTAAAGAGATTCTAAGTTTTAAGACTATTTTCAAAAATGACCAACTATTTGCTAATTCTTTATTATTTGCGTTTGGTATTACATCTTTTGAAGATTTGGTCAGACAGGGATATGTGAAACAAGCTTTGTTATTGTGGATAGTAAGAGCATCAAATCTAACAAAAAATTCACATAAAAAACTGCCATTTAGTGTTCCTAAGTATATCAATGACACTTTTGAAGAAGTTAGTAAGAGCATTGTCATTGAAAAGAATGATGTCATGAGATTTATGGATTTTTATAAACAATTGTTTCCAAAGTTAACGGTAAAAATCCCTGAAGTCTATAAAGAGGGAGACTGGGGGATTAGACAATTTATTGTAGCAGATACAGTAATCGATCATTTAGTATGGGTTAATCCAAATAATCAAGAACCATTAATACTTAACAAAATCAAATTTGAATAATTTTGTTATATGCATTTTTGTATATAGAATATTACTGGTATACTATAAGTTGTATAATTGTTTGATTAAGTAATTGAGTTATCTTTTAATAGATATAGGAAAGTAAATAAAACTTCAATGAATATTTTCTCTTTAATTTATAAACAATATTTTATCCTTTTGTGAATGGTTAATTGGTCTATCAAATGAATAGGGGGATAAAAACAGTAGTTGAAAATACGTTTGAGAGATGTTGATAGTGTTTGAGTTTTCAAAAAAATGATCATTCTCCTGGAATTTGAAAAGGATTCCTCTAATTGATATTTCTCATTCCTAAAAAAACTTTTGTATGTCAGGTTTTGTATATCGGCCATGGTTATAACTTTGTAAAAGATTTTGGGTACTGTAGGCGAAATATTACTTTTATATTCTGTTATTTACATAATTTAATAAGCAAGAGACTTTGAAAATTGGGATAAAATATATTGGGTCATGTACAAATTATTATTGGTTTTCTCAAAAAACTGATTCAATTGTTTGTTTAACTTTAGCGAATTTTCTTATGATTTCTTGATTTAGAGTAATTATTTTCTAATCTGCAAATACTAAGATAACAAAAAATATAAAGTATATGCAGAAATTGATTAATTTATTTTGCTATATTAGCTATATTTTCAAAACCAGATGGTGTTTGAATATTATTAATACTTTGATACGTTTTTCTAAACAAATGATATTCCTGATTTGATTATATTAGTTTTATAATTTGATATGCTGATTATGTTGGGTCGGGATCTCAAGAAGAAAATGTGTAAATTTAAAAAAAAAAATGGAGTTTTACTGATTCCATTCTAATATCAGACAATCCAAAATTTGCTTTATTATGTGATAGATCAGAATACATCGTCGGGACAATTGTTATTATCATCTACGTATTTGCTTCAGAATGACTTCTGGTATTTTGTTTTTTAATTAAACTTTTTAAATTCTAATATTTATTCTCAATATGCAAAAATTTGATACGTACTTTTTCACCCGATTGTGTAATAATAAATTGAGGTATAGCTGTTTTTTCTATTTGCAAAGTGTAATTTTTATGGATTTTATGATCAATTTGTATTGGCGATAATAATACTGCTTTGACATTTTCCCTTTTATACATTTGTAGTAAAGTCAAGACTGTCGAAGATCACAATTTTCTATCTTATTTAACTTATATTTAGGATGTATTGTAACAACCTTATAATCATGATAGATTCTATTTGATGCAATCAATATGGAAAACATCTTATATATCGGGTGTGAGATATCTTCAGGGTTATTATTTGTGATATTGAATAGATCAGAAGGCGTAATGATTACAAAGACAACATTTGATTGGATAGATTCAGGCCATACAGCATTAATTTATCGTGTTAAACTGACATTCTTAAGATAGAAACCAATTAAAAAAGATTTTATTGAAGTTTTAATAATGTATACATACATGAAAGTACAAAGAGTAGTGTAACCCAGTCGCAGTCATTAATGCAATGTGTTATATTGCTTTGGAGTATTAATGGGTGGTTGAATAATAGGATTTGATAATAAGATAGTTATAGTTTCAAGCTAATCAAAAATAAGTAAAATCTTATACTTCCCAAATTGGTTTTCATAATCAATATTATACAAAAGTAATTTTTTGATATCAGTTAGAGGTAACGTTGAAAGAGAGCCATTATGGTATATATTAACTTTATTTGAATAATCCTATTTCTTTTAATTGGAAAGTTTGGCTATACTGGCATCTTTATCTTTTTGACTTCTTCTTATTTATTGTATATTGTGTCTAATAAAATTATTCATGGGAATCTGTATCTTTTCATAAGGATTTGAAAAGTATAAACAATTATGTTGAAGTAGTTGATATGGCATTTTATATATTAAGTTTTATTTTAATGGTATAGCCTAATCATATGATGATCTATGTTTTCTTTTCTGTACTTGAATGGAACTAAAAAATCATTGAATTATTATCACGTAATGCTATTTTGGTAAACAGTTTTTTTGATGGTTTTTCAATGCTATCAATATGTGATCTGAGGATTGTGATTGTACCAAAGAAAAAGGGTGTTGTTGAGGAGAGAGCGTGGTAAAACAACCAAACTATCAGATCAGTAGAAAGTACCAAATCATATTCTATGATTTATATTGAATGTATTTACTGTGATAAATAAAGGCACAACATCCTTCAATCCATGCCTGTCTATTTTTGAGACTTAGTTGTTGGTCAAAAAAAGAAAAGAAAAAAAAAAGAAAAAAGAATAGTAGAATGCAGAACAAAATAAAAATCATTATAAGTGATGATTATAATAATTTACAATCAGTGAAGGTACTGAGCTTTATATAGGTTAAGTAAGAAGTTATAGAATTAAAAAGCAACAAGCAAAAAAAAAAAAAAAAAAGGAGGAGTGGGGGAGAAGGTAAAAAATAACATACTAAAGAAATAAAGATACAAAAGATTTAATAGAAAAAAGAAAAACATTTAAGTCTATTAATTATCTTCAAGCTTCTTGTTTGTTACCTTCTTCTTCTTCTTCAGTTGCTTCTTCGGCTTCTGATTCAGATGCAGATTCATTTTTTTCGATGTTTTCTGGCTTTATAACGGCAATATCAACAGTGATAGTTCTGTCACCTAAATCCTTACCATTAAATTCCTCGACTTTTTTGGCGATAGCATCTTCTTGGTTATCCAAATCTTCAAAAGTGATAAAAGCGATACCTCTATTTAGTGTGTCAGATTCGTAAACTTTTCCAGAGCGGAAATTTCTTAATTTTTTCATTGGTAAAACAATATTTTCCACTTTAGTGCCAAAGAATTCAGCTAATACATCCTTTGTAGTGTTGAATGGGACATTATTGACGTACAAAGTATCTTTAGATCTTTCCATTTGGTCAAGTGGGATTTTTTCTTTCTTTTGAGAGTTGTTGCCTCTGAAGCCACCACGACGGTGTCCACCTCTGAAGTTACCACGGTGATGACCACCTCTTCCATTGCCACGGTGAGATCCGCCCCTGAAATTGCCACGGTGAGATCCACCTCTAAAATTACCACGATGTCTGAATCTTCTTTGAGCAAAAGAATGTAATTCCTCACTCGTTCTTGCCTTCTTGATATGGATCTCTCTTTCCTTCAATTGGGTTAAATCGTATTTTTCTTTAACGGTCTCGAAATCGATCTTGGAAGGAAATTGAACTAGAGCATGTTTGCTTTGAGGGACATGGCCATTTGGTTTTTGTCTTGGAGTTTCTGGAATATCAATAATTAAATCTTCACCGAATTCCCCTTTAAAGATATTCTTGATATCATCTTCGGTAGCTTCGACAGCGACATTACCAATGAAAATTGTAGTTTCCGGGTCAACTAATAATTTAGAAACATTTTGAGTTTCTTCAACGTTGGCTTGGTTAGTTAATTCAACTTCAGTGGAAGACATTTTCTTCTATTCTATTTTTTTTTTCTTGTAGTTTTAATTATATATATATATATATATTATGTTTTTAGAATGTGTATGATTCGAATGATATTTGTCTGTTGGTTTCTCTTTAACTATTTATTTTTTATAAATTAAAAGAAGGAAGATAATAGCTGATTTTAATATAATTAATCGTTGGATAATCTACTTCTTCTTCTTCTTCTTCTTTTTGTTGTTGTTGTTGTTGTTTTTTTCTGTCTTTCTTTGTTCTCGATATCTATTCTATCTCAAACTTCCCTTAAAAAAGAATTACTCTTTATTTCAACAGATTCTCTTTTCACTTTTTATTTTTTTCTCTTTTGTAACTTAATCTAAATCTAAATCTAGATATATAAGGAGTATATGTTATACAAGTATATATTTATTTATAACTAGAAATATAAGATGTAGTTTAAAATGATTAAAAATTCTATACAAGAGGGTCGAGAATCAAGTATAGTAAATAGTAATGTGTCAAAGAACAACTGTGGAACATAAACCATGAACTATATACAAGGGAAATTGGTTAAGGAATCAACGTGGCTTCCAAAAACATTCCTAAGTACTCTGGAATCCACCAAAAATTTATATCTCTGCGTTTTTTTCCTTCCCCTTTGTCTCCTTTTTCTGTTGTTTTTATTTTTTTTTTGTTTGTTTTTTTATTTTACTTTTTTTTTTTAGCTTTTTTTTTTCTTTTTTTGTGCACAGTGGACTATCCAAGACCCACATTCCCAATGGGGTAATGCACAGGAGACAGGGAGGGGGGAGGGGCGGCAAAAATTGGTGAGGGATAAATTCTTCCTTCTGGAAAAATGATGCGGCGGGAGGTCTTTTCTTTTAGGGTTGCTCTCAACGCTGCTGGGAAATTCACACACTTTGCCCTTTGACAAGTAGGGGAATTTTGTTTTGTTCCGTTTTTTCTTTTCTCCTTTTACCAAAACAACATTGTCTGTTATTTGCTGCTGCTGCTACTGCTACTGCTACTGCTATTGCTACTATTACTACTACTATTATACAACAAGTCTTTTAGAAAAAGATCTATTTTACACACTCCAAGTATTCTTAGTCTTCAAGATTTCGTTGTTTCTCTTTTTCCTTTTTTTTTTTTTGTTTGTTTTTTCGTTTTTAGTTTCTTGAACTAAGATAAGATAGATATACTCATATTTGTTTCTTCACTTTTACTTGTTCCTCCTTTTTTTCACTACGAAGATATCATAGCATGAGCTTGTAGTTGCGTATTTGCAAATATAGGTCAAAAAGTATTTCCATCACTATTTCCACCTCCTCCTCTTCCACAACAAATAGGGTAGAGTTGGAGCGAGGGTACGGCGGGAAAAAAAATAAAATAAAATAAAAATAAATAAAATTCAGTGGTTCAGAATGTCTAATCCAGTCAGAAATACTAAAACTTCAGTAGGATTTTTTTTTTCTCTTTTCTTCTTGTTTTGACTAAAGAACAAAAAGAGATCATGTGATCTGTATATAGATGACGGCTACACAAAGAATATAACCATTGTAGCACACTTTTCTAAATTGATTGCTTAAGTAATTTAAATGTTGTACACGTAAACCTGCAGACTTCCGTGAGCAAAATACATTTGTCAGTTCTTTTGACTATTCATAAAATTATCATCACTATCTATACATATACAGGCATATATAGTTTATCATATTACATAGGAATACATAAAAAACATCTAATATACACTTACAAAACACGGCAAAGAAAGGAGAGGAAAAAAAAAAACAAACAAACAAAGAAATATTATGTCTTGTCTAGAATAACTTCTGTAACATTATTAATATACAAAAATAATCTATATAGAAACAATATACACATTCTTACTATCCGTAAAAGGTAATTCAAAATAAAACACAAAAAGAATTAACCGGCTTCACCATTCAATACTAATTCAATTCAAAAGAAGTTTCCGTTGCCTACCTTGAAAAACATACAAGAAGTCACATGAACACATTATTTTCAACATGAGAATACATCATATCCAGTAAACTCACTAACAATAATGATTCCATGCTATTCCTCATATTAACACGTTCCAATAAATAGACACTCCCTATAATGAATAAGTATTCAAATAGTAAACCAAGTCACCACCTCTCCTTCTAGTAAGTACAATTGTTCCCAATACAGATTAGGTCCGCATTTTACTCAGGATTTGAAAGGACAAAGAAAAAAATAGGGCTGTATATAATAATGCTTCAACAAAGCCTCTAGCAAATGACCTCAGATCATGGAGTTATGAAGCTAGCAATGCAAAAGATTGGTTTAGAAAAAATTCAAAAAAGATACAATAAAAAAACAATATTGGAAATTTATATCAATTTTAAATTTTTTTATTCAAGCAGCACCAGCAGCCTTAGCTCTCTTGGCCATCTTAGCTTGAGCCTTGTTACCCATGATACCACCACCCCAGTGCTTCTTGACTTCATCGTATTTGTCAGCAAAGTTGGCGTTAACAGTGGAGATCAACTTGGCCAATTCAGCTTCGTCTTCTGGTCTGACTTCAGTTAAAGCAGCAACAGCAGAGGTCTTTTGGTTGACTAAAGTACCTAATCTAGCCTTACCCTTGACAATGGCGTATGGAACACCCATCTTCTTACATAAAGCTGGTAAGAAAACAACCAATTCAATTGGGTCGACATCGTTAGCAATTAAAACTAACTTAGCCTTCTTGTTTTCAACTAATGAAACAACATGGTTTAAACCGTACTTGACAACAAATGGCTTTGGAGAAGCTTCTTGTCTGGTCTTACCTTCAGCAATAGCAGCAGCTTCCTTGGTTAATCTTTCCTTCTTTTCAGCAGCAGTTTCTGGTCTGTATTTGTTGAATAACTTGAAAGCTTCAGCAGCAGAGTTTCTGTCTAAAGTGTATTGGAATTGAGCAATAGCTGGTGGAACCTTTAATCTCATAGATAAGATCTTCTTTTGTCTTTGTAATCTGACATATTCTGGCCACTTAACGTATCTGGATAAGTTTCTGGTTGGTTGGATGCTTTGACCAATACCAAAGTTCTTTGGAGTAGCATTGGTTAATGGGTTCTTAGCCTTAGCAGCCTTGGTGGTCTTAGCACCGAATGGAGCTGGAGCAACTTTCTTACCTGGAGCCATGATTACTATCTGATGTGTTCGGTTTCTTTAATTGGACGAGAGTAGAAGGAAGTGATTGTTGAAAAATGCACATAATGTTAAAACAATTTGCAGATATAGATGAAATATTGATTTATATAGTATAAACATTTTACCGTGATGAGAGAAAATGCTACATTATAATTTTTTGATTTGTTATTTTTTTGACATTTGTCAAAAGCCTTACGCGTCCTGTTTGTTGAAATTTTCTTGCTTTAACCTTATTTTTTGTATGTATGTCTAAAAAGGGAAAGTATCGGATTAAAAAAAAAAGTTGTTATTTTTAAAATAATGTATGGGTGTTGTTCTAACACTAAACCGTCCCTTTTACTTCTTTTCGAATGTTTGATGACAATTATACGGTAATAGATTATTTTAGAATTTATAATACAGAAATAATACATGATTTATAAAGAATATAGATACTTTTATTTAATATTATCATCCTCTTTTTTTTTTCATAGGTTGAATATAAATTTTATAAACAAGTGTATTTGCTGTTAATGACTTCTCTTAACTACATCTTTCCATTAACATACTCATTCTCAATAATTGGGATGTGTTCACCTTCAATATCGGTTAGCCAGCCTTTGGACCTCTGTATAGCCGTCTCCCACATTTTCCAATGTTTTCTTCTGTCCGTGTCATTGGATTGACTTCTAAAATATTTCAAATTAGGATGATGATCAGATGGAATATCTTCTGCTTGTATGGTGTCATTTTTATGTGGTAAACCTTTTAGTGGAGGAGGTATTCCATTATAGAATACAAAAGTTTTAACGTCATTAAAGTCTTTCCATAGTGGACGTTCTTCTTTGGTTTTTCCTGCCATATTTGCAGCAATTGCTGCTCCTAGTGCGGTAGATTCAAGCACTGGGGACCGTCTTATTTTGATACAGGGTCCTAATATGTCAGCTTGGATTTGCATGACCTCATCGGATTTGGACATGCCTCCATCTACACATAATGTAGAAAACAATTTTCTTTCGTAAGCAAAACTAACATCGTCAATCAAATTATCTTCTAATAAATCAATATTGGGGTTTAATTTATCTCCATACACATCAGAAGTCATAGCTTTTAAAATGGCCCTACATTGAAAACAAACGCCTTCAACCGCAGCTCGGGCAATGTGCGAGGCTGTTGTATACTGTGAGATTCCCATAATTGTTGCCCTTGCATTTGCATCCCAATATGGTGCGAATAAACCACTAAATGCAGGGACAAACACGACACCACCGGAATCTGGAACAGTATTTGCCATCGGTCCCACATCTTGTGCTCTTGGGAACAATCTCAAATTATCTCTTAACCATTGAACTACTGAACCTGCAACAGCAATGGACCCTTCAAGGGCAAACTGAGGTTTGTTAAGATCATTAGTAGGATCATTAAGGTCTAAATCAGGGAACCAGTAACCGATGGTAGTTAAAGCACCATGTCTTGATAATAGCTTTTTGATACCAATATTGTACAATAAGAAACAGCCAGTACCATAAGTACATTTGGCTGATCCTTTCTTGTATGCTAATTGTCCAACTAAGGAAGCACTTTGATCACCGAGACAGCCTTGGATTGGGATATTCAATTTTTCAAAATCGTGTAAAACGGAGATTAATTCATTAGGGAAATATCCACATCTCGTTAGATCAATTATATCTGCAATTTTAAACCTACCAAAGTGTGCAGATGAAGGTAGAATCTTGGGTAGATTAATCTTTTCAGGGTCTATGTTCCAAAACCTAAGCAACTCTGGGTCATATTGTAATGTATCTAGATTCATAAACCCAGTTCTTGAAGCGTTAGTTACATCAGTTACAAAATTGTTATTGCTTGTTAAATTTGTTAGAAGCCAAGTATCCACAGTTCCAAACATTAAATTTCCCCTTTCATATTCTTCCTTAACCTTAGGTTCGTTATCTAGAAGCCACCTTAGCTTAGAACTAGAAAAATAGGTAGAGAGTAGAGGTAAACCAGTACGTTCTTGAATATTTTGAACAGTTGCTTTCGGCATCATCTTGGATAAAGAATTAATAATTTTTGTGTTTCTTGTGTCATTCCAAACTATACCGTATGGTATTACAGGTAATCCAGTCTTCTTTGACCAAACAATTATGGTTTCTCTCATATTTGTTATACCGATGGACACTACTTTATATGTGGGGGAACCATCCTTCGACAATTTTACATTTGTTTTATTTAAAGACAATAAAGTTGATCCAAGGCATTGAAGAACATTGATTAATAGATTGATAGGATTACATTCAACCCAACCTGGCTTAGGATAATTTAAGGTTGATGGTTTCTTCAAAACTTTGTGTAGGTCTTCAATCTCTAAGTTTTCACTCTCTTTAATTAGTAGTCCAACAGAGGAATAAATCGGTTCATCTTTATTTCTGTATCTATTTTCTTGTCCATTTTGACTATGGTATAAATCACGCTGATTAGTTAGAGAGGTGCTGTATTCGATTTGATGTTTTGCTACTTCTTTACCGAACTTATCGAATAAAATAGCTCTTGAAGAGGTGGTACCTACATCGATTGAAGCAATTAAAGGTATTGTCCTATCTTCAGATGTGGGCATTGCGGTAGACAAAAACCTTAGATTGGAGTTTAAATTAATCTTTGATGATATGTTTTTGATCGATACTACTGGTATTCTTAATATATGCATATATACAGATTAAAGAAGAAGAAGCGTGCAACAAAAACAGAAGTAGAAAAAAATGGGAATATATAATATAAATTAAATGATAAAACATATATTTACATGGAATAGAAGGATAAATAGAGAAAAGAAAATAATTTGATGCAATTATTCCTTTGTTCTTAAAAGTGTATTACTTGTTTGTTTGTTTTTATTTAGATCACCTAGTGATGAACCTGTTGTATAATGTAAACGTGTTTTCTTTTGTTCTTTCTTTTGGTGTTTCCCTTATTAGCCCCTTTGTGCATTAAATATCTTTGGTCCATTCAATTTCTTTTAATACTGTATAATTTCTGCTTTTGACCTTTTTTCTTTTCCCCTTTTCTTTTTCTTTTCTGTTACGTCCGATTTTCTCTAATAGAAGATAGAAGGGTGATTTAGTATGGTGAGGAAGAGGTAATGGGTTTTAGTTGAACATACTGGATTACCAGCTAAGTAAGAGAATTGATTGGAGGAAATAGTTACTGTTGGGATTTCTGTTTTTATTAATAGTATGAGTAATGAAGGATATTGTTATCACAATAGAATGAAATGTTAATTTGTAAAAATCAAAATGTTGATTAAACAAGTCGATGTGACTAACTATATTGTAGGTATTGATTTTCTCTTTGTTTCTTTGCTTTTTGTATAAGAGCATGTATAATAGGATTGGCATGTAAATATTTATTTATCTCATTGCTAATATCGACTTTCTTTTTTTATATTATCATAAAACTTGGTAAGACAATAATAATAGAATATAGTAGAAAGAAATTCTTCTATGCTCATTATTAACTAGACTAATGTTTTTTGACATTGAGCGCAATAAACAATGTTTAAATCAAATTTCCAGAAATATAACTTTATCCATTCTTTTTGATTTTCTTCTTCTTCTTCATTTGCAAAGCTAATATTCATATGTTGATGTGTGCAAGCTATAAGAGGGAAATGGTGATTATGATGATTTCTGTAGTGTGGAAGTTAAAAACCATTAAATAATTATATTCTTTTTTTTATCTTCCTTGGTTGTTATTATTTCTATCATTAAAGTAGCTCTCTTAAAATCATTCAAGCAAGGTTTGGACAGATGTAAGCCTTTTATTATAACATCCCACTATTGCATTGAATAACATTTATTTCTTTGTTTCAGATCTTCGGTCGAAGCCACTATCGAACAATCCATGTTGTCGGCCAAAATCGGGTTTTTCCGGCGGAAGAACCGTCGGGCAAAATCAGATTTGCAACGAAATCAAATTTTTCCGATGTTCCAAAACAAAATTCGTCATAAGAAGAGGTCACTTAACAATCATACTTTTGATAACGTTAATTCTGCAGATAATAGAGACAACCACATTAGAAAGACACTGAAGAATCAAAACCTCAGAAGAAGGGCTTATTCCTCACAGATTTTCTATGATCAAGCTATTATCGTTGCAGATAAAAGCATAATCAAGATGGTAAATCAAAATGAACTGATTAATAATTTTTTATCAAGTAATGATAATCAAAGGGATTCCAATGATCTGAAACAATCCCATTTGGATAACGAAAATGGCAACAGTCAGAATAATAACAATAATAATAATCATAACCATAACCAATCCAATAAGAATACTTCAGGTGATTATAACTTGAATGGTACCAATGGCATGAGAGATGATAATTTTGATATTGAAAGACAGGGTCCTCCACAACGGTTCCCAACATCAAACCCAAATTCTTCTCTACCATCTGCCTCTTATATTCCACAGTATACAGTTATAGATAATAGAATTCCGTTTGCTATTCAAGAAGTGGTTCCAAACACTCAGGTTGCAATGACCACAGGACTAGAAGCTACTAACCTTAATGATTCAACGGCTCCTGGGTTAAGGGCAAGAGCTCCTACTGTGTCGGCCAATGTTCTTAATGTTGGAGATTTCTACGAAAATAATAATAACATTATTAATGGTAATTTTAATGATATGAGAAGTAATAATAATAATAACACTATTAATAACGAAAGTCGTACCAATAATATTGATGGTAAGAATAGTTTTCATGAAAGCATGGAAGGTGGTATGGATGAACCGATGAATGTACCATTAATGGTTAAACCAAAGACATTATATCAAAATCCACAAACACCTACTGTCTTACCATCAACATATCATCCAATTAATAAGTGGTCTTCTATTAAGCAGTCTTATATTAAAGAATTTTTGGCTGAATTTCTAGGAACCTTGGTGATGGTTTTACTTGGTGATGCAGTATGCTGCCAAGTTAATTTGGGTGGTGCAACTCAACAATTGAAATACGTTCAAGCTTTAAATAATATGAAAGGTACAGTCAGTGATGATACTTTGGAACTGGCAAAGACATTGCAAGATATTGTTTCCTCTGTTTCAGCCGGTACATTCGATGATATTCCATTAGGTTGGGCTGCAGCCGTTGTTATGGGATATTTCTGTTCAGGTGGGAGTGCTATATCTGGTGCCCATTTAAACCCATCAGTCACAATTAGTAACTGGGTTTTCCGTGGATTCCCGGCAAAGAAAGTACCACTGTATCTAGCAGGTCAGGTGTTAGGTGGTTTTGCAGGCGGATTGATTTGTTTTATTTTTTACAAAAGAGTCATCACTGAAATATATCCAAACACTTGGCGTACTAGTGCAGCTGTAGCTAACAATTTTGTTACTTTTCCTAAACCATATTTATCTTCTGCACGTCAATTTGTTTCTGAATATATAGCCACTGCGATATTCCAGGCTTGTATTTTTGCAATGACTGATCCTTATACATGTTTATCTACAGAAGTTTTCCCTCTGATGTTATTTTTCTTAATTTTTAGTTTAAATGCTTCTGTAGGTTTTACCACTGGTTGTGCGCTTAATTTGGCGCGTGATTTAGGTCCAAGATTAGCATTATACGCGGTTGGTTTTGATAGAAAATTGTTATGGATTCAGCATAAACATTATTTCTGGGTTCCAATGACAGCACCAATCATTGGAGCATTAACTGGTTCTTTAATCTATGATATATGTATTTATCAAGGTCACGAATCTCCTGTTAACTGGCCATTTACAGTTTATAAAGAGAAATTGTTAAGATTATGGATGAGAAGACCAGGATGGGCAACACGTACTAGAAACAGAGCTACTTCCGATTTAAGTGAGTTTTCATATCATGATGATGATGAAGATGACGAGTATGGAAGTGAACAAAATTCAAAGGGTGATTATGATTCTAAAAATAGTGGTAATGGTGGGATTCTTAAAAAAACAAGAGGGAAGGTTAAGACAAAGACCAAGAGTCAAAGTTCCGATGATGAATTTGATGAGGATTATGTTCAGAAAAATGTTACCTTTAAGTCTGTGTTAAAAGATAAGAGAGGTTATGGTGGAATATCAACTATATATGAAGAAGAGGATGGCAGCGATAGTAGTTCATCATTTGATAACGATGATGATGATAACGATGATGATGGTATACCAATGATTGGAGAAAATGGAGAATCAACGGTGTCTTCGTCTGATTCATCATCCCTACCTAGATTTACAACAAGAAATGGTTAACACACCATGTTTTGTTGTTTTATTTGTCATATGTTATGTATTTATTCATCCTATTTATTTATTCATGTTATAGTCATTAGATAGATTACCTAGTTATATTAAAAGAAATACCCCATCGTGTATATTAATGTAGAATAGCGTATAAAGGTGATAGATATAGGAATAAAGGTTAAAATATGTATAAAAAGAAAAGCATCTTTAAATGTGGACATATTGATTAAGGAATGGGATTTTTTCCATCTATTTATAAGTAGATTTATCTCTCCATTCATATATGTCCATCAGAATTTACCTATGAAACATTTTATTATCTGGAATATATATTAACTTCAATTTTTTTGTATGTTTACTACTTTTTATTGTTTTATTTTATCTTATTTTTTTATATAGTTTGAATATTTATTTAATTACCAAGTGAAAAATAATATCAATATACATATTGTGGTGATTGATGCTAATATAATTGTGTTTTTTCTTCTTCTTGTACCTATTCTTGTGATTATTTGGTTTATTCCTGGAATTCTTTGCAAAGTGCCAAGTACTCTATTATTAGCATTATGCAACATTAAACTTTGAGAAGAAAATTGTTCTCTAGTCTCCCATGCTTGCGTAATTAATTTATCCAAGATATTATGAGATTGATCAATTCTTCTGGATTCATTTTGAATATATTCGTCTGCATCACCAATGTCATTTGTTGTTGAAGAGATTGAGTTATCTTGAGCAATATCATTCTTTACACTAAATAAAAGGTTTAATCTATTACGTTCTTGTTGAATAGAAGATCTAATATTTTGAAAATTTCTCCAATGGACATTTAAAACTTCTTTATGTCTTTGTAATTGTGTCAATTTTGTAGCAGATAAGTTATTATCATTAGCTATCTTGTTTAAAGAATCAATTATTTCTTGTCTTCTTTGTAATATTGTTTCAATTTGGTTATCAATCTTTTTTTCTTGTAAACCTGGTTCTGAACTTGTAGTTTGCGCATAAGTAGAATACTTGGATAATAAGGACTCTGTTTGGGTCTCTAAAGAAATTGCTTGTCCTCTGACTGTGACAAAACTTGCAGCAGTGGACATGTCTCAATTGTATTTCACAAAGAGGAATAGATATGATAAAAACCAGTATAGTGTTTGTGTATTATTAATAAGTATTAGTTTATTAACAAAGAATAATAATATAAACAACCTGCACATGGTTGTATATAAGATTTGTACAATTAACATTGTCAAATCAAATTTGCTTATGTTTTTGATTTTATTTTACTTTTTTTTATTTTTTTCTTTTTTCTAACCTTTGCCAAATTTTTGAAAGTTTCTTATAGTTTCTGCTTGGTAAAAGAGAAATAGAAAAATAGTGACAGAAATTCAACAGTGATATATAACAACAACTGTCAGTTATTTATTGAATAAATAAATAATTGAGGCATGTTTAAAACGCCTAGAGAAACGACTAAATCAATAAAAAAGTTGAAATATTGATCTCTTGTTTCTAATTTGATTAAACATACTCCTTAAATATAAATATACCAAAGTAAGCACGTCAACTAGAATTTTTTATATAAGAAACAAAAGTTTCACAATATTTAATATTATATTTACATTATTTTTTCTGTCATATCACTTTATTATATCGTTAATATTATAATATGGAAGAGCATTTTTACAAAGAAATATCCTTTATACTATTGAACTACTTACATTTAAAAATATTAAATTAAAAATATCCGTTATCGAGGAATAAGGTAGAGGTTTATTTCCATATCAAGATTAATAAGAAAAATGTAGGACATGATGTGTTTCAATGAACAAGATAAAAAAGGTTCAGTACATGCGTATTGCTTACCTATATTATAATTTGATGCATACTTTGGTAATTTTGTATGTAATACAATTTTTGTGTTATTAGCTTTGTTTAGCTGTTGTAGAAGAAATGATAAAAGGAACTTTGAAAAAAAGAGAGATGTGTTCTCAACTAAGGAACAACTACTTGATAAATCTTTCAATCCTTAGGAATCATTTTTTCGTTTTTCTGCTACAGCTATTTATCATATATGTAAGATGGATAGAGCAAGGAGTACTTGAGATATCATTTAAATTTGAATTTCAGTACTTGGCATATATTGAAGTTTATATTGTGGTGTTGTATCTCAGTTTTTGAGCGTATTCGAGAAAACATCTTTAAAACAAAACAGTAAATTCCCCTGGTGCTGTTATACATTATTATTATTATTTACTTTTCAGAAGTACAAAGAATAAAAAAAACGGCATATAACTATTACATAGTAATTGGATAACTTCTAATGGTCTGTAACTGTATCTTTGTTGCTTATCTTAGACTAGGAATGGTCAGCTGGAATCACTTATTTATAGTTAGTTATGTTTCATGTTAAAGTATGGCAAGTCCTAATTGAGAAGTTAGGGTTTGTATAAGTAAAGAATAATGAACCCTAATCTGTTCGAACTCTCAAAAATACAAACCCTACGGGGAAATAAACAGAAGTCCTAAAAAGAAAAAAAATAAGAATACTTCAACTTGAATTCCTCAGAGTACAAATTAGATAACCGCCCAACAAAATCAAGATTTTGCCACCCCCTAGCAACAATTGGTGAAGTTCTAAAGCCAGTTCTTCAACTGTACTAGAATATTACATCCAATTGATAATTATTTTTGTAAAAAGGTTTAAGAATACATAGGAAACCAAAAACAAATAGAAATAAATTCTATTTTCACTCTATAATGTCTGCTATTTCCACAGAGAGTAAAGAGTTAGAATTAGTTGAAAGAGTTGATCTGAAATTAGCTTTGTCTGATACACCAGAGAAATTTGAACTAAATTTAGAAGCATTTCTAGCACCATTGTTACTGAAATTAGCATCGCCCTATCACACTGTTCGAACTAATGTCCTAAATTCATTAAAAAATGTTTTATCCAGGTTAACTTCATTAACAAACGTAAAATTACCTGTTGAGAAATTAATTGAACAAGCTAAAACTGTTGAAAATAGTTTGCCTAACTGTCATGACACAGCTTTATTAAACAATGTTAAACTATATAGTCTGTTGTTGGCAAGTAGAGGTATAGACAGATTAAAATCCCAAGATGAGAAAAAAAAATTATTGCCTATTATCATGAATAATATATCTAAAGCACCATTTAATGTTGCAGCTAGATTGTTTCATATCTTATGTAAAATTTTGTTGACATGGGAGCCACCTTTAAAAGGCACTCCTAAAGAACAGGATCTTATTCAGTTTTTACATTTAAATGATGAAGAAGATTTCCATTTCTTGTTGGACCATTTTACCAAATTTTTTTTATTGATACCTGCTAAACCAGATCCAACAACTAATATAATTCCAAGAGGTTATACATGTCCAGGTCTTTCTTCAGATGATGTTTCATTCTTCACATATTCTGCTGGTGTATCTTTCAGTAATGAACAATATTCAAAATTTAAAAATGGAATATTCAAATTTGTTTGTCATGGATTTGTATCTAATGATCAACTTTTAGTTAAATTTCTATCTGTTGTGAGCACTGATAAATCTGATCTATCCAATAAAGCTACACAATTTTTAAAAAAATTGCAGATACCTTATGAAGATGAAGATTTTATTAATTATTTGATCAATTTATATACGGGAGACAATCTTAGGGGAATTCCACCTGTTAGAAGCCATTTACAGGAAAAAATATTGACAATATTAAATAATAGTATCTATGCAACTACTAATTCTCAAAAAGTCTCTTTAATCTGTTCTATTGGCTTACATTCTAATGACTTTAAATTAAAAGCACTATGTCTAACATTTATTAGACATGTAGCAAAATATAATTATACTAGTCTACTACCTCCTCCAAAAAGTTTGAATGGTAATTCTTTTTCTTCTTCCGATTTTCAGACAAACATAGCTGCATTGATTAGAAACAATCTGCATTCTGAAGGTTGGCCACAGTTACAGTTAGGCTCCTCTACATCTGCTTTCAACGTTGCTTTACAACAGAGAAGGTTACAATATGAAACTTTAGGGGATCTTTTAAAAAAAGATTTTAATTTGGTTAAGGATTTATCATATATTGAATTTTTGTTTGATTCTTTAAAAGGTGATTTATCTGAATTTAATACTAGTATCCAGGAGGCTTTATTGGCAACTTTAGGCCATTTATCTAATTTACCAGACGAATCAAAAATCAAATTAAAAGATATCTTAAGAAACAATCTAGCTAATGATAATGACTTCCAAGATCGAGATGATAATATTTCTGAAAAGGATAAAAATTCAATTAAGGATAAAATTATGTCATTACGATTTATATCAATAAAATTCACAAATGCGTGTTTTGAATTTGCTGATCCAGAAGCTAGATTATTTAATGTTTGGGGTACTTCTCGTAATAATAGATTTGACATCATTGAAGAAGCAACTAAAGGGTTACATCCTTACTGGTTTAGAGTATATCGTTCTTCTATCTATAGCACACCTCATCGTATTGTTCCTACTAAAGAATTGTCCGGACTCACACTAGCAGAAACAAAGCTGCCTACCTTCCAATCATTTGTTACACTATTATTGGAAAACATAAAAATGGATGAAGAAAATCCAGATGCTGTAATTCGTTTAACTTTTGGTAAAGCAGTTTGGTTTGCTAATCAGTGTCTTATATCAGAAGCTATATTTGGGAAAACAACAACAATAGTACAGGACGAAAATTGGTCACTTCGTATTGAAAAGGCATTAGATATTGATGAAGTTGCAATATCATTAACAACTGAATATTGTTCAATTATCACTGATAGATGGTATATTGATTTCTTGGAAAGAACTTGTACAGAATTTTTACAATTTTCCAAAAATACAGATATTTCTTTGATGTCAACATACAGAGATATAATATTTGGTGAAGTAACTTACTCGCTACTTCGTTATTCAAACAATATGGTATTGATTAGCTTACAAAATCAACTTCCATATCTGCTTAGATATTTGGAAGGAATGAATGTGACAAATGAAAATGACCTAGAATTATGTGGAAAAATACTTGGTATAATATCATCAACTATTGAATCTGATTCCACTGTTTTATCAACACTTTTAGATGCATTACATACAGAAGATGTTTCGACTATCTCCTTGCCAACACTATATGCCTGCAGTTACGTATTATCAAGGATGTCTTTGTTAGATAATGTAGATTCAATCTCTACGACTCATTTAGAATCTCTTGTTGATGGTATTTTATCACACATGTCAGATACTAAACTCAAAAGAATTGTATTCAAAATGTTTAATGAAATTTTGAAATTTGGTTTGTTTTCACGATTATCTGTAGAGAAAAGAAAATCAATAATAACCTCACTGATGGATCTTTATAAGGATAAAATGACTAATGATGAATTAATAGTTGAATTTTGGGGTTATTTATCACTCTATTGTCATGAATTTGAGCTAATTAATGATTTTTATTCAGCAATTATGAATTTACATGTTTCCAGACAAGTTGAATATTTGTTCACTGCAGGTGAGGCTCTTTCTGTTGTTGCTGGAGGTTGGTATAGTACTTTTTTGATAAATCAAATTGATATACTGGCTGTTTCTAGAAAAGGCTTACAGAAAAAACTTGGGGACGAGAACTTGAATTTTGTTCTTACTAAAATACTAGATACCTGTAATTCAACAAAACCATCTTTGAGACGAGCTGCATGTATCTGGCTGTTGTCATTAACAGAATATTTAGGAAGCGATGCTGCTTTTCAAAATTTTGTTAAAGATGTACACTTTAAATTTATGGGGTTCTTAGCAGCTAATGATGAGTTCGTTCAAGACTCTGCTGCAAGGGGTCTTTCATTAATTTACAACTTGGGAAATGAGGATTTGAAAGAAGAGATGGTAAAGGGTCTATTAAAGGCATTTACATCTACAAATGAGACATTAACTGCTGGAAATATATCTGGTGAGACACAACTATTTGAACCTGGTACTTTGAATACAAATGATGGATCTATTAGTACATATAAGGATATTATGAATTTTGCTACTGAGGTTGGTGATCCATCTTTGGTTTACAAATTTATAACAATAGCCAAGAGTTCATCGCTATGGACTTCAAGAAAAGGTGTGGCTTTTGGATTAAGTGCTATCATTTCAAAGTCCTCCTTAGAAAAACTATTATTAGAAAATAAAGCTACTGCAAGAAAATTAATTCCAGTATTATATCGTTACAGATATGATCCATACTCTGCAGTTGCCCGTGCAATGAATGAAATATGGAATTCTTTAGTATCTGACTCATCTAGTATAATATCTATATATTTTGAAGATATTCTAAAAGAGACATTAGATGGTATTGGTAACAAGGAATGGAGAGTACGTGAAGGTAGTGTTATAGCCTTGACTCAACTTCTTCAATCTCAGCCATTGGAAAAGTTTTCTGGAAAAATTTTAGATTTGTGGACTATGGGTTTTCGTAGTATGGATGATATAAAGGAGAGTGTGCGTGAAGTTGGTGCAAAATTTATGAAACTTTTAGCAAAGTTGCTTGCTCAATCCATAGATATTTCCAAAGGTGTAAGCAAGGAAAGACGGATAGAAATATTGAAAATAATATTACCCTTTTTATTAGGGAAGAAAGGCCTTGAAAGTGATGTAGAGGATGTAAGGAGGTTTTCCATATCAACCTTGCTGGATTTGGTCAAGAATACAGGAGATTCATTGCAATTATTTGTTCCACAATTAATCTATAAATTTTCACTTTTATTTTCTGTGATTGAACCGCAAGTTATAAACTATCTTGCTTTGAATTCTGAAAATTATAATTTGGATAGTAATGTTATCGATTCGCAAAGAAAATCAGCAGTTACAGCATCACCTATTTTTGAAGCCATTGAAAAATTAATTTATATGTGTGATGACTCTCAGGTTGAGTTGGTCATAAACTATGCATCTAAATCAGTGAAAAAATCTGTGGGTTTACCGTCAAAAATTGCTGCATCATATATTATTATTTTATTGGTCAAAAGATATGGTACTGGCATTCAACCTTACACCGGAAATCTATTAAAGACTTGTGTAAACATGTTTGAAGATAGAAATGAAGTTGTAAATTTGTCATATGCGCAAGCATTTGGATATTTGAATAAAGTAAGTTTGCTGGAGAAATCTTTGAAATACTCAAGGAAATTGAACGAGAAATATTTTAACCCATCAAGGGATAACAGTAAAAAGGTTGTGGGATGTGCTATAGAGTCTATTATAAAATATGCTCCTGCTAAATTTGAGTCAATTGCTTCCTCACTTATGCCTTTAATATTTGTAGCTTCTAATGATGCTGATGAAGCAAATGCAAAACTTTATGGGGATATATGGACAGAAGCTTCTACTACTGGTTCAGGAACAGTTAAATTATATCTGAAAGAAATATTGGAAATTTTGGCAGCAAATATTAAGTCTACTGATTTTAACATGAGAAGAATGTGTGGAAAATCGATTTCTGTTGTCTGTGCTAATGTGGATAACACAATTGATTCCAAATATATTAAGGAGTTATTAGAGATAACCATGGATTCGTTGTATGGTAGAGCATGGGATGGAAAGGAAATATTATTTGAATCTTTTGTTGATGCTTGCGTAAAATTTAAAAATTATATTCTAAATGATAATTCCATAGAAAAATTAGTTAGAACGGCCCTTAGTACAGAAATTTCCCGTAATAATATGGACTATGTAAAAAAGATTATTACTAGTTATGGTAAATATCTAGAGAACTTTGATGATCTTAAGGATAATGAAAACATGAAGATGTATATATCTACTATTGATAAGATAATTGAATCTTATGATATATTGTCTTCTAACACCAAGGAACCTGAAAAATCAACCTCCAGTGATGATGGTGAGGGTGAAAATACTGCTATTACAAATAAACGGATAAAACCAAACTATGAAGTAACTGAAAAATCATCAGAAAGAAATATAAAGAACGAGGAATATCTTATTAGACTGATCAAGTCTGTGGTGAGTGTTTATGTGAAAACATCTAGTAATAGTGAATTGTTTTTAAAATTCATACTAAATCACTCAATGAGTTTGTTGGATAATAGGTTTTTTGTTTATACATGGAGAAGTGAAGCTGCCATTAATGATATTGGGATTAAAATTTTAGATAAAGATGTTAATTTAAGTGAAACTCTGCTCTTTGATTATTGGAATTTTGTTTATATAAAAACAAGCAGTAAAGAAACTACTTTGAATGTTAAATTAAAGTTAATTAAATTTGGATCCATAATGATAAACAAATATCAATCCCAGAAATTGATAGTCGAGAACCAATTAAGAGAACTCAATCATACTGATCCAACTTCACGTATAATAGTGGAGCTTAAAAATATCGGCTTAAACTAGTAGATGGGCATATCCATAACTAACAAAAAAAAACTAGGTTACATATAATATTATCATAGTTATATAGATATATATATATAACTCAAAAAAAAAAATAAATACTTAGCTTCCGCAAGTAGTTTTAAATAAATGGAAAAAGAATGTTCTTCTTCGACAACACTATTGAAGTAACTATACTCAATGGAATTCATAATTATATTCCACCTCTTAATCTTAAAACCAAATGTAAGGTCGATTCTTTTTGAATGTTGTAGTCCGATAAGGTTCTACCATCTTCTAACTGTTTACCTGCAAAAATCAAACGTTGTTGGTCCGGTGGAATCCCTTCTTTGTCTTGAATCTTGGATTTAACATTGTCGATTGTGTCTGAAGATTCTACTTCCAGTGTAATAGTCTTACCAGTCAAGGTCTTCACAAAAATTTGCATACCACCTCTCAATCTTAAAACCAAATGTAAGGTCGATTCTTTTTGAATGTTGTAGTCCGATAAGGTTCTACCATCTTCTAACTGTTTACCTGCAAAAATCAAACGTTGTTGGTCCGGTGGAATCCCTTCTTTGTCTTGAATCTTGGATTTAACATTGTCGATTGTGTCTGAAGATTCTACTTCCAGTGTAATAGTCTTACCAGTCAAGGTCTTCACAAAAATTTGCATACCACCTCTCAATCTTAAAACCAAATGTAAGGTCGATTCTTTTTGAATGTTGTAGTCCGATAAGGTTCTACCATCTTCTAACTGTTTACCTGCAAAAATCAAACGTTGTTGGTCCGGTGGAATCCCTTCTTTGTCTTGAATCTTGGATTTAACATTGTCGATTGTGTCTGAAGATTCTACTTCCAGTGTAATAGTCTTACCAGTCAAGGTCTTCACAAAAATTTGCATTTTCTTTTGATTCTTATATTGGAGAGAGAATAAAAATATAAATAAATTAATTTGTCAGTCGCTTATCAGATTACTTACTAAGTATGATAACAGAATAGCAAACAGCGAGAAGCTTACTCTGGTTGAAAGAAACTTGAAAGAACAGAGAAAAGAAAAGAGAGAGAGACACAAATCAACCGAGCCTCCTGGAGTAGAAGAGAAGAAAAAACTTCAAAAATGAAAGGAGAAATTCTCCTCCCGCCACCTTTATATACGTTACAAAACGCAACTCCAAAAAAGAAACTAATCAAAAAAAAAAAGATAAAACGAATTTGATAACGATAAATGAATACACCCACACACCCTCCCCTGATGGGGCGGGATTTCTTTTTTATTTCCTTTTCGGGGCAGGCTATTGTTACGCCACACAGACTCCGAAAATAATTCTAGAACTGGTGGTGTATGGGTGGTTGGACGTTTTCTTTTTTTTTTGTGTGATGGAGACGGGTGTTCGAATGGTGTGTGGCGCACAAAGTGTAATATTTAGAAATACAGATTGGTTGACTAGTTGTCATGTATGGCTCTAGTATTCTAATATTGCAATAGAATATTATTTAGATGAACAAAACTAAAGAAAAACAAAACACAATCCTAATCGTTTGATCATTATGCCCCCACGTAAGATCTGTATATCTTTCTTCTTCTGTAATTTCTACTTGTCTTGTATTATGTCTCTTTTCTTCCTTTCTTTTCCTTCTTTATTTGATCTTTTGTTTTTGCTTTGCAGTATAACAGTCTCACATTCAATTCAAAAGAAAGCATGCATTTTTAATTTAACTACTGAATGGGTTAGTTGCATGGAACACCCTGGAGGTTAGACCTGTACTTCTACCACCTGTTTGAGAGTCAATCGTATTTGCTTCCTCTCGGAGATTTCCTAATGTTTTTGCATTGGGCTTAAACTCGCTGATAGTCACGTCACGGTATCTATTTAATCTGAAATTTATAAAACGGCTGTTGCTTTCTTTTTCTTCTTCTTCCTCTTCTTCCCCCTCGTCTGCTATAGTGTACATCATGGGATTGTCAGATGGTCTTCTGTTCACGTCAAGACTTTTAGATCCATATGTGTTTGCATTACTTTTATTTCTATTTAATTTTTCACTACTATATCTTGTTAAATGTCTGTTGTCGGTAGATTTACGTCCTGGAAATGATATGCTAGATCTGAACTCTATAACGTTTTGTCTCCTCTTCTCTAAAAGATTGGGATCATTCAACAACGATGATATACTATGCGACAGATTTCGAATTTGTATCCATATATTCATATCAACCTTATTTATGTTCCTTTCATCGATCTCCACAGTATTCAAATGATCAAATATATAACTGCTTGTAGAACTTATCCATTCAATAAATTCGTCAGAACCATTGTTTAATAAATATGATATTAAAGTCAAAGTTTTGACCACTATAATACAATTCTTATGTGAAAATCTTTTTGTCAAATATAATGCAACTTGTAATCTTTTCCTTAGCACGGAAATTATCTCTTTCAAAGTTTTTGGACTGTATGTCAAAACAGATATCTCATTCATCAATGTACCTGCATTACTGTTCGATATAGAATTCTCACGGTCATCAGTTATATCCTTTACTTTGATCTCTGTGGAGGAACTGACAAAATTTTTTACTGTATTAAAGAACGGCATCGATGAAAAAATTTCAGTTATATGTCGTATATTAATCAGACCGTGTTTGTCTGTTTCTTTGTTTGTTTTTGCAATATCTGATTTACTATTTAATTTTTAATAGTTACGGATGTCTAAGTGAGCAGGTATCGTCTATCCTCATTATATACTTGAACTACTTTCATCTTATTATCATCGTAACTTTGTTTTTAATATTTGTTTCTTTTTTCTCAAAGTAGGAAAAAAAAAATAAAAAGGAAAAAAGGAAACAAAGAAGGAAAGCAAAAAGGAAGAAAAAACTTTGTTTATCTAAATTGCATTAATTTCTCACTTTGGAAATTTGAAGATTGAAATGAAAGAATTGAAAGGTTACAGGACTTATGATGGATAATAAGTCTACAAAAAAAAAAAAAAAAAAAAAAACGAATATAGAGGCTTAGTTTGATATAAATAGATTGGCAGTCTTCAAAATATATGTATATGTGTGTATTATATTTACTCACTATTTAAATTCTCTTCCAATTCTTTCCACAACCATTTCCTCCAAATATCACCTGCAATGGTCAATAAATCATTAAATGAATGGGTGGCTTTTGCATCATTACCAACTTCGATAAACATATGAGATTTGCTATTAGTATTAGTATTTTTTCTCCGGTGAATATGGTTATGAGGTTGTTGATTTACTTGTTGTTTTTTATTTTTATCATTTTTCAGACCTGAGAGTCTTGACGGAAGAGAAGCTGTAGATATCGAGTACGATTTTACTGTTTTCTTGTTAAGTGACAATAGATCATTGTCAGCCACTTTAGAAGTTTTAGTACCGGTATTTAATTCTTCCATTAAATACAATTGGCGATAATTAAAATCATCGGTACGTGAACACATGGGGATATTATTTGTAAATTCTGATATTTCAGTCTCCTCATATTCCAATAATCTAAATTCATTATATTGTAAAATTGCCATATAAATAAATAAAATTTCGATATGTGGGTCAATTAATGAGTAAATTAATGAATAGTTTTCCTCATTGGGAACTTCATTATCATTATGATTATCAGAATTATTATTATCACTACAACTATCCTCATTTTCTAACATATCTTCTTCACTTGATGTTGACATATCAGTTAATGAAACAGAAGAGGAAGTTGTAGATGATATTGAGGATAGTGAATTGAAACTCTTTATCTGATTAATTTTGGATGAAAATGACGTTGTTGTTGATATCTTGGACAAGGATGATGATGTTGTTGTTGTGGCATTTGAATTTTCATATCTATTTCTTGACAATAATTCTTTAAAAATGTTATAATCAAATGGATATTCAGGACTACCAAAAGGAACACTATTTAGATCTGGAAACCAAAAATGATTTAATTTGGTAATCATACCATAGTTGTTTGTAATTATGGAATCTCCTCTGTTGATATTTAAACTATTATGATAACTGTTATTAGAATTAGTATTACGCTTTTTATTTTTGGATTTAGATATGGTTGTGCTTGAATTCCCTAGACATAGATCATATAATTTATTCAAGCCAATTGGATTTATTTTATATATATGATCAAAAATCTTTGTATTATAATTCAGATAAAAATTGATACTATCCATATTTGGTTTAGGTCTCCAACCCAAAAGAATATCCCATAATCTTCCTCTATCTTGTCTGTGTAAAACTTTTGCGCCAGAGAATTTGATCCACCAATATAGCCATGTATTCCTGGATGAGCTTGTCTGTGGGAAATTATTTTCTTCTATTAAAGTTTGATATAATTCAGGTAATATTGAAGAGAATATTTTGAAAAATATCTGTGATTGAAATGTTAAATCACCACCAGATAAAATAGGGAAATAATTCGACATATTAGAAGATTGTTCTGGGAATTTTTTATTGATTTGATCTTTAGCTAAAACAGTATCAGGGCAATGTAATATGATCAATAATAATCTTTCGAGCATCTCATTAAATTGAAATTGATACTCATTTGGTAATTTATCTTTAAGTCTCTTTGGCAAAGGATATTCCTTGTATAGATTATTGATCGAGTCACTTCCATAATTAAATGAAAAATCGATATAATCTTTAGAACTATTAATATTACAATGTTCATAATCATTTATGTGGGGTGGATCGTTGTTGAGATGTGATGATGATGATGTTGAGGAAGAAGAGTGTTCCTTTTGATCCTTAGAATGTATTCTACCAGTTAAGATGATTGGGTTCTGAGCAGATCCCATAATTGGAAACCACTCAGCGAGACCTAATGCAACCCAAGCCAAGCCAGTTTCATACTTGAAGATAGAAGACCATTTGTTTAAAAAATAGATAATAGCGTCCTTTAATAGATTAATAATATGGTTCTCATAATATTTTGCTTGAACATTATTAGTTGCACTATTTATTGAATTCGTCATGGTAGGGCTATTATTTATATTATTATTCACTTGGTTAATGGAGTTAGTTGGATTAAAAGCGTAATCATTTTCAAGTATAGTATTTAATGAAGGCGAAAGGCAGTTATTAGCAGTCATTGCTTTTGATGTTGTAGTTTTGATGGCTGCTGTACGATTGTTGGTTCTTGAATGAAAATATTTTTTTAAATCATGAATAATTATATATTCTAAATCTTCGTTTGGATTAGATGTTGGGCTATTATTACTATTACTATTACTATTACTATTTGGATTAGAATTAGAATTAGAATTAGAATTGAATAGTTTATTTCTTTTATGTGGGGTTTGAATATATTTATAAGTCCTACTCTGTGAATCCCAACTAACCAAATTAGAGACAATATTTGGAGATATACACATAGGATGGTATTTCAACAGAATTGGCCAGACAAAATGTCTCAATTGTGGTGGAATACCAAAAGTTCTAGCAATAAAAGCTAATGTATCATGGTCATTAAATCTAATTAGGTCTATTATTAAATGGATCAATTTTCTATCATTATATTGTTGTTTCAAATTTTTCAAATGATGGGAGGTTGGAAGATTATTTGTGGTATTATTATTCATAAATAAGGATTGAAAAGTATTGATAATAGTAATAGTAGTGTTAATGATAAATGAAATTAGTAAAACTCAATAAATTCTTCTGAAATTGGTCGACAAGTCTTTGGGAACTTGAAAAAAAAAAAAGAAGGAGAAGAAGGAAATTATCTCTGATACAATGGGAAAAGAAGATATGTGAATAAGTAGAATCAGTTAATTGAACATAAGAACAATTAAATTATAAAACTATGTTGATTTTACTTGCTTTTCTTAAACGGTAACAAAAATAAACATAAAGAAAAAATAGTAAATGAAGAAAGGAAGAGGAATAATAGTGGGTTTTTTTTAATTACGGGTCATGAATTTTAAAGATTATAATTTAATGATTGGATTCTTTTGAGTTAATTCCTAGTGATAAATTCTAATTTTCTTCAACAGTTTAAACCAGGTTTGTATTTTTGTTGTATTCTTTGCAATACCCTAATATAATTTAATTGGAAATTGGAAAACTAGAGTAAATAATTTATAAAAGCCCTAACACATCTGTAAGAAATCGGAAAAACAAGGGAAATCTTTACACCCCCTGTGTTTCTTACCAGAAACGGAAATGGTTGCTATTTATAGATAAAGCAGTCCTGGGATTATTTCTTTTTTTTCTTTTTTTTTTTTTTCGTTCTTCTTCTTTGTTCGAGGTAATCCAAACGGAAACAAAAGAGCGGGGAAAGTCGGAAACTCGAGTCCCGGGGGAGACTTCTCACACAAAGTTTGCACTCGCTGCATGTAATGGAAGAAAAAACAATTCTTCTCTATTTCTGATCCCCTGTTTCTTTTTTTCGCATTTTTATTTTTTTTATTTTTCTCCATCTTTCTAGTATTGTCTTAACAAATGTCAACAAAAGAGGCTCGAGGAGATTACTTTATTTCTTGCAGATTTCTCGAAGAAAGAAAAATGTAATTTAAGTATTGCATGTAAAAATCTTCCAGTACTGTTTACTTGCCTATTTTCTGATTGTTATAAAGTTATCCAAATATATATATTTTGTGTAAGCATCCTCTGATACATTAAAGTTAAGTTTATAAACAGTAAACATAAAAGAAAAAATTATAAAGAAAATTACAAATAAAAAAAATAAATAAATAAAAATAAATAAATAAATAAGGTACTATATTCATTTATCTTTTTATTTACATTCACAATTCTTTTTTTTATTTTATTTTGTTTTGTTTTGTTGTCATTTTTTTATGTCACACCATGAGTTTACAGTTACAAGATTTATTAAATAAAGATTCAGATTCAGCTGGCCCATTGCTTGAATCGGATACTATTGCTTCTGTTTCATCCAAAACAACAGTACCATCGCAATTACAAGCTAATAATAATAATAATGTGGAAGTTGTTCCAACTCTAGCTGCTGGTAAAAATTTTAGCGCTATAGCATGTAAAAAAAATAAAACCATAGATATTAGTAGCGTATTGAATGAAAGCGATATTGGCCAAATTAATAATAATAAGAATGATAATAATGCTACTAATAATAGAACATTAATTACCCCTCCGGGGTCAGATGTAGAAAAGGCCTCAAGAGATGAAGAAAATATTAATTATGAGAATAACAAGACTGTTGATAATGTTAAACATGTTAAAGCTGGTAAATTTAATACTATCGCTACCAATATGAAGGTAAATGGTAATATGGTAAATAATCCAATTTTAAAAGAACCTTTAATATGTCAATGGCATAAATGTAACTTGAAATTTTATTCAGCTGCATTGTTATATCATCATTTATGTCAAGATCATGTAGGTAGAAAATCTCAGAAAAATCTACAGTTGAATTGTCATTGGGGTGATTGTAAAGTTAAAACAGAAAAAAGAGACCATATTACATCACATTTAAGGGTCCATGTTCCATTAAAGCCATTTGTTTGTTCAAAATGTCAAAAATTTTTTAAAAGACCACAAGATTTGAAAAAACATTTGAAGATTCATCTGGAATCGAATATAGCTTCGAAAAAGAAAAGAGGTCGTAAATTGGGTTCTAAAAATGTCGTTAGGAAGCAAAATAATGCAACAGTGGATTCCACAAATTTGAAGAATTTCATTAATAATGATATTCATTCAGTAGAGCCAATATTGAATTCAGATTTGAGAGATAAATTGAAAAACATTTTACCATTACCAACTAAAGTTGTTTCTACTCCAAATCAAACCCAAGATGTTTCTACGCCGGTACCATTAGACTTTATCCTACAACAAGATGTTCTCACTCCACAAAGTGTTACATCGTCGATTAGTAACAGTGAATTCCGTAATTTGTCAAATAGTTCTAGTTCACTATCACCTGTTTCTGATGTCCGTTCAAATATTACTATTAATGGACTTCCAAAGGCAAATCCTACTTTGGCTCAAAATCATTTTAACCAGTCTACAACAAACACTTATATACCACCAAATTCAACTATATTACATACATTTGACGATATACCAAGAACTTATGTTCCTGCTGCAGTAACATTTTTCACTAAACTATCACAAAATATGGTTCTACAACAACAACAGCCACAGAAACAACAGCAACAATCAGTGCAACCAGTACAATTTATTTCACAACAACAACAAGACCCTCATATGTCTATTCCACAATATGTGCATGTACAGCAGCCTTCTTCTGCTGCAACCAGTAACTATCCAACACCTGGTTCTTTAAATGATTATGGTAACGTAGAGTATCCAGTGATTCCACAATTACCACCTATTGGGCAGACTTCAATTGCTTCACAACCGGTAGCATATGCTACACCTGCTGTTCCTGCACAAACAACTACACCTACTACATTACAACCTACATCTACAATAGTACCAATGGCTACACTACCTGTACTACAACCAAGATTACATTTCCAAATGCCTTCAAGTGCTATGGCACAACAATTAGCACCACAGAGTAATAACGGTATTTATTACAAACATTATGGTGTGTATCAAATGAATAATGGTCGATCCGAAGAATCTGATGATGATTCTTCAGAGATTGATGAAGACGAAGAAAATGGATCAGTTATTTTATTAAATGATGATGAGGAAGATGCAGAATTATTGGATGTTGTTAATCTGGTTAAAGATTATTTGGTTTGCACTCTATTAGAGGAAGATTTTGAACTAGATGTTGATGAAAGGGTTGTGGAACAAAACAATACTGAAAATATGTCTGATATCAAATCGTTGAGTGACAAATTTGACAAAGTTTTGAAATACCCAAAGATAGTTTTATGAAACAATAATTAAATTGTAACAGGTGCTGTTTTTACTATACTGTTGATATAATTATCAGTTTCATTAATTTATATATATTTATTTTTATTATGCTTGTATTATTATTATGCCATTTTTTACAATAACTTTACAACTTTATATGCATGATTATTTTTCATATAATTTGTTTTGATATTTATCTTTCTTTTATGTCAGTATGCTTTGTATGTTTATTCGATTTTATCATAAACAACTTTATGGTATCTAGACATTATTAATTACTATGGTATATATTATAAATTACATATATATGTATGATGGTCCTATTAGACTTCTTCAGTCTCTGAATCATGGCCATTATCATGATTTTCGTCTTGGGTCTCATTTGAACTGGCACTCTTAAACAATGAATCTGTCAGTTCACCAGATTTCACTAATTTCAAATAATTGTCGTTCCTTAAAATTATGGTAATCACCATGATTGGTGTGCTAATAAATGCTACTACAGCACCAAAGATAAGTTTTAAAACTTGTGGGAATGGATAACTATTATATATATAATCGTGAGGGATACGATGTTTAGCTGATGTTGTAATAATACCTAAAGTTACTGGCCATACTACTATAAAAATTGCAACAGATATTAAAATTGCCCTAATAAGTTTATTAATTGCCCATACACACAAATTTTTAAAATCATATTTTAATGTTTTATTATCTCTGTGGTTAGGATTTCTGAATAATAATAACTTGACGCCTAACCAAAATAGCGATATAGGATTTTTATATTGTAGTATGAGTTTATCATCAATTTGATTGACTGGTAAAATGGTGCATCTTTTGACTTCCAACCATATCTCTAATAGCCCCTTATTTATATTTTTTCCAAAGGGGCAATGACAAGAATTATTTTGAAACCAATCTCCACCAACGATTATTTCTTCAATAAACCAAGTGGCAATATTTTGTACAAAAATGGTCACCACAAGGTCCCCTGCTAAAGTATAAGGAAACCCCCACATTTTCACGACATCGTGATTTTTGGGATGCCTATACATCCCATACGCTACTGCAAATTCAATACCACCTGTTATTATTGCAGAGCCTGTCCCATGAAATATAAATGTGTAAAATAAGAAGAAAGTCAATGGCCATCTCCTTTCAATCTTTTGTTGTATGGTCATATTATATGCATATATACTATTTTGTTTTCACCTAAATAATAGGGCAGAGATATCAATATTTCACCTATTAAAAATATATCAGTATTAATGTTCTTGAGTGAAAAATCAAATTTAAGATTAAATATTGGTTGTTAATAATTGCAAGGATGAGATGTAGCAAGTTAATTTTTTTCTTATGTGATACAATGGATGGAAAATACTGCATACTTGATCTTACTTCATCTCCCTACCATCAATGTTCCCAAATTCTTCTCATTCTTTTCATTTTAATATTTTTATTTATGGTTTTTCCCTTTTTGAAACTTTTTAGTTCCTTTTCAAACCCCGATGAAGCCGATCCTTATTTCCAGCTAATATCTGTTCGATGCTGAACAAGGGGAAAAAGCAAACAAAAAAATATAAAGCTGCATTGTAGAGTTAGGGTGTAATTATTGTTTTGTTAAATTACTAATGTAAATACTTAGGGTTTAAAATAGTTTTCCTTTTTTTGGTTATTTTCCGTTTTGTTTGTTATTTTCTATGTCGTTTAACAAATATATTTCTAGATGTAACAATATATGTTCAAAAATAAATAAGTAAAAGAAAGTAATTCATTGAAATTAGTGGTCTAGGCTACTAATTATACCCTTGTAGGTCAAAAGACAGTTGACCGATAGGATACAAGGAGTTGTTCTCTTTTTGTTTATTTTTTTTTGATAGTGATATATAATATATATATAGGTTAATTAACCAAATAAAAAAAAAAAAAATAAAGCATTAATATAATGGCAGTAGTAAAGAAAAAGCGTACATATACCACTAAATCTGCGAGGGTAGCAGCAGCACAACAAATACAAAAGGCCCAAGAGCAACAAAGACAGAATTCTCAGATTAGGCATCATTTGGAGGAGTCTAGATTGAAATCAGATTCAAATGTTAACTCTACGCTTCATGATGAGAGTGACTCCATATCTTTCAGATCATATCTTTTGAAGAATTTTATTAATTCCACCGTTTATCTTGATGCGTTGACTTTAAAGCCTGTACCCCTGTGCAATTTAAAAACTGTTTCAATATATGGGTCGAAAAATACAGTAAAAAAGTCATTGGTTGAAATGGAAAGGAAATTGAATGACGAGTTGCATCAGTTGAAGGATTTGAAGATGGAATTGGATTCTACAGAGATGAAAATAACAACTAAAGATCCTAATGAGCATATTTTATCTATATTTGATTTATCTACAATAGATGAGTTGAACATCTCCTCATTGGATTCTATTAATAACCTTTTTCAAAGGTACAAGGAAAAATTTCAATTAAATAGTCAAGATTATAGAGTTGTTAAACATTTGAATAAATTTATTGATTTAAAAGTCGATAAAAGTGAAGCACCAACGAATTATTGGGATATATATGAAGATTTAAAACAAAAACAAATAGAAAAAAAACAATTAGCTAAAAAAATGGAGTTAGAGAGGAAACAAAGAGAGGAAGAAGAAGAGTTGAAGAGAAAAGAAGCAGAAAGATTAGAGTTTTTATATAGTAAGAAACAAGAAAGGGAAAGATTAGAAAAAGAGGAGCAAGTGAGGATGGCTAAAGATTTGGAACAAAAATTAATGCATGAACAAGATATAATACGACAACAGCAACCACAGGATATTGTTGCAAATTCTGTCCCTATGATGGCATCACAGATGCCAACAACGGTTTTCAATCAAGATATGAGTAATCAAATTAATCCAAGCGACATTCTTTCTTCAGCTATTGACACCAACGCAACAAATGATCTCCTTACAATCGAAGACACTTCAGCGAATGTTAATGGAAACAGCGTTAATGCTAATGTGGCGGATACGGGAGAAGGTCAAGAACTATTAGATGATATGTTTGGACAATATAATAATGAACAATTCAATGATGGATTTGAAGATGGATTTGAAGATTTAGATAATGTATTCTTCTAACGCTAAAGTGTGCCACCCTGTAAAAAGAAAATAAGTTTAACAATTAATAGATATAATCTTAAAATGATGCATATATATGGTCTATGTGAAGAAAAATCGTTTTTGTCATTGTTTTTGTACCATTTAAAGTTAACTAATAATTTCTTTTATAAATAAATCTATAATATATATATATGTATGTATGTATGTAGCACAGTTGTTGGTATTATTATATTGTTTTTATTTTTTTGCATAAATTAGTGGTCACTTCCAGAAAACATCGTTGATATGTTGGATTAATCTTGATGTAGCAAATGCAACTGTACCAATTATAATTATTATTTGAGTGATAATCAAGCACAGACACGCAAACATATATCTTGGACAAAAAATTTTCCAAACCATCAAATGTCTTCTAAAGACTGTAACCCAAATCAATGAGCTTAGACAAAGCACGGTATTGTAGATCAATAACATACCACAATTGGAAACGATGCGGCCCAACAAAGTTTGAGGCTTTAATACGTCAGGCGGTTGTTTCCATAAGGTGAGCAATGCCACTGACAATGCAACAAGTATGTGTGGACCAAAAGTGTTTAAAATTAACGAAATTTGAGATAAGGGGAAAGTGATTTTATCCGATAAAATGAATGCTATGTCCCACTGTAGAGACGGTATAGTAGCTTGATGACCTGTACTGAAAAACTGTTGGCATGATAATAATCCTAGAACAATAGGACCAATGATATTTTCCTTTAATTTCAACAAATCAATGATTTCCAAAATAGATAATATTTGATTACACATTAAACACAAAGAGAGTTGCGCTAGTGGTTTATTGAAAAGAAGAATCGCTATCAGTATATTAATAACAAGTAAGAAATATTCTGAACCGTAGATGTTCATATACCCCAGGATAGTTGCATATCTTGATTTAATGTCTGTGTTATGTACATTTAATTTGATACAAAGCGGACCCATTGCCCAACCAATATTAGTTGCAATTAAACTAAATCCAGCAATTATTCTGGCGATCGTATACCTGACAATGTTAATATTGAAATCAAATTGATCAAAGTAGTTGATATTCGAATTTTCTAATGAAGTTAACAACCAATAAACAAAATTAATTAGTAAAGAGCCTTTTAAAAATATGTCAATCCATATGGGTGCAGCAGCTTGATATGAAGAAGTTAAATTATAATAACCTTTAATAAAAGCAGGTATAATAAAGATAGTTAGGAAACATAGAGTTAAACACCATATAGAGTTATTTGATGAATTTAAAAAAGTTGGAGAACAATAAATACCTTGTTCTTCTCTACAGATAGTGATCAAAGATGCCACTCGAGTACAAATAATTAATACCAAAGAATGGTAACCACCTAATAATCTACCGAATCTAGATAAAGGTAAATTGTTAGAATTTGCAGTAGATGAATTTACACCAGATGTAGTTCCCTCATTGGCGCTGATCTTAGCAGTTAACAATGCATTTGGGGTTTGTCTTTTTGGTAAAAACACAAATTCGACTAAAGTTAGCATTCCTAGAGAGATTAATAAAAAGTTTATAATTCTGTCTTCCCAAATTGTAAAAGAATTGGATGCAAATAGACAAGAATGTATAAGTAAAATCATACAACCAATGCGAGACCAATAATCGGAAAAGAACACCTCATAAGACTTAGAGACAATCCAGGCAAAATTATAACGGTCAAAGATTGGGACACAGCCGCCAACAATGATTCCAATAGCAGTAGCGAATAAGAAACACCATAATGGACTATCAATTAGGGATAATGTTTTATTAAATACATAATAAACACCAAAGAAACAGATGTTAGACACAATTGTCATTATTCCCATCCAAGGTGGAAATTCTTCCACCATTTGGTTCATTACAATGGATGGGATTAATTTTGTGATAACTATTAATAATATTAATGATATTATCATGAATACTATCCCTGTGATAATACTGTTATAATCAAATCTAGCCCACATATCTTTACAGACCTCCAAAAACATGGTTTGATATTGGTGACCTAAATCAAAATCTCTTTTACTATTGAGAGTTCCATTTATTAGAAGATTGGAAGTTTCGATGTTTAATCCCATGGTCTCCTTATAAGTCAACAATTGGTTTATCATGATCTTAGTGACAATTTCTTTTTCATCACCATTTTCAAAGAATTCTTCTATGGGCCAACCTAGATTATTGAAAGGTACGGGCAATCCCATTAATAAAGATAAAGTGGAGACCAGATCAATTTGATTGATGGATTTATAAGATTCACCTAAATTGGACATGTTATAATTGTTGAGTGATTTAGAATCATTGAAATGGAACATAAACCCGGGTTTTTTTGAATAAAAAAATAATGCACTCTCTAGTTCATCCTTTGAATCCCCACCATGGTTTCCAGTGTGGTCCATACCATGATCGCCCATGACCAGGAACAGAGTATTGTTATCCAGTTGATTTATGATCGATTGAATAAACTGGTTGATCTGGATCTGTTTTTCCTTCATTGTGTGGTGATTTGGGCCATATTTATGTCCAACATGGTCGATACCTAACATATGACCAATCAAGATATCCCAACTTTCACCAGATGACGAATTACCCAAATGATCTTGAAAGTAGGAAATGACACCATTGTCCACAGTATGCAGGTCCCAGACATTCAAGGATTCATAAGGAACTGAATAATTTGATAGGTATGGTTGGAACAACGAATCCCAGGTGTCATCGCCGACAAAGCAGACGTTTTTGTTATGTAAATAGAATTGTTGAATGAGGTTATCTTCTTCGATGACTTCACCTGCAAAATTCGAGCCTGCGTCGATGAAAGTCGGCAAAGATCCTGTGGTCAAACCTTTCAATCTTTGTAAAGTTGTAGTTGGTGGATCGGCAATAAATTTCAGTAATAAGGAGTTATGGCTGTTGCAATTGCTATTGCTATCAGTTTGTAGCAGAGTATTGAATATAGGCATGTTATTATGATAATTGTCATTGAAGAGTGTGTTGTTGGTATCGACTGGTATAACGAAATCGAATCTAAGAGCGTCTACGATTAAAATAACCAATTTATCGAATTTTGGAGACAAAATCAGGGAATCATCAGTATGGTTAGATATATTACTGAGGACATTTCTTGATAGCAAAAAGCCTCTAGTGAAAAAGGAGATGGATATGAATTGTAAAATAGCTAGACAGGATAATAAAACGACGTATAACAGATGGGATTTTTTGAATTTATTAATTCGTATCTTATAGATTTTCTTTTCATCGGACGATATATTGAGTATGGATTTTTTAATAAGTTCTTCATCCATGAGATCAGTTTTTGAGATATTTTTAGTTTGTCTATTACGAGCCATTGTAAGTGGATTATTTCTTAAACCAATATATGTTTGTGTATTTGTGTGTTTGTATATGTTATATCTGTGTATGTTTGAGATTGTTTTGTGTATGCTTAGATCTAAAAAAAGAAAAGAAAGAAAAGAGAAAGAAAGAAAATTCACAGATACAATACATTAAACAAAATAAATAAAAAAAAAAAGGGGGGAGAGAGGCCAGTCTGTCTTATACCTATTTTAGTTTATTGTACTAACCAGCAGTATTGAATAGCGTTGAACATTTAGTAATTACTATTCTCAAAGTTATTATATGTATGATTATTATTATGATTTATTGATGGTCAGAATTATTATTATTATTAAGTGATGGCAGAGTACTGCAAAAAAAAATAAAAAAAGAAAAAAAAAAGAATAAATTTTCAATTAAATGGTATATTAAGATCTAGATTATTTATTTATTTAGTTAATTAGTTAGTTGGTTAGTTAGTTAATGATTGATTATTTACATATTATTGAATCAATCAATGTATTCACATAATGGAGATACGCCGGAAAAAAAAATGAAAAAAAAAAAAAAAAAAAAAAAAAACGAAATAAATGGGGGAAAAAAAAAATAAAATAAGATAAAACCCTGAAGGTGTTGAAAAGTGGAACACAGAACAACAAAGAGAGGAAAACCAAGGAAATTCTAAAAACAAGCCCTATCTACACCTAACATCAAGTTGGAGCGGGAAAATTGAAAGAAGAAGAATAAGACATTCCAAAATTATTACGACAGAAGACGGTGGATTCTTATCCATATATCAAGAGTACTATTCTTTAATAACGAAACTAGAAGAAAAAAAATCTGTAATCCTTTTTCAAATCTCAATATAACCAGCCTTAGTAATCGGTGAATAAGCGTTCTTAGTAAGTGTATTCAAACTAGAGCAAAAACAGAAAACGAAAAATAAAAAATGAAAAATGAAAAATGAAAAAAAACTGCCTGCTCCATTTCCTTTCCGATTTTCCTTCCTCGTTTATTTCTCCATGGAACATTCTAGAAAAAGAAATCTTTGTTTTCTTCCCCCTTTCTCATCAAAAACTCGTAACCATTGCCTTTCTTTTCCGTCCCCCCTCCCCCTCCCCCTTTTTTTTTCCTGTTTTTCGTTTTCGTTTTCTTTTTTCTTTTTCTTCCCTTTATTTGTTTCTGTTTACTGTCGTTTCAAATGAGCTAACAAAAAAAAAAAAAAAGAAAAAGAAAAAGAGAATGAAACACAGGGAAAAGATAGCACACCCACACACCCCACCTAACAGGACACTTTTACGTTTTTTTTTTCTGTCTCCTCTGAAGTTCCAGAGGGTTCCATCGGGTTCCATCAGGCATATTACTAAGGCCATTGTTTTGCTCTTACTAAGTGGTTTGTCTTTTTTTTTTCCTCTTCTCTTCTCTTCTTTTCTTTTCTTTTCTTTTCTTTTCTTTTCTTTTCTTTTCTTTTGTGTGTGTGTGGTCTTTTTCTTGATTTTCTATCTCTGTTGGAATCACAAAATGTTCTTTGACGTTCTTTGAAGTTCTATAACTTTCACTCTTATCTCTGTTTTACTACTAGTTATTATTTCTCAACCTACGTAGTGCCTTTTTTTTCTTTTTTCTTCTCAATGCCTCTTCATTCTCTCTCCCCCTCGAGATTGAATTGAAGAAAGTAGGAGACCAAAAAAAAAAATATATAAACACATTGGTTTCATTGAACTATCGACTTCTCATGCTAGGGAAAAAATAATCTCTTAGAACTTGCTCTATCTTAGCAATTGCAGATTCTCTTCCAACACTTCCTCACACTTTATTCCATTTCAAGCTTATTCCGTTGTAACTAAACAAGAAAAAAAAAACAAAACATCAACAAAAAATATTATTCTAAACCATGTCTAAAGCTGTCGGTATCGATTTAGGTACTACTTACTCCTGTGTCGCTCACTTTGCTAACGACAGAGTCGACATTATCGCCAATGACCAAGGTAACAGAACCACTCCATCTTTCGTTGCCTTCACCGACACCGAAAGATTGATCGGTGATGCCGCTAAGAACCAAGCTGCCATGAACCCAGCTAACACCGTCTTCGACGCCAAGAGACTGATCGGTAGAAACTTCAGCGACCCAGAAGTCCAAGGTGATATGAAACACTTCCCATTCAAGTTGGTCGACGTCGATGGTAAGCCTCAAATTGAAGTCCAATTCAAGGGTGAAACCAAGAGATTCACTCCTGAACAAATCTCTTCTATGGTTTTGGGTAAGATGAAAGAAACTGCAGAATCTTACTTGGGTACTAAAGTCAACGATGCTGTCGTTACCGTTCCAGCCTACTTCAACGATTCTCAAAGACAAGCTACCAAGGATGCCGGTACCATTGCTGGTTTGAACGTCTTACGTATCATTAACGAACCAACTGCTGCTGCTATCGCTTACGGTTTAGATAAGAAGGGTCAAGAAGAAAATGTTCTTATTTTCGATTTAGGTGGTGGTACCTTCGATGTCTCCTTATTATCTATTGAAGACGGTATCTTTGAAGTCAAGGCCACTGCCGGTGACACTCATTTAGGTGGTGAAGATTTTGATAACAGATTGGTTAACCACTTCGTTCAAGAATTCAAGAGAAAGAACAAGAAAGATTTAACCACCAACCAAAGAGCCTTAAGAAGATTAAGAACTGCTTGTGAAAGAGCTAAGAGATCCTTATCTTCATCTGCTCAAACCTCTGTTGAAATTGACTCTTTATTCGAAGGTATTGACTTCTACACTTCTATTACCAGAGCCAGATTCGAAGAATTATGTGCTGACTTATTCAGATCCACTTTGGAACCAGTCGAAAAGGTTTTGAGAGATGCTAAATTAGACAAGTCTCAAGTCCACGAAATCGTCCTTGTTGGTGGTTCTACCAGAATTCCAAAGGTTCAAAAATTAGTCACTGACTACTTCAACGGTAAGGAACCAAACAGATCCATTAACCCAGATGAAGCCGTTGCTTACGGTGCTGCTGTCCAAGCTGCTATCTTAACTGGTGATCAATCTTCCAAGACCCAAGACTTATTATTGTTGGATGTTGCTCCATTATCCTTAGGTATTGAAACCGCTGGTGGTGTCATGACCAAATTAATTCCAAGAAACTCCACTATCCCAACCAAGAAGTCCGAAATCTTCTCCACTTACGCTGATAACCAACCAGGTGTCTTGATTCAAGTCTTCGAAGGTGAAAGAGCTAAGACTAAGGACAACAACTTATTAGGTAAGTTCGAGTTATCTGGTATTCCACCAGCTCCAAGAGGTGTTCCACAAATTGAAGTCACCTTCGATATCGACTCTAACGGTATCTTGAACGTCTCTGCCGTTGAAAAGGGTACTGGTAAGTCCAACAAGATTACCATCACTAATGATAAAGGTAGATTGTCTAAGGAAGATATCGAAAGAATGGTCGCTGAAGCTGAAAAATTCAAGGAAGAAGATGAAAAGGAAGCACAAAGAATCGCTTCTAAGAACCAATTAGAATCTATTGCTTACTCTTTGAAGAACAGTGTCAACGAAGCTGGTGATAAATTAGATGAAGCTGACAAAGAAACTGTTACTAAGAAGGCCGATGAAGTCATCAGCTGGTTGGATTCTAACACCACTGCTACTAAGGAAGAATTCGATGATCAATTAAAGGAATTACAAGCTGTTGCTAATCCAATCATGACTAAATTATACCAAGCTGGTGGTGCTCCAGGTGCCGCTCCAGGTGGTTTCCCAGCAGGTGGTGCTCCTCCAGCTCCAGAAGCTGAAGGCCCAACTGTTGAAGAAGTCGACTAAGGTGCAATACTATAATCATTACTTCGATCGTTACGACATTCCTAAAAAAAATAAAAAAAAGAAAAACGACAACAATAAGAAAACACATAACCATTCTCTCAAGCATTTGTAATAATGATTAGTTAATATTTTTATTTAATTTTCTATTCTTATATATTTTATATCCATATACCATATATAAAAATCATTAGTTTCATTATAAATTATACATATTTGTATCTATAGATATAAATTCATATTTGTCTAACAAAAGATGGTTAATGAACCTTTTGTGAAAATGAATCGTTCTGTATGCATATGCTATCTTAGTTTAATTTTGTATCGTTCTTCAAACTTGTCAATTTCTTGTTCAAGATTTTCTGTCAACTTATCCCGATTTAATAGTTCCCTTCCTTCCTCTCTTTTTTCATTAAGGTTTAAATTTTTGTATGTATCTCGAAATTTCTTCACAATATTGTTTGAAATGTTTTCTTCTGTTATATCATTTTTAAGCTTTAAGTCATCTGAATTATTTAATACTATTTTTGTCTTGCTTTGAATATTCTCATAAATGAAATTCTCGATATCTTGCTCTCTGGTCAACTTAAGTTCAATAATGTAATTCTTAATAGACTGTAACTGTTCTTCCACATTCTCAATCATAGACATAAACTTTTTATTTAAATATTCTTCTTGTTCAATTTCATAGATCAACCGATAATTCTCCTTAATCAATTTTTGTATTTCGTTTTCTTCTCTGTCTTGTTGCTCTCCAGTTAGTACAGTATTATTGTGTTTTCTTTTGACATCCAAAGCTACATCCTTGGACAGTTGTTCATATGATATTATAGATTGTTTAGCCACACGTTTTAATAACAATTCAATCTTATCAGTCTCTTGCCTAGAAGCCCGTGAAGATTCACTTAGAGTTTTAGTTAACTGGTAAAGGTATTCGAAACTGTCTGTATTCATCTTTTGCAGGTTCTAAACTTGTATGTTTCCACATATATACAAGTAAATATATTAAATATTTGGTAAGAGTTTGTGTTTGCCTCTTCCTAATTTGTCTATATATTGTAACTTAATCTTCCCATTTTTATATGTTTATATATAGTTTTTTTTTTATTTTAAAGATAGAGAGAATAAAGAATAATGATTGTAGTAAACAGATGTTCAATTGTAAAACACTAGAAAATAACGTTCGTTACAGTTCTCAATACATCACGTATTTAGATAGATTTTTTGAGGAGGTGTCAACTGAAAGGAACGAATATAGAAAGAGTGTGTGTATGTGTGTGTATGAAGCGGTTTGACACTTATTGTTATTGAAAAGAAGGTGAAAATAGGAGAGAAACAGAGAGACAAAAAAATTAAACAGATAGATAAATTGACAGAGATGAGTGAATATTTGCCCAATTCATATCTCCTAGGTGTTCATCTAACTATTTCAACACATTCAGGTCCTTTGATGGTTTATTCATATCCACCTGCAAAGATAGATGCAATAGAAAAATTAACATCTATATATTCAATGACTACGAACAATAAAAATCATTTAAACAAATTAGCTCAAATAAACATGGTCCATAATGAGACTGGATATAGTAGAACGGTAAATGTATCATCAAAGAAAGATCAGAATAATAAAAGATATATAACTAATCAAATTACGCCTACCTCAGATTTCAGATTTGATTTTGATTCATCTATTAGAAGTAAGACTTCACTAAGGACAATGTCTTCTCAATCAAGCTTATCACCCGTTTCTTCGTCTAGTTCCCCTGAGACTAAATCATGGCTATCTTCTGAGGGTTTGAGTGAAAGTGAGTTGTCTACAGATTATTTAGATGAATCATTTTCATCTGATGGAGATTCTTCTGAAAGCTCCTCATTTTCTTCCTCTTTAATAACAAATCATATGCAATCATTAAATATTGATAATGAGATAATGGAAAAGAAAAAGATTTTGCCAGAAGAGGAAGGGGAAAGACCTGGAGCTGCCTCACATGGTGTTATTACAGGTGATCGATTATTGAAATTGTTTGATTCAGTTTCCAAGATTAGTGATGATGATGATAAAAGTGGTTTTAATCAAACATATTTTGACAATGATGATGACAATGTGAATTATGATGATCGTGATCGTAATCGCTTTTTGAATAAGAATATGATTAATGATTTTTTTTTCAATGAGGAAAATTTTCAGGATATTGATAAAATTTTTGGATTTAATTCTGAATTTGTTGCTGAATTTTGTTGTCCAGACAGAGAACTTTGTAATACTAAATTCGAATTTACAATTGATCAAATAGCCTTTCTTGGTTTGCCAATTCATAATGATATAAATGGAGAATGGCGAAAGTCTAAGCATAAAAAACACAATTCCTCGAAGAAAAGTGTTTCTAGATCTTCTTCGACTATCCGTAGTCATAAAGAATCATCTCAAGTGTCTTCTTCAAAAAATTTAATTAAGAAACAGAATATTAATAAAGATATTACAAGTAAAGTAGATAGATCAGAAGCATTCAATGGAATCAATAATTTATCAGATTCAGATGAACAGGAAGAAGGGAATCAGGATGAAAGAGATGTGACTGATGATGAAGGTGATGGTGATGATATAGAATTTCATGATTTAGATAAGAGTATGAATATGTTTCATGTATGTTTTGTTCTAAATCCACCACTAATCGAATATAATGAACGAATTGATGATATATACCAACACGTTGTGGTTAAGTTAGCGCTTTTGCTCAGATATTTACAATCTAAATCAAACTATGTTTCTGAAGAATGTGAAATAATTATGAGAGAAAGAGAAAATGTTATAAAAAACTCCAAAAAGTATCAATCTTTAAAAAGTTCTTCAGAGAGAGGTAAATTTTTGTATGAGAGAATATTATCAAAATCAACATTAGCTCAAGCATTGACGCAATGTGTAGATCAGATTCATAAAAATGAAATTGCATGCATAAATATTGGAGGTAGAATAATTTCATTGCAGATACCCATTCAAAATGAGTTTCAACATTTGCCAGATTATAAGGTTAATCCAATATTGACTCATTCTTTTCTAAGTACTATGACAAACAATATATTTCTTAGGAGATCAGGAAATCCGTTTGAAGTACAACAAACAGAGTTTTTAAATTCAAATAATACAGATGATTTATTTAATATAGATGAAGATGTATTAAATTATTCGTTATTATTACTTGATGAACCGCAAAATATAATAAAGAATTTGGAGAATACATCACAATCAGCAAAGATGGATGATATTAATAATATACTATTGATACAAATGGTGAAGAATATTCAACCAACAACACCACTAAATAAATATCATAGTATCATTTCAGAATTTTTGCAGATAGAAATAGGACCACTGACTTCAAAAGTTCTTCGATCCTGTGCTTTGCATTTGATTTATTGGAGACACGCCAGAGTGATTATTCCATTAAGTTCAAAGAATACATATATTGTATCGCCATTAGTATCATTATCAGCTTCATACCCACAAGATGAAGTTATATTTAAAGAGAAATTCAATGCATTGCCATCATTGAGTTATTTTTTAAATAAATTGTCTAGTATTGAGAATTCAGATTCAAGTGTTAATAAGAAACTGGGTAATGGTAATAACATTGATAATAGTAATAATAGTAATAGTAATAATAATAATAATAGCTTATTAATGTTGAATAAGCGTGGAGTGAAGCCATTTGGATCATTAATTCCAAGTAAAGAACATAAGGGAGTGTACCTTAGTGTATTGAGTTGGTTATTACGACATGGTTATGTATGTCAATTATTAACATTTGTGTTTATTAGAGTTGATAAGAGGATTAAGATAGCAGTAGAGGAAGAGTTAGAAAGAGAAGGGTACAAGAACAAGAAGGGACAGATTTTGAATAAGAAAAGAATGGCTACAGTGAAGGCAAGAAACTCAGTGATTCAATCATCTCAACATTTTGAGAATTTGGATAAAAATGGAGATAATGCACTTCTTGATATAAAAGGGATTGGTGGTATTGAACTGGATGGTATAGAGGATCATTTTGAGTTTGATGACCCGGATTTACAACAGGATTATACTATAATTTTGGAACCAGAAAGAGTGACGGCATTAGAGAAAAGATGGCTATATAGATGCATATCAGAACAGCCACCTGATATTCAGGTACTGTTTAAAAGATTATTAAAATATTTCAACGGGCGAACTCCAATGGAAACAGTGATGTTACGAGAAGGTGTTACTCGTCATGAATTAAGAAAACTATTTAACGCATTAAATAGATATGTAGTCGAGATTCATCATTGGTAAGTAAAGAATAATGGAACAGGACAAAAAAAAGGGGGGAGGGGGAAAAAATTTATCTACACTTTGTTTGATGGTGTGTATTCAAGATTTTATGTAAATACTTTTACTTTTATATTTCCTTTTAAACAAATATTCGTGATTGTTAATCATATATTAATTGTTTCTCTTCGATTTGTTTATTTTTTTTCAGTTAGGAGCGAATACCTTTATTTAAGATCAAAACGTTAAAATAAACAAACACCTACACACATATACAAAAAAAAAAAGGAAAAAGACAGGTTAGTACATTACTATAATGAAAAGCTTTTAAATAAAACCATAACCCAGTGTCGAAATTTAGTTAAAAGGTATGGGGTAATAACTTATAAGTTATAACAGAACTTTATGAACCGTATTTTTATAAGTAATCGCTCACAGTATTAAATAATACATATATTATGTACAAAACTATGTATTACGTATATAAAGTCGTGAGTAAAAGAAAGTATTTCTAATTTCTATATCTTGACTATTTATACTTTTCAGAAAGTTAATTTTGAGAAGAAAATTTTTTCACAAAATTTTCATTGAGTCTGGGTAATATCTCAACACTCAGTAAGAATATAGATCCTTATGTGTGATATTTCAACATCTTGTAGCATGAAGTGCTCAGCTTTAGCCACAGAATCCACACACACACAGATTTCTTTAGGCCTTGCCATTGTTTGTTTAGGGCTTCAGAATAAATGAAAATACCCTCAGCTCGTGCAAAAAAAAAAGACAATAGGACAAAGAGAAAAAGAAAGAGGGTCTTCTATCTACACAAATACACGTCCTTTTAAAGCTGTTCTACGACCTCTTGAATAACCCTTATAAGTAGTACCACTGACACTACCAACACTACTAATATTGCCAACTGCCAATTCCAGACTGAAAATGATTGTTTTATTTTTCGAGCCTTCTAGAATCTTACCCTCCCTCTATTGTGTGGCCAGATCGGGAAAGTTTTCAAACAAGAGAAAGATCGAAAAAGGAAACCGAGTTGAATGAAAAAAAAAAAAAACATAAAAACTAAAAAAAAAAAGATCAAGAAAAAGAGAAAGAGAAAAAAAAAAAGTAAAGACCTTTATATCCAACCTGGTAGAAGTAACAAAAGAACGAAATAAAGAACAAGACACTCTAACTAAACGCACACACAAAAAAACACATAGCCATTACAGTGTCACTCCCCCCTCTTCACTTTCTCATATCTTCCATCCCCCTCCCCCCACACTCCCTAGTCGTGTTTTTATCTTATTTTGATCTGTGTCTGTTATTTCCTAGTTACAAAAGTAACCAATGAGTTATCCTGAAGATAAAATATCTATTAAAAGAGAAGAATCCAATTTTACTGGTGTTTCATTCCCACCAAGAGGTGTCGCAACCAACCATGATAATAACAACAAAAACAATCAATCCCTATCTGATTCAACTTATCAGCAACAATCTATCAAACAAGAACCTGTCTCTCCACAGGATTCCTTTGTTAAAGTAAAAATACAACAAAACCAAAGTGATGATAATGAACATGATGATGAACACGAATCTCCTCAGGAGCACAATGGTGACCATATTAATAACAATAATAACAACGACCTGGTTAATGAACAATTTGAAACTTTAAATACTAAAAATAATGTCGGTCAAGTCTTACCAATACAACCAAATCTGAAAATCATTAAAAGACAAATCACCAATTATGTTGGTTTTGCAAATTTACCAAAACAATGGCATAGAAAATCTATTAGAAATGGTTTCAATTTCAATCTTTTATGTGTTGGGAAATCTGGATTAGGTAAAACTACTCTAATTAACTCTCTTTTCAACCAAGAATTTAACGATTCGAATACTGTTAATGATGATAACAAATCGATTGAAAATATTAACAATAATGCTAGTGGTAACCAGGAAGATGACGAGGACAATTTAGTTAAAATTAATATTCAAAGTTCTATTATCGAGGAAAATGGTGTCAGATTAAAATTGACTGTTATTGAAACACCTGGTTTCGGTAACCACATTAACAACAACGAATCATGGAATCCTATCATCCAAGAAATCAATCACAGATATGATCAATATTTAGACCATGAAAATAAAATTAATAGAACTTCCTTTGATGACATGAGAATCCATGCATGCTTGTACTTCATCGAGCCAACCGGCCATTGTTTGACTCCATTAGACTTGAAATTCTGTTCTCAAGTTCACAAGAAATGTAATTTAATACCTGTCATCTCAAAGTCTGATATTATGTCAGATGAAGAAATCATTGCATTCAAAACTACTATAATGAAACAATTCAATGAAAATGGCATTGATTTGTTTCAGCCACCGATGTATAAATTAGATGACGAAGACACAAGGGAAATGGCAAATAAATTATACGAGAGCTTACCATATGCTGTAGTTGGATCCAATGATTTTGTTCCAGATCCAATTGATCCAAGTAAAATGATTAGAGCTCGTCAATATCCATGGGGGTTAGTAGAAGTGGAAAACTCAAAACATTCCGATTTCCAATACTTACGTGATTTATTGATTAGACAATATTTGGAAGAACTACGTGAAAGAACGGATAATGTATTATACGAGAACTATAGATCAAACAAATTGGTCAACCTTGGTATTAAACAAGATAATTCTGTTTTCAAAGAATTTGATCCCTTAGAGAGACAAGAAGAAGAAAGAAAATTACATGAGGCTAAATTAGCCAAATTAGAAAGTGAAATGAAATCTGTCTTTCAACAAAAAGTTAATGAAAAGGAGAAGAAATTACAGAAATCTGAGACCGAGTTATTTGCAAGACATAAAGAAATGAAGGAGAAGTTACTGAAACAATTGAAAGCTCTAGAAGAAAAGAAACATCAATTGGAGATGTCCATCTCCTCGCAAATGAACCAAGCTTCTCCTGTTCCACAAAAGAAAAAAGGTTTCTTAAGGTAGGTGGAAAATATTATTCACATCACCTTATAATCATTATTATATTGCTAATAAAACAAAAAAACAAAGCATACATCATGTTGTCATCCAAAACCACAAGATGCAATTTTATAATGTAGAACTATCTTAAAAAAAGAAGAAAAAAAAACGAAACCGAACAAGATGAATCAAAGTTTTTGCTGTTTTATGTATATCAACTTCAATCTTACCCGTCTTCATATATGACTATCTATATAACATCAATGAAAATTCAATTAGTTAAACCTTCTCTCTCTATATATCGATAACTGATAAATAATTCTTTTTCTCGAGCAATTAAAAATCTCATAGTTCAAAACGCGTCATAAGGAAAACGAAAAAAAAAAAGAAAAAAAGAAAAAAGAAATACAAAAAAGCTGACAAAAAATGAAGAGGAAACCTATTTTATAGATGCGACGCGTAAACGATTGTTTCTAAGTGAAATATATTCATTTCATTATATATCTTAGAGAAACCAAGGTTCAATAATTTTTTTCTTCTACTTAATTATCAACGTTTATAACTTTCTCATTACTTCTGTCATATTTTACAGAAAGCAGAATGTATCCGTTTAAACTTGCATGGTTCTTTTAAAAATAAAACTGAAAAAAACTCAATCATAAATAGATGAGACTGTATTTTAACTATGACTGTTGAACAACATATTCCGACTTTTAGTAAATATTACATAGATATACAAAACTATTTCAATCTAAAAAATCCTAATCCACAAGAATTTGATTTTGAAAAACAAGTTAATTCATCTAAAGGATCACACTCTAAATTATCAACTCTAACTGAGACCCAATTTTTAGAATTGAGTACTGATGTACATGATGAATTACAGAGACGATCAAACAGTGATACCGAGCATGCAGAATCCCGTTTAAAACCTATAAATGTATTTCATAAGAAAAGAAATATAGCAAGAGAAAAATTGTCACTGTTATCTGAAAGTAGATTTAATGATTTATTAACTGACATTATGCAGGAAATCGAAAGACGTGACTATTGCATAAAAGAAATCTCAAATGTAAAGGATGACTCTAAAGATCAACTTAATCGTAACCTTAGCCAAGAATTTACTGATACAAGTACACCTTTGAAAAAAATTCCTTCTACCGATGCAAATACTACCAATCATACAAATAAAGAAGATACTATACAACAAACTGTGATAGCTCCAATCAAAGCTTCGATCAATTGGTCTTCTGATGAAGAAGAGGAAGGAGAAAACGAGGAAAATGAAGAAATAAGCGAAAAAGAGGATAGACATGAAGGAAAAACGGAAGAAAAAGAAAAATCACTCTCAATCACTTCAAACTCAAAAAAAGAACTTAATACATTAGATCAAAGGAACATTGAAGCTGAGATGAATTTTATTAAAGATCATCAATCTAACAAATTTTCTAATGACAATTCTGGAATCCAAATAAAGGAAAAATCTACTAAATCAACGAAGATAGAAGTACCTCAAAATGACATAATTGTATCTGAAACTATCTCCATAAATAAAGACATGAAAGTTACAGAACCAATATTTAAACAACTTGAGAAACAGACCTATTCAAAAGATGACGACGAATTTGACTTTAATACACCTTCAAAAACCATGCTAACAAACAACAAAACAACTACAGAAACATTAGTTATGAATGAACTAGATAATAGAAACGTTGATTCATCAAACACAGATTCAATGAAAACAATTGAATCATTAAAAAATGAGAATTTAAAATTAAAACAGGAATTGGAATTTTTAAAGAACAAAAATAAAAATAAGAACAACAATTATACTGACCAGAAAATCCTCTCGAATAAACACAATCTACAATTTGATCAATATATTGATCCATCCGGCCATATTCCATTAGATTTAGTGAAAACTTTTCAAAGTTTAACTACTAATTTATATTCTATTATAAACGAATCAGATCATCTAACAAAAAAGAAAGAATTGGGAAATGATCTGTTCACCAAGATATTCCAAATATCTAAAAATCTTCAAGAAATAATGCTATTGTCAACCATACCTGAAGCAGAGAATAATATAATCCTTCTACGGACAGCTTTATCACATTTGATCACATCTATTAGGTATTACTGTTCATTCAATGATTTATTACCGAAAATCACTGTAAATACAACAATATCTGATTTATGCTTCTCGTTTTGTAATCTGGTATCTGTTGTAAAAATTAAATATATAGATCCAAAAAATACTAAAATTGATGATACTGATTTCCTATTAAATCTAAATGAAGTGACTTTGGTTAATTCTGTTGATACAGAAGAAATCTTATCACCAAATTCATCTTCCAAAGTAAAACCATTAAGATTAGCAGAGAAATTTCATGCTTTTGACAGTTCCACAAATTCTATAGATAATAATAGTAATAATTTTAGTAAAGATCTACTCACATCAGAATCAAGTATATCGACCACAGCCAGGTCTACGCTAAACAAAGGGCTGTTATATGAAAGAATAGATATTAAATCAGTTGCTTCATCTCAAGAAAAAAAAAGAAAGTAAAAAAAATATACAGATGAAAATTCATAAGGATGAGTCATCCACTAAGCAGGAGACACCCAAAATATTTGAACTGCATAACAATGAAACAAGGGGAAATTCTAAAAAGGGACCAGAAAGAAGCCATAGTTTTATGGATAGATTTAAAAAAGAAAAAATCGTCGATAGATTAAAGCATATTGGCGCAAAGTAAGCTGCACTTAGTATATAAAATATCTAACCTATAAATATATAGTCATGAGATCTTTTAATAGAGACAATTACAATTCTTGTATTATAAATGAATATATAACAAAAAAAAAAAACAATAATATTACTACATCAACTTGATATTTCTATCCATCTATCTATATACATATGCAAATAAAAATAAATCTTTGTATATAGTTAAACCAATCTATATTATTATTAATATTATTTTTGAAAATTTATGATTTCATTGAATAATTAAAAAAAATGATTGCCCTTTCATTTTAATATTATATACACTCAAATATCCAGCTAAAACTAAATAATTGACACATTTCAATCTAAAATACTCCTCCATAGGTTTGCTCGAATAGAAAAATATGTGTATTTTATTAATACTATTTACAGTAAAGTAGACAAATGTCTACATGTGCTTTTTATATTTCAATATATATAGACATATAGATTGTGCAGTTAAGAAAAATCATTTAGGATAGTTTATCATCAACACAATAATCTCAACTATTTTCTTGTATACGAGGTTTTTTACATCTTTTAATGCGTCCTCTACTGTCATTATGAATTTTTAAATAATAATTTTTTTTTCTTTTTTCTTTTTTAAACTCTTATTCTGTATGTTCACGAAGCAGAAAATTATTAACAAATAACGATGCCTTTTCAACTCCATTTGTTAGAAGAATTGCTCCAACAACAGAATTTAGAACAGATGAAACAATTTTGGGTTCACCGTTGAAGATTTTAGTACCACTAGCATCTCTTTTTTTCCAAAATACCAATTCATGTAACCCTAAGGATTCCATAAATTTAAATAATTTTGGTTCTGCTAATAAATTCTTACTTTCATAAGAACCTAGTGTATCAAAATTCATACCATTAACAAGCCCACTAGAATTTTGGGAATCAGTCGACTTTATTGAATGTAAAGAGGCTTGTACTTTCAAAAAATGAGAACCTATAATAAACAACTTTTCATTGTATGGAACCTTCCCATGAGCAAAAGACTTATGTGTAAAACATTGTAACAATAAACGATCGTCTATTTTAATGTCAAATTTATTAAAGGTTAATTGATTCCTTATCTTTGAAAAAAATTGAGATGCCTGTGACCCCACTTTCTTATTAACTGATTCATAAGTCAACCCGTAGGGGTTTAACATGTAACTTGCAGGATCTCTTTTAAGCCCCCGTACACGAGAGCCAGAATGTAAATAAGTTATTAATCGTATTGGCTCCCGACATGCAGTAACGGATCCATTTCTATTCACTGCACCTAACACTGACTTAAAACTTTGACTTGTAAATACAGTTCTTTGCATACTGCTGTTGATACAACTTCCAAATATTCAATATTGAAACTGTCTTATATCTATAAAAACCCGAATTGAAGACAAAAAAAATAGTACAATAGACTAACCAGAAATCCCTTTTTTATTTTATTTTTATTCTAGATGACTACTCGTCCTCTATGCTAATCCGTATGCATATAGCTGCAATTTATAAGTAGAGCCCACAGAAATAGGATGATTTGGTTCTTCTTTCTTAACCGCAATACTTCTTGTCATTTCAATTTCTTTTGATTTTTCTGTTCTTATCCTCGAAGTGTTCATTCACTGGTTTTCCTTTCTACAAAAATCTTCTATTACAATTCCCATCGTTTTTTTTTATTTGTTTGCTTCCCCTGGCTTTTCAAAAAAAAAGTCTGAACCCTAAAAACACAAAGAAAAACTTAGGGTATAAAAATGTGGTTAATAATTTTTAGGTATTTTATTTAAGGCCTGCATACTTTTTTACCAACAGAAAAGTCTACTCAATTTCCTCTCATTCTCCATTTAAAATAGTAGTGCAATGCAATAAAAGGGGAACAAAATAACAGGCTCAAGAAGACTAATGCCACAAAAAGTTTAGATATTTATATCTATATATTGTGCCTGTAAAGTATTTTCCAATTATCCTCTTTCCAATACAATATATCTAGGACTTCAAGTGATAATAGAAATTTCAATAGAGCAAACGCCTTAACAAGTCACTTGTGTGTGTTCTATAGGGGCAAAACTATATAGTTTATTTAACACCTACACGCACTCGAACAAAGCTACACTCCCAGTAGCATATATATAATATATAAAAAATAATGATTTCTTCTCAAAGATGGGACACTGAGTCTGAGGATGGTTGGAATATCGTTAAAAGAAAGAAAAAAATACAAAATTTTGTACCAAAACATAAAGAAATAATACAAAACAAAAATACTTTGAATAATAATGAAGCTCACTATAACAGATTTGTATACAATTTTATCAAAGATGGTGATATTGATATTTTGTCTTCCACAAGTGATGAAACCAATTCTGATCTTGAGAATATAAGTATAAGCAATAATCATAACATTACTGAAGAATCAAAAATTATAAAAGCTAAGCTTATTGACACAAACACAAATGACCTGGTTTTCTCAAATTCAACATTGAAAGATACTGAAGTTTTACAACTCTCTAAATCTTTTGAAAGACCAAATCATGATACATTTAAAAAAAACATTAAATCTTCATGTAAATCAAAGGAAAACAGCACCAAAGACTGTATAAGGAAACTTTTTTTTTTGCCACAAATGCCTTCCTTATGGTTGCGTATATCCTTTTATACAAAGAAATTTGAAATTCGACAAAATCATAGTAATAATGACCATCAATTAAGTTTTGAAGAAATATTGGTAATTTTTGTAATATTCTTTTTTTTAAGTTTAGGTGTTTGGAAATTTTTCAATCTGATTATGATAGTATTATCTAAAAATTTTAGTTTTATTTCCAGTAAAGAAAAAGGTTTGTCAGATTCAAAAATGTCAAGTAAAATAATCACAACTTTCAGTTGGGAAATTGATTTAAAAAATATACAAACTTATAAAAAAATATGCATTGGAACAGACGATGATAACACTATAACTACTTTTACTTCTTCTTCTATTAGCGAGAACCTGCCCGATGATAATAAAGACATTGTATCCTTTGAGAGTAAACTTTATATATCCACCGTTCCAATAAAATATAGGACCACAAGTAAACAAATAAAAAATATTTGGAAGCCACAAGGTAAATATCTTATTGATTTTGATACACAAAGTATATATAAAATCGACACCATTAGTATTATGTTAAATTTCTACAAAAAATTAATTAGAGAAAGCAAAACGCACTACGATCAAATAAAACTATTATTTGAAAAAGAAATTAATAAAGACGTGAAAAGATGGTCTGTTTTAAAAAATCACATTGAAACTATAAGAAACACTGCTAAAGAAAATATTAAGACAATCAACTGGAAAAAAAAATTTTGGATTGACTAGTATAAAAATAAATAACAAACTAACAGCTTAATATCACTAATAATAATAATATTTTAAAGAAATACCACTACACTGGCTCATATATATCTAAAACAATCAAATAAATCCCATATTCTGAATATTCTTTTTTATATTACTATTTGCCTTACATATATATATATATATATATATATATATATGTAAGAACAATACACACATTATAATAATTAGAATAACTTTTATTTTTATTTTATCTATTATTAAAAATAATGTTTAAATGATGACACATAACGAAAAAAAATAAGATAGGCAATACAACCCAAGACTCTTGAAGTCAAAGAAATACAACATTCAATGAGAATAACCCACAACAGCAAGCAAAAAAAAAGTACAGTGTCGTCTTAACATGAAACAATTGTTTCCTTAAGTGCACACTCTAAGTGATAATAAACAAGTATATTCGTCTGTACAGCTCAAGAGTTGTCTTTCATTGACTCATTAGGGTTTCTGTTGTCATTTCTGGGGCTTAAATAATTTAAATAACCTGCGGAAATGTGAAAAAGAGGAAGCGGAAAAATGACGGAATCAAAATTCCGATTGTTGAATTGTTATGAACTAAAAAAAGTAAAAGCGAAGATTGGAACAATGACCAAGGGAAAAAAAGAAAGGAAAAAAAACGCTGAATCATATTAAAGATAACTTTTAGTTCTCAGGTGGCTCTACGATTGAAAAATAAAAGACTATTCTGAGTCTTTCATTACCATGTTGTATGTGTCTATATATTCGTGAAGTTATTCAATTTACTGATAGGACAGAAGATAAGGAAGTTTGAAAGGTGATAATTAAACATTTTATTGACCATTTGAATCCTTTTCCACTATATAATTGTTTTTTTTTTTTTTGTTTATAGAGCCTCACATCTAAGGGATCATCAAATAATATAGATATTGCTGGTTCGATATCTCTACAAAATCTCCCTAAATAAGTTAAAACAATATACATATATACGCCAATTTAATTATAGCCCTCTTCCTTTTTATTATTAATACTATTAATATTCAGCTAGCATGGTCTTGTCCGATTCATATATTCCATCTGATATCAATCCACTGAAACCCATTTCATCACATCCTAATACATCAAGTACAACTCGCTCCTTGAACGAATATAATGTACCCTCAGCTAGTGTAGAGAAAAAGGATTCTTTATTGAATACTCGTATCCATAAGACAAGGAGTCATGATGTTGCTTCACAAAATAATCCAAGTAGTCATAACAATAATAATAATATAGTAGGATCTATTACACCACCGCTAGGTAACATATTCAATATTGACATTGTAATTGCTATTCACGATTATAATTTATTCCCACAAAGGCATTCCTTGTCTCCTAGTCCCACAAAGGCGTCTTCACCTGGATTCTTCAGATCTTCTTCTATATCAGCGGAGTCTATATCTTCCGCATCTCGCACCTCACACTATACCGATAACGATAGTTCCGGACAAAATAATAATAAGCTGTCGTTCCAGAAAGGTGATACAATCTATGTTTTAAAAAAGTTGCCTACTGGTTGGTGGGATGGTATAGTTATTCAATATCCAAGTTACTCTTCTCATTATAACTACAACATTAATTTGGATTCCAATTTTAAAGTAATTAGGGGCTGGTTCCCTAATACGTTTATAAAACTAGTCAGAGAAAATGTTAGTTGTATCTTTAGAGTTAATAAGAGTAAAAACGACAATTTAGATAATAACATTAATAAAGAAGAAGAAGCAAAAGAAACTATAATAATAAATTTACCTATTCCAGCGAAGCATAGAAATAACTCTATTACTTCTACGAATAATACCATTAATAATTTTATTAGTTCAGGTAATGGTGGCATTACTAGTAGGAAAAATAGTAGTAATATTTTATTGACTAATTATTCAAGACATAACAGCACTCAATCATCGGAAGAGCATTCACTACCAAATAATGAACCATCCACCACAACTACTAAAAGAGGCTCAATCCTTTCAACCAATCATACTAAAGCTCTTGACGAGATGATACGTAATGACAATATGTACTCCGCTTTAAATAATGGGAGAAAACCCTCGATCAAATCGAGTACAAGATCGGATTCCAAATCTGATACCAAATCCATAAAAAATAAGAATGAGAAAATAAAAATCCTGTCTTTAGAAGAGGTTGAAATGATAATTAGTAGCTTACATAGTCCAATTTCATCTACTTGGAATCCGGTTCCTTTAATTGCAAATAATACAGATAAAAATATCCCTCAGACTGTCTCACTTACTACTAATCTCTCTAATAAAATCATTTATTATAATAAAGAGTTAGATATTTATTGTTCTGAGTTTCCATTAGTTTCTGTCAGTGACAATAAATCAAATGCCTGTAACTCATCGGTATCATCATTGTCTGAATCCTCAAATGCATTCCATCTAACAAAGTCCGCACAGACAAAAAATCCTCCACCAATATACTTCCCATCAAATGACCACCTCATAGACCTAAGACCAAGAAATTTGAGTGACACTGTCATCGTTGAGAATGCAAATGATAGTGTAGAAAAGATTACCACATTACAACCACCAATTAATACCAAAAATCCTACTGAAATAGATAAAAATTTAAAAGAAGACAATATATCTTCAATTGAGGGACCCAAAAATATAAAGGAAGGGGATAACGTATCCCCACAAAATACCTCGTTTTATAGACGTGCAATCATGGCTAAACCTGGCCTATTCTATTATCATCAAAAGGATATAAAGACATGGATCGAGTTAGAAGATTTAACCTTATATTACATTAAATTGACACACAATATGATTTTAAAGAATGATTATTTCAATTTCAAAAAATTCATGGCAATATTATCTAATATGTTCATCTTTACACAATTAGTTTGCAGACTAGTTTCCAATGAAATACAGGCAGCTAAATGTGATAAAAAGATAAAATCTCTACTTAAGAAACTAATAAACTCTTTGTCCAGAATTAATTTAAATGCATTAGTTTATTTTGATAATTCTGAAATGAATTTTAACCAAGTTTCCAAACATCATGAAAATTTAAGAACTTCTGTGGGAAATACAACTGTAGATTCATTAAAGGACAGAAATCTAAGCACCAGTACTGCTGAAACATTAATTGCTAGGACCCGTGCATCAATGGAATCTATTTTGTCCCCTAACACAAAGAAAAGATATACTTCCATCACAGGTATCAATGAGAACTTTAACGGAAAACACATTTCCCATGCAGATGCCCTAGCTACTATGATCCGGAATCTTTTTGAAAGTATTGACCAAGATTTTTTTAAATTAATAAAAAATGTAGAGCTTTTACATAAAACATTACAAAGTTCAATACTAAACAAAAATGAATTTCAAAATATCCCCCAAATTTTACCAAGATTCTTCCAAGTATCCTTTAGTGGTGGTTCCTGGACAAATCCATTTTCTAAATTTATGTATCCCTCAGAGTCTACCGTTTCAAATGCAACGTCTTTAAATACTTTCAATGAAAACAATAAATTGTCTACTGATGAATCAAAAAGATCATCCAACACTGCTTTGCCATTGAAAATGGCGAATGCTATCGCCTTAGCGGCTGGTGTTAATATTCCAAAAAATAATATAAATTCCAATGCCAATAAGAATCCAAATTTGTTAACAAGTGACATGCTTGACTCTTCAGATAGTGATATTTTAAAAAGCGTATCTCTTGTATCACTTTCATCACTCAGCACTCGATATTCTCATTTTAAAACATTCACACGATCAAAAAGGTTCAAGAAAAAGACTAAATATCCATTAAATAGTGATACATTGATAACAATGAAAAAAATTGCGAATGAAATTCAAAATACGTTTAATATTAAGGAAACTGACGAATATTTTATTTCTGAGGCCAAAAAAGGCACAAGAACATTACATTTAAATTCAAAAACCTACGAACAACTCAATCAAAATACAACTTTAATAGAAATTATGGAGAATTTAGATTTGACGATATTTGTTAATTTAAAACAGTTAATCAAACAACCAAATATGACAATCGATCACGAAAGCAAAGAATGCTTAAAACATGCCATGTTTACAATTGGTGGTATAATTGGTGAATTCTATAGCATCAAACAAACTTTCCACAACATTTTAATAAGCTTAATAATGTCAGCACAACAAACTACATTAAATGATCCCTATATATTTTCACCTATGAGACCAAATCATCCAATTGATTTCAATGAACCTATAATACTGGAGAGAATCCAGTTGAATAAACATGCTGCTAAATTAGAAAGAAAGTCGAAAAGACTACTGAATCAATTGATTAAAGAGGATGTTGAATTTAATAATATAAATTTCTTAGATGATTCTGAAGATTTTTTGATATCATGTGAGAAGTATGTTGAAATAGCTAGTTTATCTTGCAAGATTGTAGAACATTTAATTGAAGAAAGGGAAAACCTAATAAATTATGCTACTAGAATGATGAAAAATGATTTAACTGCAGAACTGTTGAAAGGTGAACAAAATATATGGTTTGATTATAGTTCAGATTCAGATTCGGATGACTCATATATTGAAAATCGAGAAGACGATGATAACATAAAATATGAATACAAAAAAGAAGGAACTGATAGTAACGAGAAGACAAGAAACACTTCTATTTCCCTTATAAAAAAAAGTCAAGGAGTCATTGCAAGTAATAAGAAAATTAAACATAACTATGACATTGAATGGTATTTACAAAGTGAACACGATTTTGATTTAATTTATGATAATAGGGACCAAGTCAAAGGGGGAACAAAAGAAGCTTTAATTGAACATCTGACAAGCCATGAGGTAATCGATCCCTCATTTAATGTTACTATGTTGATATCATTTAGAAGCATGATGACAACCAAAGAATTTCTTTACGAGTTGATATATAGATATAATTTATACCCACCAGAAGAGTTAAATTATGACGAATATACAGAATGGATTGAAAATAAACTAAATCCAATCAAGTGTAGGGTCATTAATATTATGAAAACATTTCTTCAGCATTATTGGAATCCATGTTATTTGGAAACTGGTCTATCCTCATTAGAAGAATTTGCTCAATTAGCTATACATGAAGGAATTCCTGGTGCTGATGATCTATTAGCTAAGATTAAGGAAAAATTATTAACTGACCCTATGGATCATACCACAACTGATATAAACAAAGATGTCAAAAAAATATTAAATAAGGATAATCAAACAGATATATCTTTCAAGGACAATAATTCTGATAATTTAAAAAAGGATAATTCAGAAACAAATTCCAACATCAACACTAACGTCAACAGTAGCAACAATAATAGTAGCTTCTTTTTCAATACATCGCTACCCTTAATTAAATCTAAAAAGCTAAAACTTTTAAATATTGAATCACATATTTTTGCTACCCAATTAACTATTATGGAACATGAGTTATATTTAAGAATATCGATGTTCGAATGTCTAGATAGAGCATGGGGTAACAAATATGGTAATATGGGTGGTTCAGTCAATATCTCTAAATTTATCATGAATGCAAATCATTTAACTAATTATATTTCATATTCTATTGTGAAACAAACGGACATTAAAAAGCGATCTAAATACATTCAGTATTTCATTACTGTAGCACAACATTGTAAAGAGTTAAATAATTATTCTTCGATGACGGCTATTATATCAGCGTTATACTCCTCGCCAGTTTATAGATTGAAGAACACATGGAAGACTGTTCCAAGAAATTATACAAAGATTTTAAGTGCATTAAATAATTTGATGGATTCCAAAAAGAACTTTTCAAATTATAGAGCCCAATTGAGAGGAATGAAAGATGTTGCATGTGTGCCATTTTTTGGTATATATTTATCTGATCTAACATTTATTGCTGCCGGAAACTCAGATTACTTGCATAGAAACAAAGATATTATAAATTTTAGTAAAAGAATTAAGATAGTGGATATTATTGAGGAGATACTAAGTTTCCAACATGTTCATTATAAATTAAAAAGATTTGATGATATTCAAACTTTGATAGAAACCTCTTTGGGGCAAGTCCCACATATTGAGGTTCAATACCAATTATCTTTGAAAATTGAGCCACGTACCAACAACAGTACCAATATGATCAATCTTACTGGTGACAATAAAAATCTCATCACAGAAAAATAACAACAATAACAACAACAATAATAAAAATTATCGATATGTCATCACTGATCTTATGCATAATATATTTTGTCAAGAAATAAATCAATATAGCTAAATACACCCATATTAGTATATAATATATGTATGTATACGAATCATAAATACATAGAAACCACAGTTAAAGTTTTGCAAAGAAATATTATGTTCTCTTATACCCTCCTTCTCAAAACTATTTCTGTATTATCACAAAATCCATAACCAAGCAATCCTTTATAAAAATAAAAGATACACATAGCTGGACCAAAATAAAAAAAATAAAAGAAATTCTTTTGAGACTTATCTACTTTTATCGAACGGCTGTAAACTCGTATTTAAAAATATCAAATCGCACCAACGCGAAAATAACAAAATAACAAAAAGGGAGAGGAATCTGGATTTATTTTAATGTGTACACAAACAACGCATAAGGGGAAGGAAAAAAAAAGTGTGTCAACTGTAAAGAAATAAGAAAAAAGAAAGACAAAACAAAAAAAAAAATAAGCAGATCGCCCTTGAAACAACAACAATCATCAGGACACCACACTATACACGATTCCTTTCACCGTGTGTCTTATATAGCTAAAGATAATCCCTGTACATACTAATATTGAGTACCACATCAACACTATGTACGAACTTTGAATAGCAAACACTGACAAATGAATAGATAAGAATCACAATAAGTCAGCAGCTGACAAAAGACAGTACATCAAAATAAAAAAAACCCCAAAAATCTTCGGAGTAATGGACTTTTTTTTTTCTGTTATTGTAAAAACTCCATGATATTTTTTGATTTAATTGCAATTTAATAACTGTGGAAATACAATAGGAACAAGATACAATAACCAAATAATAATAACAACAACCAACCAACAACATCAACCAAAACGTGTTGAATAGATGAGTGATAAGAACAAAATAATAATAACGATGTATTTGCTATGACATACCCAACTTATCTTTTTTTTTTTTTTTTTTTTTTTTATTTCTTTAACTCTCATTTATTAGATCATTTGGTGGATGGAATTCTGTGTTAAAGACAAAGGTATCTCCCGTCTTTCCGAAAGTAAAAAGGCCATGTATTATTACTCTTATTGCTATCTATGAATATTCTTTATCATTCATTATTTTCACTAAGTACGTTTACTGTAATTTCTATATCATAATATGAAAAAAAAAACAAAAAGCAAAGAAAACATATATAAAGAGATGGTTAATTTGCCTTAGAACATTTCACATTTACATTTGTTTTCTGCTACTTTCCATTCTTACGATGCTATTAAATGGAAGAACACACACGTACACGTATCAAACAAGCAAACGAACCAATAAAAATAATCATTTAACTAAAACGGAATTTTTTTTAAAAAAAATAACAGATATTTAAAATAGAAATGATGCATCTGAAAACTTTATTTAAGCAATCCACCATCAGAACCATTAAAACTACCTCTACCGCTAGCAAAACAAACGTAGGTAACAACATCAGGATCCCAAGTGTGAAAATAAACACTACTATGTCACATAGTATAACAAATGACATCAAATCCTTGCAAAAGTCACGAAGTAGTCGACTAAGCCAAAACCACAAAAGTCACACACCATCTCTAAGTTCTGATGATGAATCCTTGGAAACTGTCATTCCATATATAAGGGTATAGGAAAAGAAAAAAAAAAAAGGAGTTACTAACCAGAGACATTACGTACAATAAGAATTTCTATATTCGCAATTGGAAATCGTCCTGCCATAATAATACTCCTGGACAATGACAACAAGAAGCCAAGACGATTAAATAAATCAAATAATCTTTAGCTAAATACAATTCTCATATACTCATAATTATATTCTTTAACTAACATTCCTTAAATCGAACACCCATCATAAATATTTTCTTCTTCTTCTTCTCCTTTTTCTTCTTTTTTATCTTTTTGACCATTACCATCACTATTCCTCCACCTCTCAATTTTAATATCTTTACGTTCCCTACCTTTCCCTTCCAATCATTTACTTTATATATAAATACATATATATATATTATGTACAAGTATAGCTACAATGAAATATACATCATATAATGTTTTATCATAGCCGCAATTTCTCATTTAGTTACTGTATAGTGTTGAATATATATACATATATAGATAGAAATTAAAGTATCATTTTTAACTTATTGATTATGAGTAGTTCTTACCAAAGAAGAAAAAACAATAGCAGAATAAAGAACCAATGACATAATAACCGTATACTTGTTAAATGTGCACGTGATACATCCGATCTTCGGTTAACGTTACAACAACTATAGGATTTCTTTTCCCCTATTTTTCCGAGAAGTCGCTAAAGGTCATGCGGACCAAAAAGAAGCCAGTGTATTTTAGGGGAGAAACAATTTTCTTCTGTTCTTTTTGAATCATGCAAATTTTCATTGGCGAATCCCTACTATTTTGTTATTATTGTTATTCTTTAATTTATTTTTTTTTTCCTCGAAGAAGATCCAAACAAAAGTAAAAACAAAAACAAAACATTACAGTTCATGATTAGTTTACTCCTATTCTGCTTTAATAATGGTAGTGATGGAATATAGTTTCGTACACCTGTGCTCCCTCTATTCTTACTTCCAACTTTGGTCATCACAACTGTAATCTCATCGAATGAGTGGTGACAGTAATAATGGATAATATACAAATCGTTGTTTTTGTTTCTATTTTCCACTTCTCTCTTTTTCTTCAGTGTTGACACCGATGATGGTGATGAATACGTTGTTGTCATTGTTGTTGTTTTGTCTCTTTTCCTCTTGTATTACTCCTATGATTTTATTTTTCTTTAATAACTTGGTGTCTGTCTTTTTCATTTATTCGGGATTGTTCTCTTTTTTATAGCAGTTTGATTGGCCTTCGTTTTTTTGAAGTATTCTTTAAGTCATTTTAATATGCATATTTTGATATATATTCAATAAAGACAAGTTCTGGTTACTTTTGTTTTGAATAATACCTGTATACATCTCTCCCTCTCTTTGTCTTTCTCTTTTTCCTTTTCTTTTTTTCTCTCTATGTAGTGATCACTTCCTATCCCACTTCCTTTGAATAGACAACTCCTTCATTCTTCTATCCATATGATCTTTTTCTCTTTCTCTTTCTCTTTCTTTTTCTTTTTTTTCTTTTCTAACTTAGTTGCCTCTTCTTATATATTTAAACATAGCTTTTAAGTTTCCTTTTTCTTGTTTATCATCTTGTCTTTCTCTTACTGAATTCCAACCTCAGGTCTAACAGCGAATGCAAGAGAGATAGAAATCCATTGATAATTTTATTTTTTATTTCATTTTCTTCTCCTCTCCTCCCTCACATATCTTTATTTGTACATACAATTGTTTTTATTTATTAACAACCTGCCAAAGTAATTAATATTCCATACAATATTTATTTAATTTCCTACCTATTTATCTATTTATTTATTTATTTATTGACTGATTAACTAATTGATTTCTTATTTATTTTTTGACCCTTTCAATAAATATATAAGTTACCCCTCTCTCAAATAGCAAACTGTGTGCATATACAAGACATAATGTTATCTTCTCGTTCTGCATCTATTCTAAGGGCCCCATTGCGTCGTTCTTTAGCCACTGTCTCTAATTTGACAAGAGATTCTAAAGTTAATCAGAATCTTTTAGAAGATCACTCCTTTATTAACTACAAACAAAATGTCGAGAATCTAAAAATTGTCAAGGAAAGACTAAACAGACCCTTGACTTATGCTGAAAAGATTCTTTACTCTCATTTGGATAACCCACATGAACAAGATATCCAACGTGGTGTCTCTTACTTGAAATTAAGACCGGATAGAGTCGCCTGTCAAGATGCTACTGCTCAAATGGCTATCCTACAATTCATGTCTGCTGGTTTACCACAAGTCGCTAAACCAGTCACTATCCATTGTGACCATCTAATTCAAGCCCAAGTTGGTGGTGAAAAAGATTTAGCTAGAGCCGTTAACTTGAACAAAGAAGTTTACGATTTCTTAGCTTCTGCTTCTGCCAAATATAACATGGGTTTCTGGAAACCAGGCTCTGGTATTATCCACCAAATTGTTCTTGAAAACTACGCTTTCCCTGGTGCTTTGTTAATCGGTACTGACTCTCACACTCCAAACGCTGGTGGTCTTGGTCAATTGGCTATTGGTGTGGGTGGTGCTGATGCCGTTGATGTCATGTCCGACTTGCCATGGGAATTGAAGGCTCCAAAGATCTTAGGTGTTAAATTGACTGGTAAGATGAACGGTTGGACTTCTCCAAAAGATATTATCTTAAAGTTGGCCGGTATCACTACTGTTAAAGGTGGTACTGGTAAGATTGTTGAGTACTTCGGTGATGGTGTCAACACATTCTCTGCTACTGGTATGGGTACCATCTGTAACATGGGTGCTGAAATCGGTGCTACCACCTCTGTCTTCCCATTCAACAAGTCCATGGAAGATTACTTAGTTGCTACCAAGCGTGGTAAGATTGCTGAATTTGCTAAATTATATAAACAAGATTTGTTATCTGCTGACAAAGGTTGTGAATATGATGAAGTCATTGAGATCGACTTGAACACTTTAGAACCATACGTCAATGGCCCATTCACTCCGGATTTAGCCACTCCAATCTCCAAATTAAAGGAAGTCGCTGTTAAGAACAACTGGCCATTGGATGTTAAAGTCGGTTTAATTGGTTCCTGTACCAACTCCTCTTACGAAGATATGTCCCGTGCCGCTTCCATTGTTAAGGATGCTGCTGCCCATGGTTTAAAGGCCAAGTCAATCTTCACGGTCACTCCAGGTTCTGAACAAATTAGAGCTACTATTGAACGTGATGGCCAATTGAAGACTTTCCAAGAATTCGGCGGTGTCGTTCTAGCTAATGCTTGTGGTCCATGTATTGGTCAATGGGATAGACAGGACATCAAGAAGGGTGACAAGAACACCATTGTTTCCTCCTACAACAGAAACTTCACTTCCAGAAACGATGGTAACCCAGAAACCCACGCTTTTGTCGCCTCCCCAGAAATCGTTACTGCCTTTGCCATCGCTGGTGATTTAAGATTCAATCCAATCACCGACACTTTGAAAGATAAAGACGGTAAGGAATTCAAATTGAAACCACCATTTGGTAACGGTTTACCAGAACAAGGTTATGACTCCGGTGTGAACACTTACCAAGCTCCACCAGCTAACCGTGACGCTGTTGATGTCATTGTTGCTCCAACTTCTGAACGTCTACAATTATTAAATCCATTTAAACCATGGGATGGTAAGGATGCTACCAACATGCCAATATTAATTAAAGCTGTTGGTAAGACCACCACTGACCATATCTCAATGGCTGGTCCATGGTTAAAGTACAGAGGTCACTTAGAAAATATCTCTAATAACTATATGATTGGTGCTATTAATGCCGAAAACGGTAAAGCTAACTATGTCAAGAATGTTTATACAGGTGAATACAAGGGTGTTCCAGACACTGCTAGAGACTACAGGGACCAAGGTGTCAAGTGGGTTGTCATTGGTGATGAAAATTTTGGTGAAGGTTCTTCTCGTGAACATGCTGCTTTGGAACCAAGATTTTTAGGTGCTTTTGCCATTGTCACTAAATCCTTCGCTCGTATCCACGAAACTAATTTAAAAAAACAAGGTTTATTACCATTGAACTTCAAGAACCCAGCTGACTATGACAAGATCCAACCAACTGACAGAATTGATATCGTAGGATTGAATGAATTTGCTCCAGGTAAAAACATTACAATGGTAGTCCACCCAGAAAACGGAAAAGCCTTCAATGTTGAGTTGACTCATACTTTCAATGCCGAACAAATTGAATGGTTCAAGGCTGGTTCTGCTTTAAACTACATCAAAGAGTTAAAGAATCATGCATCTAAATAAACTAGTTTTCAGGGGAGAATGAAAAATTTCACTTAATATCAATAATAAAAAATATTATTTTATTTCTAATGAGGTTTACATTATTTTATTTATTTATTTATTTATGTATTTATGTATTTATATATTGATTATTTATTTAGCTTCTCTATGTTGTTACATTATAGTATTATTTATCAATATTTGCATAAGTTAAATTATATTTATCATAGCTTTGTTGTTATCTCCCCAATTAAATTTACCATAAGAAATTTTTGGCTTACTTTGATGGTACATTGCTAACAGTTATATCAAACAAACCATGTTTATTGTTGTCGCAGAATTTTATTTAAGGTCAATATCAAAGATTAAATGTCCAATCAGATAGATACACCCATACACCACACAGTTGCTACACTTTTCACACATTTTATCATAAATCAAAATTAAATTTAATCATTATATAAGATGAATATATATTATATATATCAATGAGATAGAGTGTTAGTCTAAGCCCTGGGTTCAATGTTAAAGAAAAATGATGAACAGAAATACTGTACGATATTGTACTATATGTTCCTATCTATTACTTCGACTTGATAACTAACAAGGCATATGCCAACTAATTTTAATGAATTCTCAGATAAATGGAACTTTTTGTTCCAATAAATTTTCTCCATATATTGACAATAAAATCAATGCTTTGAATCCCTGTTTCTTATCTTTAATATATGGATCACAAGCTATTTTATTTTGCATGATTGGTATAATTCAATTCTATAGACTGATTAGGCCCCAAACAGTGCCTCCGAATACTAATAGAAATGCCTTCCGTATTTGTCTCATTTCATCTTCTCATATCATACATTTGACATCTATCTCTTTCCAATTCATTTTATTATACTGCCAATTATATCTAACTGATTGTGAGAATATTACAAAACTATCAATTTCTATAAATATATTATTTATTTTATTTATTTCATTCCCAACACAATACTTTGTCTATTTTTACAGCATCTGTTCATTAGGAAGTCAACTATTTTATTATTTATTTCAAACAATATTTTTGTTGTATCTGTTGGGTCAAAGATTCTTCCACTATCCAAATGAGGTATACAATCTAACAAAAGGTAAGTACTCTGTTATATTTGAGATATTACTTTTATTTAATTCAGCAAACATACTCTTTTATTTATCTTCCCTATTTGAACCATAGCCAGAGTTACAAGAGCTTTATAAAACTAATAACTGGTACCCAACTAATCACATTTTCTCCAATTTATTCTTCACTTGGATGAACCCTTTTGTAATGGAGACCTATAAAAATAGATCATTAAAAGATCCAAATAATTTACCTTTACCACCAGTTGATATTAATGTAACCGAAATAACTAAATCCCTTCAAAAAAACTGGGAAAGAGAAAAGTGGAATAATTCTAATTCTTTATTATCTGCGATTTGGAATACCTTTTGGATTAAAATGTTGGTCGCCATTTCATTTGAAACTTTAAATGATCTTCTTACAATAATCCAACCCCAGTTCTTAAGGTTTTTAATTATGGGGTTTAATACTAATGAGTCAAAATATCCTGCCATTCATGGATTGTTCATGGCTCTAGCTATCTTTTTGACAACTGTTTCATCCACCCTATTAAACAATCAATTTTATATCACTATATTTCAAGTAGGTCTTGGTATAAGAGGATCAATGACATCTTTGATATATCAAAAGACTCTTCACCTCACCTCTGCAAATAAAGATGAATTTTCTACTGGTGATATTATAAATTATGTTGCAGTTGATGTTTTAAGATTACAAAGATTTTTTGAAAATGCTCAAACTATCATTGGTGCACCAATCCAAATTGCTGTGGTGTTATTTTCTCTTTACATGTTATTAGGAAAGGCCACTTTAGCTGGTATTATTCCTATGATAATAATGATTCCAATAAACGGGCTTTTATCAAAAAAAGTGAAGGCTTTGTCAAAAATTAAAATGAAATATAATGATGCCAGGGTCAAGGCTACTAACGAAGTCTTAAATTCGATTAAATCAATTAAACTTTACTCTTGGGAAGAACCCATGTTGGATAAATTGAACCATATACGTAACGATTTAGAATTAGAAAATTTGAAAAAAATTGGTATTACAAGTAATCTGATTCATTTACTCTGGAATTGTCTTCCTATCTTAGTAACTTGTTTTACTTTTGCAATATTTGCAAGTGTTAATTCTCAACCGTTAACACCTGAATTAATTTTCCCATCTCTTTCTTTACTAGTCATTTTAAATGGTGCCATTTCTTCGATTCCTCAAACTATCAACTCTATAATTACAACAAAAGTGTCAATAGATAGAGTGCAGAAGTTTTTGTCAAACAAAGACATGGATACTTCCTTTATTGAGTATATTAAAACACCTGCCTCATCAGCAATAACTACCAATAAAGCTACCACTCCATCAATTGAAATTACCAATGCTACTTTTTTATGGAAAATACCAACTTCATCAAATGATACGCTTTCTATTAGTGATGAAGAAGCTAATATTGATAGAACCCAAGTAGCCTTAAGAAGTATTGATTATTTTAAAGCACAAAAAGGACAACTTACATGCATTATTGGTAGAGTAGGTGCTGGAAAGTCGACATTATTAAGAGCCATATTAGGTGAGCTACCTTGTATTAGTGGTTCTCAAACACTTGTTCCTCCAAAAGTTATTATAAGAGGGGAGTCCATTGCATATTGTCCTCAAGAAGCTTGGATTATGAATGATACTATTAAAAGTAACATTCTATTTGGTCATAAGTATAATGAACTATATTATAACTTGATACTAGAGGCATGCCAATTGAAAATAGATTTAGAAAGCCTATCTGATGGTGACGATACATTAGTAGGTGAAAAGGGTATAACGTTGTCTGGTGGTCAAAAGGCAAGAGTATCCTTAGCAAGAGCTCTTTATTCAAGATCAGATATTTATTTACTCGATGATATATTATCTGCTATTGACGCTGGGGTTCGTCAAAAGATGACTGAACTAATATTCGACGAAGAAAACGGTTTACTAAGAAATAAGACAGTGGTATTAACAACAAATGCAATCAGTGTTTTAAAACATGCGCAAAGAATATATGCAATGGAAAATTGCCACATTGCAGAGGAGGGAACGTATAAAGAGGCTCTACATGATGAGGGAAAAAGGCCTATTCTTGAAAAATTGATAAAAGAATTTGATAAGAATAGTGAAGGGGATACAAACGATGAAGATGTATCAGAAGATCCGTCAAAAGACTTTGATGGGGATATTGATGAAGAGGACATAGAAGAGTTAAACAATAACAGGTTTTTTTCAAGGAAGGCTTCCCTTGCCACTCTCAAAACAGAACCATTTATTAAAAAAGTAAACCCTGAAGATAAATCAGGACAAACTCAAGAAACAAGTCAAGTTGGTCATGTCAAAATGTCAGTCTATATTTCTTATGCTAAAGCTTGTGGTCTTGTAGGTGTTATGTTTTTCTTTATTTTTACGTTACTTACCAGACTTTTAGATTTAACTCAAACATTTTGGTTAAAATACTGGTCTGAAAAGAATCAATTAGTGGGGGAAAATAAAAATGTTTTAAAATTTGTTGGAATATATGCCTTTTTTGGATTGACAACAGTTAGCTTTAATACCCTTAGAACCATCATTTTACTTTTGTATTCTACCTTACGAGCTTCGAAGAGGTTGTATGAAGCAATGTCACTTTCTGTTATTTATAGCCCAATGGAATTTTTTAATACCACTCCAATTGGACGTATACTTAATAGATTTTCTTCTGATATGGATATGGTCGATACTAGTTTACAACATATTTTTATGGTATTTTTCCAATCGATTATGAATTGTGTAGTAACAATTGTTTTAGTGGGTATTTCTCTTCCATTATTTTTGTTATTCACTACTATATTAATGATATTCTATATTTATTATCAACGATTATTTATTGTTCAATCAAGAGAATTAAAAAGATTGACTAGTGTTTCTTATTCACCAGTTATTGCATTAATAGGAGAGACAATTACAGGGGTGAGTGTTATTAGAGCCTTTAAACATTATGCTCTTTTCAATTTTAAGAACAATGATAAAGTTCAATTCAATATAAATTGTCTATTTAATTACAGATCCACTAATAGATGGCTATCGATAAGATTACAAACAATCGGTGCAGTTACAATTTTGATTACCGCCTTACTAGCTTTATTGTCATTAAGATCAACGAAACCTCTATCTGCTGGTATGGTTGGTTTATTGATGAATTATGTATTACAAATAACAACATCTTTAACGTGGATTGTTAGATCTTCTGTATTATTGGAAAATGGTATTATATCAGTGGAAAGGATACTTGAGTATACTGAGTTGACAAGAGAAGCTGAATCTATTGTTAGGGAATATCGACCAGATCATACTTGGCCACAAAATGGTAATATTGAATTTAGAAATTATTCAACGAGATATAGAGAGACTTTGGATCCGGTATTAAAACATATATCATTTAAAGTAAAACCATCTGAGAAAATAGGTATCGTAGGAAGAACTGGAGCTGGTAAATCAACATTAACATTAGCTTTGTTTCGTTTACTAGAACCAATTACTGGAACAATTATTATAGATGGTATAGATATCACTAAAATAGGATTATACGATTTACGATCAAATATTGCTATTATTCCCCAAGATGCACACGCCTTTGAAGGCACTGTGAGATCTAATTTGGATCCTTTCAACAGATTCACCGATAAAGAGGTAGTTAAAGCTATTCGTTTGGCCCATCTTGAATCTCATTTAGAAAGACTATCAAACAACACTAAAAACGATAACAATCAACCTACACAGTTTAATTATTTGACTCTTGAAATAAAAGAAAATGGGTCAAATTTATCAGTTGGTCAAAAACAACTAATATGTTTAGCCAGGGCTCTTTTAAACAAATCAAAAATCCTGATATTAGACGAGGCTACTGCAGCTGTTGATCTGGAAACTGATAGAATTATTCAAGAAACTATAAGATCTGAGTTTAAAGATAGAACAATACTTACAATTGCTCATAGAATTGATACTGTTATGGATAGTGATAAAATCCTTGTTTTAGACCACGGCGAAGTTAAAGAATTTGATACCCCACAATCACTTCTTTCTAATACAAACAGTATCTTTTATCTTCTGTGTAAAAAAGGTGGTTATATTAAGCCAGAGTCTAAAATAAACTAATTTGGTCTTACTAAGACCCCATTATTTATTTAAATCTTTCAAGTATTAATTTATAATAGTATTACTATTGACACCTACTTTACGAGTGTAAAGTAGAGCGTCTTTAAATTGTGGATTATTACAGCAGATATCCTTCTTCCTTGATCCAAAAAAATTAATGGTCTCCTTTTATCTGGACCTTATCCACTGCAAAGCTTTATAAATACTCTTTCATTAAAAGAGAAGCGTGAATATATTTTAATGTTAATACTCTAAACATGCACATATAAGATATATATGATTGTATAAGTTAGTTAAAAATTTCTCTATTTTAGAACTAGAAGAAAAATTCAACCAAGAAAACTTATGAAAAAATTGATTGTATTTATTACGAGACTATTTTTGTATATATCACCTTTGTCATCCATTAATGATAAATTAACTTTTTCTACTAAAAATTTAAAACAACCTATATATTTTTGTCAGTAACATGTGTTTAACTAGCTGAATATGTCGCAAACAGGTAAACCTTAAAAAGAGTGCGTGTAAAGTCTAGCCTTTTTCATAATATCCTGGATTTTGCTGTGTAAGGGTTCTAATTAATGATCTAAAAACACTAAGATCACCTCTATTTCCCTAAATTCTCCTTTGGAAATTTGAAAGGAAAGCCTTGTCTAGTGGAAGTATAAGAAATTTATGTAGAGGAAAAATAAACATAAAGAACCGAAACATCCAGCAGGAAAAAAAAGAGAAAAAACAACCAATAGTTATCAACAAGAGATAGTTGAGTACAAAGTGTACATTACATACTTAATGTTATTCATATGAATTTTGATTATCTTCAATTAATCTGTCTAATGATAAAGAGTAAGTGTATATATCTATCCAAATGAACTATTGTTATCAGATACTATTTACCATATGATTTCCACAACTTTCGTCTATTATGATAAAAAAATAATGTATGTACAAAAATGAGAGCTGAGGGATTCGAACCCACGCATCCGAAGATACCAGAATGTTTAAGCAAAGAAACCTAAATCTGGCGCCTTAAACCACTCGGCCAAACTCCCAATGCCAACACGGTAATTGTTGTAGTATGGTGTGGTGAAGTTCTTTGTGTATTCCAGGGAAGCGCAAATAATATTAATAGTAATTCAAATAATCGAGACAGTAATCAACTATAGTCGATAGTGTAATTACTAAACGGTCTTATATATTAAGCGACTTATATCGAGCTAATGTACTTATTCGAAGTTACTTGACTTGTTACTTGCTTGTTCTATTTTGTTTATACATAATATATAAATTATTTACAAGAAACGATTATGGAAGATGATCTTTTATCTCCTGAAAACGTTGTCCTTTTATATGTTTTCTGGAGCTCGATCGATTATTCAGATTACTACATTAATGACTTGACTGATTCAAACCCTAAAATTTATTATATTAATTTAGGTGCACTACTGGATTAGAACTGCATCCCAATTCTCTAATCATGGTGATTAGTAATACACGTGGGACTTAATAAAACAATAGGTAAATTCTAGATTTGCCAAGATCTTATGTAATCCAATCTTTTTATTATGCAGCATCTAATGTTGTAGCACATGTATGGCTTATTAATACACTAATTGGTTCTAGATTCATTCAGGATCTTATGTAATCTTGATGGTTATAACTATTCTATTCCACAACAGTAATTGTTGTAGAATAAAATAATAATTACCATGATTAGAGAATTGAGGTGCAGTTCTAATCCACTAGTGCACCTAGATTAATGTAATAAATTTTAGGGTTTGAATCAGTCAGATAATTAATGTACTAATCTAAATAATCGATTGTGTTGGAAAATGAGAGTTTATTACTGTCATTTTCATAAGAATTATTTTTAATTAGTTTTTCTATATATTATGTAGTGCACAGATGTATCATAATATCAGGAAAACATTTTATTTTCCACCAACAGTATTTTTCAGAGATTCGAAAAGAAATGAAAAACTTAAAAGAAGAGTCAAAGTAAATAAAAGAATGCATACTGCATACACTATATAATAAGTATATACATGTATTTAGTACAAAATAGAACAAGCATGATGTCTATCATTACCATTGATGCTGAGGACTCCAAATTCCAACACTATGATAATGCAATTCTAATGAAGAAACCCCAGTCCACGTTTTTCTCCAGCTTCTTCAAATATCATATTTTAGATACACACATCCTTGCACTCCTTTCCTGTTAATGTATATTAAGTACAATTTTTTGATTATCACATTAGATCAGTTGGTCCTGAAATCATAGGACACCATATATCTTGATAAAACAATATGCTAAAAATTAACAACATCAACTCATAGCATATTATTTTAATGATTAATATAAGCTTTTGGAAATTTAGATTTTCAAACAGATTATTTGATTCAAAAAAATATGAAAAACAATTTAGTTAATAATTATGTTGTATTTATCTACCTTAATAATTGCTTGAAACATTTACCTTATTTGGTTCAATAATTTTTATTTTTATGAAAAATATTATAGCGTAGTTTATTACTAGAACCATATGCAACTAAATACTTTTAAAAGAGAACAAGAGCAAAACGTAAAAATTTTGCTCTTTATGAGAGAAATATTCTAAACACACATATACATAACCGTCAACGGTTTACAGACTCATTTTGTATGGCCTTTATTTGACTATTATCAATCTTTGAACGAGCCCATATATCTTCCAAACCTTTTTTGAATATATCAATATTGTAGTCTGCAATAGTCAAACAACTCTCTACATCTGCATTCTTAGGTCTACTTAGTGCGACTAGTGCCAATCCGCGAATCATTTGACGCAAATATAGAATGACACCATTTCCCAATTCTGAAACATTCTTCAGTTCTTGATAAATAGGCTTATTTATGCCATCTTCATCGTTATTTCCTGGTCCTAATCTATTCTTGTATAAATCGAATAAATCCAAAGTCACATCTACAAACTCAGCACATACTTCATAAGTCTGAATATCAACAGGGTTGGAGTCAGTTGAGACATATATCTTAGAATTTATATCAAACAAAAAAGCTTTTTCTATCTTTGAATGCTGTATTAAGTTGTCAAGCATATTTTCTAAGTATGAAATTTCAGGTATAAGTTTTTGAACAATTCTCGAGAATGCTTCATATATGGAATGATCAAAGATGGAAGTCAAATAAAATGAGACTTGAACCCCGTCCAAGCCTAATTCTAATAATTCTTCACCAGTTCTTTGCATAATATCTCTTTGAGCATCCACTTTAAAATCTTCACTTAACCCATCTACTTTATGTATAAGAACCTCGATATTAATATTAGGATTGACTTTATATGCATAATCTATGATCATGGCTAGATTAGTTATTGCATTCATATATTCATCCTGCGAGTCAATAACATAGACTAAAGCACCCACACTTTTAAATAATCTTTCAGAATCATAACTGGGCTCGAAATAATTCAATTGACCAGGTAACTCCATCACTGCTAAATCAATTAATGTCGAAAAATGTTCTAAAGAAGGGCTTGATGTTGATTCTAAATATAGGGTATCCAGAGGCTGCATATTATGAAACACAACTTTACATATCGATGACTTCCCACATCTAAAAATAAAATAAAACTTTCAAACACCTATACCCAGACGTATAAAACTACATCTAGGTTTCTTACTGAATAAAGTAATAATTAAGTCAATATATGTTAGTATTGGTGAAAGGCTCAATGCTGGATAACAGTTAATAAAAATATCAAGGAAATTCATCTTGTATTAAATTTAACTACATACCTTCTTAATCCCATAAGTAAAACCATAGCTTTAGAATCGTTTTCTATATAACCACTTGCATCCATTTTTATATATACTAACTTTCTCTGCTTTATTTACTTTACATACTGTTGTCAACGTGACCCTCTAAAACTATTTAAGGATACTTTTTGTGACAATAAGAAATGCCAACGAATTTTTTATTTACTTCTTATCGTTATGTTTCTTATTTTTTTTTGTTTGCTTCAGTTTATTTGCCTTTTATTCTTTTATTCCCTTTTTAGATATTCCTATAAATGGAATCTTTATCCTAAAGTGGTAATTACTTCAAGTAAATAAGGCTAGATAGTATCTGGTTGGTTGATCTTGAGAGTAATCTCTAAGAAATGAATAATGAACATTCTAATGCAATGTCAAGATACTGTGACAGTTCTATTAAAAGACAACCAGCACTTTAAAACTATGTAACGGTATATGCAAATCTTAATCGAATATAAAGGTCAAAAGAAGGGCACAGTTCTACAAATTATTATGGAATACTACTAATCATCAATAATCTATTGTATCTCAATACTCCATTCTATTTTCCAAAGGACAATTTCTTATAAACTATTTTTATCTCACATACTCAGAGTTACTCTGCTAATCCTCTATTCTATTGTAAAAAATATATATATTTATATATACCGACTTTCTATAAGTGTGCTATTATTCAGATAATACACTATAGAATAAATAGGCTAAAATACTTAAAAACTATATCACTAATAAAAATTCATTATTTCTTTTAAAATAGAAATTAATATACATGTTTAATAATTATTATGTTTATATATAGCACAAATTAAAATAAGAGTTGAAAATTCTATTAAGTTGATAAAATATGCCATATCATTTGTTTAGCTGTGATGAAAAAAACAAACAAACAATTATTATTTAGAATTAAGTCCATTGCTATTACTGTCACGTTTATCATAATATTACATATGTGTTAATGTATTTTTTCTTATTCTATTATTATTCTCTATTTAGAAAAGTAGATTATTTTATGCTCAGACAATTCATCTATTCATCATCACTGTTATTATCATCCATTAATGCACTAAACATATTAGTGGAAGCAGATGTATGTAATGGAGCAGGTTCTGGTTCCTTTTGTTGGATTCTTTGAGATCTTTGTGAATATGATCTTGTTGTAGTGAAATTGTCTTTGTCCTTAATGACAGGTGGAGGTCCATCTCTTTTTGAGGAGTTCCTATTACTACTGTTACGGTTGGAACGTCTAGAATTAGATCTGGAGTTTGCTTGTTTTAAAGCACGAGCCAGTTCTTCTTCCTCATGGATTTGTTGAATTGTTTTTGGACCTTGGTCCTGTTTAATACTTTCCCAATTTCTTTCTCTTAATTCTACCATATCCAATAACTTGAATTTAACTCTATTACAAACCTCATCACCTTCAATAATTTGTTGCAATAACCCAAACAAACTGTCCAGTAGAGCAGAACCTTCTAAAGTAGCAGCACCGGCATTGAAACTATCATTTTCAAATTTACCACCAACAGTACTCAATAATTCAACGACAGATTCAAGAACTTCTTCTGATGGTTGATTATTTAGATCTTTCATTAATCTACGGAAACATTCGAACATCATCTTACCAGTCAATAAATTCAAACGGTATAGATAACCAATGAAACGGACTAAACCAAGACCTCTTCTCTTAGCAGCTGCCATCTTATAATATTCATCAGACATCATTTCTGGAGCCAATGGTGTACCGTCTGGGTTTGTTAATAATTTATCAGTCCAACCCTTTTCAAATTCCGTATGACATCTGACAACAAGGAAGTGTAAAACCAACTTTGGTCCTGTTATACCTGGATTAGCTTCATCAACAATTTCTGAATTTAAATCTTTAACAACTTTACCACATAACTGAGCATACATAGAGGACCAATGTGGTTCATCACAGGCCTTTAAGAAAATTTGTTCAATAACTGTTTTCAAAGTATCACAATCAGTTTCCCATTTAGATAAATTAGCCAAAGCTAAAATATCAGTTGAAATCGGATCGAATTTTTCCAAAGTTAATTTATTCAATAAAGATTTCATCTTTCTTTCAACTTCTTCCTTTTCAAGCAATTCAGTGACACCATCTGGAGCCAATTTCTTTTCTGCCTTTTTAGCTCTAAATTTAGGAACCCATCTATTGGCACTTGGAACCAAGGGAGCAACCTCAACTTTCGGTTCTTCTTCTTCCTTTTTCTTTGGTTCTTCAGTTTCCTTTGGTTTTCTTTCAGAACGTTCTCTTCTGGAAGCATTTCTATTTGATCTTCTATCATCTCTATCTCTGTCTCTATCTCTTCTTGACTTTCTCTTGAAACTTGCTCTGGAATCGTTACTTCTGAAAGAATTAGATCTAAAGTCGTTAGTATTACTACGAGAACTAAATTTAGATGAATCACCATTTCCTCTAGATCTATTATTTCTAGTCATATTTGGTGGGATGATAATCTTTGATCTTGTAGATTGAACCCATTTAGAATCGGCAACAACATTTAAATTATCTTTAAATTGAAGTAAGAACGCTGGACCATAAGTGTATTTAATGTGTTCTTTCTTATACTTAGGATCAGGCGATTCAAAAGTTTCAGGATACTTAAATAGATAAATATCTTCAATTGGTGGGACTTCGTTCAATCTATCTAATAATTTAGTAACAGTCATCTTACCTTCTAAATCTTCCTCCTCTTCTTTTACTTCATTGTTAGTTTGATTTTCAACAGTAGTACTAGATTCGACTGGAACTGTCGCATTGTTGACTTCGGAAGATTCTTCTTCTTCCTCCTTTTTTGGTTCTTCTTGAAAATTTTGCTCTTCAGTAGAATTAGAGACACTAGATTCTCCAACATTTGTTGCATTGTCATCAGCTTTTACCTCAGTTTCATTTTGGGATTGAGATTGAGCTTGGGCTTCTTGTTGGGCCTTTTGTTGCTTCTTTAATCTTAATTTTTCAGCAAAAGTCAAAACTTTCTTTTCTTCTTGAACAGGAGGATCTTGCTTTTGGTCAAACTTATTTTGTTCCCCTTGTTGTTGTTGTTCCAATCTTTTCTTTTCTAAAGCAGCTTTTCTTGCTTTAACAATTTCAATAAAGGATTTTTTAGTTTGTTCGGCAGTAGACATTGTAGTGTCTACTTGTGGTGATACCTCTTCTTGTGACATAATTTAATGAAATATTAAAAAAACAAAAACAAAAACGATAATAAATAAATAAATAAATAATCTAGTCAAAATCAAACAACTATGAATGAAATATGGTATTATTATCCTACTACAATGAATACTACTTCTCAACAACTTTTTCTTTAATATTTTTTTTTTGTTTAACTAGAAAATTATAGATATTTATTTCACTTGGAACCTAGATGAGAGAATAAAAGAATCAATGTAAAAATAAATGTATATCAGGTGGCTCTAAAGTGATGATGAATGGCGATAATTGCAATGAAAGAATATCAAGTAGTTCTACTTAAAGATACTGGACGAAAACAACAAGATAATAGAAACTCAATTATTTCGCCATTTAGCGATGCAAAAAAAATTTGACAGAGCATCGCCAAAATTTTGTTTTTTTTTTTGTTGATGGAATAAAAATTTACCAAAAGAAAACAAAAAAAAAAAAAGATAAAAAAAATATGTTAAACAAAACTTAATCATTTGCTACGATAGAGGGATACTGCTATCACGTGCAATAATACACCTACTTATCATATGACCAAGGCACTTATTGAATGTAAAAATCCGAATGTAAAAATTTAATAACAAGATACTAGGAAGAAATGACAAGAAGAGATGGGATATAGCATATTTACTTTGAGCATATGGTTATCCCCCCTCTCTTATTTGTGACTCAACTGAATTGAACCCTCATTTGCATATTTTATATTAAGTGAAAGTTTAACCCACGAATGTGTAATCATGATTTATTTATTTATTATCACATAAGCTTCCAACACATATATATTTTTTGCTGGGACCTAGTCTTAGAAAAATTTGATTTGTCTAACAGTTATACGGTCCAAAAAAAAAAAAAGCAAAAAAAAAAAAGAACTAAGGTTCAACCAATTAACCTTATATTTTCAGTGAAATTAGTTATCTTGCCCAACTAATTCAATACCCACTTTTTTAAGCTAATCTATTTTTATTGCTTATTCTTTATTACTCTATACAGATCAATCTATAAATTTTTTTTTCTTGGGCTTGATAAATTAGTTTTAAAAGATCAAAGAATCGTAAAAAGAAAAATAGAGAGAAATAGAGAAAAATAAAAAAAAAAAAAACAGAAAAAAGTCGAGATTGAACAAGTCATGCTGTTTTTGCTCTTGTATTTTAGTTTGTTTTCCTTATTTTACTTATTATATAAGTTTGTGAAAAGATAAAAATTGCGTATTGCAAACAAGCAAATCAATTTCGGTAATTTTCTTCAATCACATTATTGGATAAGTGCGAAGAAGAATGTTGATCCTGATAACAATGATGATGATGAGGTGTTTATTTTTGTTTATTCAGCCAACTTTTTCTTCCTTTCTGTTTTCTGTCTTCCATTTTTAGTTTGCAAAAAATACGCACTACGTCATAATAACCTTAGTAATGATAGTGAGATATGAAACACCAAGAGAAAAAGAAAAAGAAACAAGAAAAAAAAGAGAAAGAGAAAGAGCAAATTAGTGAATGATGTTCCCCTCCCCCTTCTTAGATCTCCTTCCCAATTTCTTTATCTAAGAATGTGTGTATGATGTGTACATATGTGTGTGACCAAACTTACACGGAGCGAAAAACAAACAAAGAAACAAAAAAACAAATAGAGTCATACGTACCCAATATTCACACCCATACTCATCTACAATTCAGGTTCTTATTTTAAAAGTCTCTTAATTTTTTCTTGAATTTTACTGATCTTAATCTCCAAGGGAAGGGGAAAACACACACACACATACAAGTACACAGTAATATTGAGTAGATTTAACTGAAGAGGTTACTCCAAGAGAAACCGGAAGGTAACAAGACAAAGAGGGAGAAATTGGAGAAAAGCAGGTTGTCAGCAGTATGACTAATAATTACCTGTATAATTAGCTGACTCACGTAACAGGGGTAAATACATACATGTGCACCATCTTCAGTCACAACCGTATAAACCATTACGCAAATACGTACGGATGTGCCCATGAATGTATATATTTATAAATATACATATATATATATATGTATATGTTTACGTATGTTTTACCAGCGGTATCATCACAACGGTAAAACTTGCCATACTGAATAAACTCAACAGTCCTCATATTTTTCTTTCTTATTCTTCTCTCACTAAAGAAAAAGAAAAAAGAAAAAAGAAAAAGAAACGAGCAAACCCAACGCCCCGCGCCTCATTGCTCTTTTAGGGAAAAGAAGATAAAAACAGTAAAAGATAAGCCTGGAACAAAAAAACAATAATAACACAATATAGTTGATCAGTTAAATCCAAATTCTAAAAAATTACAAACGAGGTGAATTTGATCCAATTGATAACATATACATACATACATATATATATATGTATAGAACCCCTAGTACTGATCCTAATTAGAAAATAAGTTTACTTGATCGGCTACACTTATAAACATTATATCTACTGCATCATTTATAAAACACTAACAAACTACATTGAAATATAATAAAACTTGGTAGCTGTTGTTGTGGTGACACTACTACTAATAATAATAATTTAATTAATTAGTAAATCAATAAATCAATAATAACAATAATAACAATGTCAATGAGTCAAGCACATCAACTTTTAGTTGTATCAAATAAAGCAAATAAAGTAAGACGTCTTTCTCGTGAGGAAATTATAAATAAAATGGAAAATGAACAGGATGCAATTGTCATCAAATTGTTAAGAGAAATCGATCAATTGAAAAGAGAAAATAATTATTTAAGAAGTACTATAAACTATTTAAATAAAAGACATAGTAGTAGCAATAGCAATATTAATAACAGCAAAAATAATAACAATAATGACACCTCCAATCATAGGAATGAAACTCACTTACCTGTATTTGAAAGTGATGATGAAAGTGCTATTATAATCGATAATGTCAATCTAAACCTATATACACCTTCTCATTCAAGACACTCAAGTATAAATAAAGGATCTATCACATCCAATATAGAAGGGCATAATTATTTGTCCTCTCATGCTGATGTCTCTGGTGATTATGTTACAACCACAACCATAAATAATATTAATGGTGATATCATGGGTAATAGAAGAAGAAGACGTACTTCCAGTAGTGTATACCATAACATTCGTTGAACGGTTTTATTTTAAATGTATTTATTTTTATAAATTACTATTTTGACAAATTCATTGATCTACCTATTCATTATTGCCCATGTTTTACACCATCTAGATAAATATTCATTCCTGTCTTTTTTTCCCTTATTCATTTGCCAGTTGTTAGTTTCTATCATCTAGGATTATATAATACATACATACATACATATATATATATATATATATATATATACATATTTTTGATAAATTTACCACACAACACACACATATACATACATATATATATATATGTATAATACAATATAGTATACATTCATTTGCTTTACATTATAATCTATTTTTTATTTTTTTTATTATAAAGTATATAATAAGTATAGGATATATATATATATATATTAAGAATTAATTCAATCAATCTAATTCGTCTAAGATTTTCTTAACTTCCCACACCTTACTACAGAGGGTATTAACATTTCCTTGAACATTTTTGATATATTCTTTACTCAGCGTAATACCCATACTATCACGGAGCAAACTTCTTAGTGATTCAATAGTGAAATTGGAATTAAATGAAATGTGTATGTCATTATTATCACTATTACTATTATTTCTTCTTCTTTCAACGCATTCGATTCTTTCACATAACTCAGATAATGATTTAATTAACGATTCAAGCGAATCTATTCGTAATTGGGGCCATCTGATTCTAAAAGGTTGTGAAATCGCCATTACTTTTTGTGAAGTCCTTTGGTGGTACTTAAACTCAAAGATCCCGTTTTCAAAATATAATTGATTATGGTTAAAGATAATATCACCTTCAACATATTGATTACCGTTACCATTACTCACATTGATATTAATGGAATCTTTAAAAATAGACTGACAGTGGCCTACAGGTGAAACACTTTTATATTTATGATTATTTTGAGTGTCTATCACTCTATGTAATCCAATCCAATCATTAATACCGTATAGCTCCTTTGGGATCTTCCAATGTACGATAATTTCATTTGGCAATATCACTGTGTTATTTTTAACTGATAGCAATTTTAATTCACAGTTAGTCTTTAAGTTCTTACTGACATTGTATAATGCATGCTCTAAAACACTATTCCAATCTTTACGTTTTGATAGAGCTATTTCATCTAAGGAACTGCTCTTATTATTATCTTGTTCCTCATCACTATCAAGAGGGGTATTCCTACCACTGGTTTTTAGCAAATTTGTGATGATTAAACGCTCCATATTATCCACAATTTCACTTACACGTCTAATGGGTTTCATTTGAAGCAGGGTCCTTTGAACGCCACTTTGTCTATTTGCATTATCGTTACCATATAATTTAATTAGATGGGGTCTTTCTATAAATTTAATTAATACGAAATTGGTCAATGTCCATAAAGTAGCCAACAAAACATTATGATAGCAGAATTGTGTCATTAAAACAGTACCCCAAACACCAGAAACACCTAAGACAGTCTCTGGGTCATTCAAATATTTATAGATGCCTTGTGATGTCAATTTTTTATGGGTAATATAGTTACTTAGAAAGAAGTCACCATAGAACCAACCAAAATCAGAGATAGCTGATCTAATCTCCTCATTACACCAGATTTGTAAAGCACATAACAATAAGCCAAATATGATATCATTCATATAGCTTTTAATTGGATTTTCCATGTTCCGATTGTAATAACACTGCCTCATTTGATTAACTGTTTGTAAAATTAATAGAGAATAACTTATAGTTTGACTATAGTTGTATAAAAATTGCCATTGTTGATAAGAATAGACTTGCGTGTACCCATTCGACAAGTACAATTTGGTAAACCACTTTGAGACATGTTGTTTCCATAGAATGGCACTTATCAAAGACCATGATACTAACTTGACCATAAAGGTTGATAAAAATAGGGTGAAAGCAGATGGCTGATATTCGAAATACCAGGCAATCAGAGATAAAATAGAAATCACAGTAGTGATGTCACCAATCCTTAGTTTATCAAAATTCTCTAACCAAAAACCAATAGATATTAAAGGTCTTGAATAATCATAATTTTCTCTTGTGATTAAATCATCAACACCACAATTACCACTTGATGATAAAATTGAACTATCAGAAGAACCTTCATTACCGTAAGTTCTCTCAATATGTGGATTCTCGACGTATTTTAAGAATAAGAATTGGGATAAATGACCAAAAATGGATATTAAAAGAACCTGATAATCTCCACTGATCAAAGATAAGCCATAATATCCTGCATAACCGATTGAATACATTGGATGTGGAGATATATTAAAGACGCCATCAAAGATCAGTTCAGATCCCTTTTGTAAGAAAAAGAAGTCGCCCCAATACCATGCGAAATCTTTGACAACACGATGAGCATCCAACTTGACCCAAATATTGAAAAGAATCAAAAGCAGGCCAAAAATGGATTTCCATTGAATCAGTTTAGAAAGATTATTGATGGGTAGAGATAAAAAAACATAGACCATATAAGTATTAAAATCTTGCATTAAAATCAAGTCTACAAATTGTCTAAAGATTAGCCAAACGTTTAGTTCATCAGGATATGAGTAAATATTATTTTGTTCCTCTTTGTTCAATTTACTTTTCAATTCAAACTGTAATAATCTAGCCAGTTTTGAATTGGACTGATTTTTTTTATCAAATAATTTGTTTCTCTTTGCATAATTTGTTAGGGATTCGTAATGTGATTGATAATGTAAGATGAACCCAATACCGACGTTGTATGAAAGTCTCCAGAAGATATATTGTAAGATATAAAAATCTTTTGTAAAATTGGCGCCTAATTTAATGCAAAGGACATAAGCTAAAATAAAATTAGATAGTAATATTGCTAAAACAATAATTTCAAAAAATGATTTCTTAATTGTTGGGTCAAATAGGGATCGAACCATGTCGTGAGTCACAGGAGGAGTGAATTCAACCCCTGTAGATCTAGTTATAGCCATATGATGATCTGTCTTCTCTAATTTTAAGGAAGCAGAAGATGATGATGGTGCGTGCACAGTTGTGGTATCTATTAAGGACATAATTAAAGCAAAAAAAATTATTAATAATAAAATATCAACTCCTTTAATAATATTTAAAACTCTTTGTTGAAGAAGAGACAATAAAAAGAGAGTATTAGCTATGATAATGATAATAGCAGTAGTATTATAGGATTATAATAAAGTCTATTATGAATTACCTAACAACCGAAGGAAAAAAATCGTAGAACTAGGCTGAGCTAGTTATGATATAGTAATTATAAAGATAATTTAATGGTTGTTTGCAGATTGTTTTTATTTATCAACTAAAAGATAAAAATATAAAAAAACTTGCAACTGTATAATTTATCATACGTTGTTATTAACTAATTTGTATATTTATAATTATAATGTACAAAAGATAGATTTAAAGAAAAAGAAAAGGGAAAGGGAAAGGGAAAAAAGAAGTATATACTTTTGTATTCCATAATTTTGTCAAGATTGATTCACATAAAACCGTATGTCTTTTTTCTTCTTTCTCTCTCTCTCTCTCTTTCTATATATATACGTATACATATATATATGGATGAATATCCTCGAATATGTCAAAATACAGAAAATGGATTATTAAGGTTATCTGAAAAATTTAAAAACATTACCTAATTTGTATATATCTGTTAATGCCATGCCGTTTGTCTATTGATTAAATTGTTTTCTCTCTTTCTTTCTCTCTTTATTCAATGGAGTTACACAGATTGAAATAAAGAAAAAAATGAGAAAACAAAAAGAAGGAGTAATCCAAAAAAAAAAGAACAATAAAAGATGGCAGGGAACTCCACAGATTAGTTTTGCTATATACCAGTTTTGCAGCCTCTAAAGTTGTGTTCTAAAGATTGTAAAGAAGTACAACAGCAATTTAGTAAGCAATGATAGTAGTTGTCACAAGAAACACTGACGTTCTTTAGCCAGGATAAAAACTGTATATCATTTTAAATTGACTCATGGTTGGTGTATATCTTTCTCGTAGCACGCGGCAAATGATAGCGGCAAATTTGCCTCACCGATTGTCTTTTTCTTTTTCCAGTTCTATTTCTATTTCTTTCTGATTACGTAATTCCTTGAAATCCTGAGCTTCATGTGAAATTCGGATCGTTTTTTGGTGGTCATCAGTTTTTTTCTTTTTTTTTTTTTGAAGTGAAGATTTTTTGATCTGGAAATTTCTCCTTTTTTTCTTTCTTTTCTTTTTTCTTTTACGCTTTTTCTATTTTTTACATACAATAAAGTGGTACAATTTGAATTAGGGCAGTAGCAGAAGATAGTACTTCAATTCATGAATATAATAATATGCACACATGTTTAATATATCTATCAATTCAAATTTGGATATATCTAATTTGAGATTGAGGTTTGATAAATTAATAAGATAGACAAGGTAAATAAGTTTTTCTGATCAAATGGGGTTATCAACAATAAGATGTTTTTTTAGTAAAGAAATATATTAATGTCAATTCTACGTATTTCTCTCTTTCCTTGTTTTCTTTAACAAACTCTGTATAAAATTGCATAAAATTATATATATATACTTTTTTTTTTGCTTGTTCAATAACATTGAATAGGTATATATGTACTAATTTGTGATTTATATAGTAACTATTATCATGATTATCACTACTACTAATCCTATTTGATAGTGTCAGATTTATACTAAATAATCCTTTCTGAGGTTATGGACCATTCTTTGTTGATCAACAGGCAACTGGGTTAATTGGTCATCTGTTAATGCCAGTACTTGTTTTATCATTTCTTGTTGTTCAACTGGCAGATTTTGTAATTTATTATAATTTATTGTCTTACTATTATTATTATTATTATTATTATTATTATTATTATTATTACTTATTATTGGTGCTGTGAGTGTAGATCGCTGTTGATTCATACTTGTTAATGGTGGTATTGCAGAGTTATTATTACTATTATTACTATTATTATTGTTGTTGTTGTTGTTGTTAGCGATTGTATTTGTATTCATAATAGGTATAGTTATGTTGTTGTTCATTGCAGGCATATATGATTGTGATGTCATATCTCCAGGAAACCCAAAGGGGACTGGAGGTGGAACCATACCCGGTACAACCATTTGAGATGGTGTAGCTCCCATTAAAATTTTATTATTGTTATTGTTGATATTGTTTTGATTATTAGACATATTATTATATATTGGCAATGGTGTATTAGATATAGTTGAAGGATTGGACGTGTTGTTACCACTACCATTACCACTATTGTTGTTATTATTAAAATTTATATTTCGTAAAACATTGCTAACTATATCTTCAGTGAAAAATCCCATTTCAAGTAAAGCTTGTGCAATTGGGATAATCAAATTATTATTATTCCACAAAAACTGACTCAATTGGTCTTTTTTAGAATTCCCTTGGTTGGCCAAAATCTTTAAATTGGATATAATTTCAATCAATTGTAGTGGTGGTATCTTACTTAAACTAATTGATATTGCATCATCGTCTTTCGCTTTTAATAGATACTCCTTGAATGCTGGCAAATGTTGAGATGCTTTACTTAAAATATCAGGAAATACAATATTAGAATCTTTGTTATGTTGTGGGTTTGGTTTTCTTGGCAATGGGATAGCAGTGATCATTTGAAATGGCAATTCTAATGAATAACTCCAGGGATATGCATCTCTCTTCAATTCCAAACTTGGTTTGATTACTCCCTTTACCATATCATCTAATCTTTCTTTATAATTTGGGGGAATGATCTTTTCTAGCTTACATGGAAATTTTTCAATTTTAATCAACATATCATATGCTTCCTGACACTCTCTACTCGATACATAATCATAATTGATATAAGCCAATTTTCCTGTTCTTGGATCGTTCTTGGTAGTAATATCAATGATACGACCTGACCCTGCAATTACTGATGTTACTGTATCTGAGGTCCAATCATTAGGTATATTAGTGACCTGTATACAAGTGGTTAAATTATCTGGGGTTAGAAGATGAGTTGATCTTCTTCTTCTTGGGTCTGTTGCCATCATATCCGTTTTTTTTTTGTTTTAATTTTTTTTCTTTTTTGGTATCTTGCGTTATAGTTTTTTATAAGCTGGTCGGTAATTCTAAAGCAAAACTTTGAACTGTTTTGAATATAAAAGTATTATATAGTTAGTTATATTTGTTTTTTTATTTTTGTTTTAAGGCATTTTTTTTCTTATTGAATAGTTTCTTGCATTAACTTTTCAATTTTTAAAATTCATTTTTCTTTCTTTTTTTTTTTTGAATTGTTTTATTTTGTTAAAGTAAGAAAAAAGGAGGAAACTTTCGAAAAAGGTTCGATACTAATTAATCGATTGTTGTATATATATAATTACTAAAATTTAATAGTAAATATTTCAATATTACAATGTTGAATGTAGATATGTATATATAGGTATTTAAGTTATAAGACTATGTATCGTTATATATATATATATATATGTAAAAGTACTTTTTTTTTTATTAATACAAATGCCAAAATATGATTAAAGTATGTTGAATACGATAAAAACGTTATTATTAATAAATGATATTTTATATGTGTAGGGTTTTTTAATTTTCTGTTTTTCTTTTAATGTTTGATTAAGCTAAGTAACTTAGTAAGTCCATCTTGGTGACAATATGAATTGGTTTTAAACCATCAGTGATGATTGCAGATGAATTCTTTTCAAAGAAATTGTTTAGATCAGATAATTTTGTATTTTCGTCAAATTTAACAAATTTCTTCTTACCAGACTTATTTTCGTTATACGAGGAGACTTCATTGAAATTATTTAGTTTATTGAAATCAAAGTAGTGGCCGGTAATCGAATCAGTTTTTGTAATATCACCATTAGAGATTTTTTTTCAAAACTTGGGATAAAGTGACCAAACCGGCTAATTTACCATCATGAGTTAAAACAGGTAATTGGTCAAAGCCATTTTCATTTAAAATTTTTACTACATCAGCTACTTTAGCATCATTGTAAACAGAAACGACGGGTTTCAAATTTAAATCCTTGACGATAGCACCGTGGAAAATATCCTTTTCTGTGTTAGTAGTAGCCTTGACACTTGGGTTGAATCTCTTCAAGATGTCATCATCCCACAAGTTATTAGTCTTCAACCATTCGTCATCAACGAATTTAGTCAAGTAAGATCTAATGGAGTCTGGGAAGATGACGACAATTACGTCATCTTCGGTCAATTCTGGATGTTCTTGACAGTAATTGACTAGAGCGCTGAAAGCACTACCAGAAGAACCACCAATAAGAACACCTTCATTAGAGATTAATTGGCGAGCATATTTGAACGATGGTTTATCTTCAGTCTTATACCAGACATCGATTAAATCTCTGTTCAAAACTTTTGGAATAAAATCATAACCAATACCTTCTACTTTGTATTCGGCTATTGGGGCATCGTTTAGGGATTTTGGTAAAGCTAAGATGGAACCAACAGGATCGGCACCGACGATTTTAATGCATGGGTTTTCTTCTTTCAAATATTTGGCAATACCAGTGATTGTACCACCAGTACCAGCACCAGCAACGACGGCATGCAATTGATCAAATTTATTCAAACGGGCCAGTTGTTCTTTAATTTCTCTGCCAGTACCGAAGTAGTGAGCTTCTGGGTTTCTCTGATTGTTATACTGATCCAATATGATGGCACCTGGGATTTCCTTTTCCAATTTCTTGGCGACACCGATGTGCGATTCTGGAGAATCCCAGGCAGCCTCAGTTGGGGTTCTAATAATTTCTGCCCCAAGGGCCTTCAAGACAGAGACTTTTTCATTGGACATTTTTTCAGGTAAAGTGATGATTGTTCTGTAACCTTTGATGGCACCGATTAAGGCTAGACCAATACCAGTGTTACCGGAGGTAGGTTCGATTAAAGTGGTCTTTTCTGGAGAGATGATACCCTTTTCTTCGGCGTACTCGATCATGTTCTTGGCGATACGATCCTTGGTGGAACCACCAGGGTTGTATAATTCTAACTTGCAGAAGACTTGTGGTTTGATACCGAGGGCCTTTGGTAACTTTTTCAATTCGATTAATGGTGTGTTACCAACTAAGTCAATAACATTGGTTCTGGTGTCTGTCATTATTATTGATGGAAAGTATGAAAGGGTAAATACGGCTATAGAATTATTTGTGATATGACGAGTTCTGTTGTCTTGTTCTTTTTTTTTTTTTCTATCTATGTGTAGGTGTATGTTCTGTATTGAAGTTATATATTCGAGGTAAGAAAGAGGAGGAAAGCAAGAGTTTGACTAAAAACGTATAAAGCATAGTTCAAAGAATCGATTAAGAAGTATATATATATATATATATTTGGTGTTTAAAACAAACGATAAAGATACATAATTGACTTAGAATTTAGTGATGATAACAATGACAACTACAAGAATAAGAATAAGAATAAGAATATCGTTTGAAGAATATATTCGGAATGAACTGTGGTGGACCTATATTTCCGTTTTGGGCGTGAAGGGCAAAATTCTGGCAAGACATGCAAAAAGAACGAAAAAAAAAAAAAAAAAAAAAGAAAAGAAAAGAAAAGAAAGGCGGGAATGACGGGTTTTAGAAAGTTAAACAAACGTAGACTAAACAAAACACAGAAGCACAAAGCTCTCAGGAAAACTTTTGCTTTACTCATCTCATGTTCTTTCTCTTTCACTTCTTATCTGGTACATAATGTCTTATAATTTATTTATCCTATGGAAACCTTGTATCTGTCTGTTATCTGCAAAAAATTACACACTTTTTTATAATAAAATGAAGAAGGAAGAAAAGAAGGAAAGGAAAGAAACAAAAACAGAAACAGAAGCACCAAGAAGGACACACATTGATAAACATTAATCGTTAATGTCAAGCATCTCTTTCTCTTAGATTATTGGTGTATACGCATTCATACATACGGGCTTCGTTGTAAAGAATTAATCATTTTTATGGGCTTTAAATGACTTTCCCTTTTTATTTTTTGTGTCACCTTCCTTTTAGAGAAAAGGAAAAGATACAAAAAATAAAAATGTAAGGAAGGAGAAGAAAAGAAAAACGTATTAAGACAGAAGGAGGAAGCACAGCTCTTTATGTAGATGAGAAAACATTGTTAGCATGTGAATAAGTGAATGTGTGTGTAAGGAGATTATATTTTTTTAATCTTTTTTTTTCCTTTATATTATTCCCAAATTCATATATTCGAGTTAACAAATGATCGGCGCATAGACATTAGTGGTAAATGACTGAAAAGAAGCTTATTCAAGAGACCTTTGATTATTGAGAGATAGTACCAGAGGCAATTATCAGTATTGACATTTGTTCTCTGTCTAATAGGTTCCATCTGGAAGAACAACAAGAATAACGATAATAACTAGGGCTAACCTATTTATTAGTTAGAATCAACCAACTATACAATTTTTGAGTGGTTATTGTATATAATTAATATCCATATATTATTGTTTTGCTTGAGATAACCCCCCCCTTATATTCTATTTTTAAAACATATTAGAAGCAAATGTATAGACCGAAACGTTATACTATAAGTTTTTTCTTATCTATTCATGTCTTTTTAATGTTTTCTATCTACTATTACACGTACTTTAAAAGGCATAACTTAGCAAGTTATTCTGTTGTACAACAAAACAAATGATAGTCTCTTCTATTACATTCCCCACTTAACAAAATTGTTATATTTACAAGTCTATCTTGTCATCTAAAAATCTTGATTCGTATCTTCTCTTTAACTGTATTTAGTTAGGTACTGTTTTCAAAAGAGTAAGAAAATCTTAAAATATAAGAAAAAGTAGTATAAAAATACGTATCTTAAAATAAAATAAATACATAAAAATCCAGAAAATAAAAATAAAAGAAAAAGAAAAAGAAAAAAAAAAGAAAAAAAGATATATATATACATATATATAAGAAGAGATCAGTAATGGTAGTTGTTAAAACTGAACCAAATTTGGATACTTCTTATAAAGCTGAATTGGATGTTGGTCCAATTAAAGATCAATTCTTATTTACGCCTAAAACCGAGAAAAGTGTTACTAGTAATAAACTTTCAATATCGAAGATCCCAAATAGCCGCCCATACACAAATAATAAAAATAAAACTATAACAACTCATTACAATAACAGTAATAGTACCAATATTAATTACAACAACAAGAGTGATAAGAGTAGTACAGTTAAAGATAAAGTTAATTTCTCTGACTATATACTTTCGACTTCAAATATTGGTAAAAATGATACAGATAACAATGTTGTGACTAATAAGAATGTGAAAACTCATAAGAATGATGCCACTCTTCTAGAAAATAGATCTTCTCCAGTTATCAAAACTGAATTATTCGATAAAAATGTATTTTCATTAACAGATATGAATAAAAAGACTATAAATAGTAGTAGTAACCACAACAATGAGGATAATTTAATGGACGATAGTAAAGGACGTAAAGTGAGGAAAAGATCTAAGATTGAAAATCTTAATATAACAGGTAAATTGAAAAAGACTAAACAATCACAAATGTCGATAAATAGTCATCTCGACACTACAAATATAAAACAGTTTGATAATGTTGATAATATTCCTGTGGACCCAGGAAAGAAAAAAAATTTTGATGAGTTGTTGTATGAAAGAAAAAACATTCTTGCTACTGAAGAAGAGAAAGAAAAATTGTTTGTCGAATTGTTTGAAGATGTAGATCCTAACGAAGAATTGGATTATTGTAAAGATATAATTCAGTTTCCCTTGGAGAAATGGTTGGAATGGGGACATAATTTTACCATTGAACATGAAAATTTAATTGAAGAACTTATGAAAACTAGGCTTGATCTAAGTTATAAATTCCAGATAGTAACTAGGACTATGAGTGATCGATGTGACGCCTTAATAAATCAAGAAAATCATTTGGATGGTAAATTAAAAAAAATTAAAAGTATTGCTAAAAATATGCTTGATATATTATAACATATGTATATGTATATGTATATGTATGTATATGTGTCGAGATGTAATCAAACAAATTAACTAATTGCTAACCATCTCCTTAGTTACAAGTGTTTTAAATATTAAACCATTAAGTTTTTCCTACTATATCTTAATCCGTTGTCTACCCATCATTCCAGGATTAACTTAAGAAGAATTAAGTTTTAAAGTCAGGTAAATATTTCAAACCTTATGAGTTATTTTTGATTTATATACTTGCTATAGCACTTAAAGAAAAGAAAAGAATAGAAAAGAAAATATACATAAATTATATATGATAAATCTAGTTTCTCTTTCTGAATCTTCTGTCTCTTTGAGCAGAAATGTTGATAACAGATAATGGTAAAGATAAACCTAAAGATTTAACTAAGTCAGCGGTTTGAGCATCAACGTTTAAGACACCGTTACGGTGAGATAAGTCTAAGGCAGAAACTTCTGGAACGTATTGATCCTTTCTTTCTCTTTCTTCTTCTTGTAACTTGAAAGAAATACCTCTGACTGGACCCTTTTGAATTCTCTTCATTAAATGGGTGGTGTAACCAGCGATCTTGTTTCTTAATCTCTTGGATTGAATGGTAGCGATTTCATCACATAATCTCTTGTTAGTTTGGAAATCCAAAGTTAATTTTGGATAGTAACGTTCAATCAAAGCCTTGGAAGCACGCTTAACGGTTTTAGTTCTAACTCTACCCTATTTGAAAAAGAAAAAATAATAATAACGAAAAAAACACAACAAATAAAATACACATTATTAAATTCAGCGAATAAATTAATATTCATGTCAAATTTAATTATATTGTGGTTATTTATTTTGTTAGTAAACGAAGCTCATACTATAAAAGTTAAGGAGACAACTTTTTTTCAAGTAGTAATCACTTTTTAGAAATAACGTGTTTGCTTTCTTCTTCTTCTTCATTTTTGCATTTCATTGTTTATATCCTATTTGTTTCACAAAAACAAAGATCTTCATTATTATACTCTCCAGATGTGTTGCTGTTTAAAAAAAAAACATTAATCAGTAATATACTTCTAAATATACAATGGTGTTACATCATCATTATCAAAAAAAATCACATTACTTTATCAGGATGTTTTTTTAATTCCTCATGAAGTTATTCTATTTCAAAAGCATGTCTCCAACTCCCTTTTTTTTTTACAAAACCATTGTAACCGGGCTTATTCTCTTTATTTCATTTACGTACCATTTTTGTATTTGCAAGTGTCGATTTGCTTTGACTTCAAAAGATTAATAGCAACTGGTTAAATCGCAACAGACCGTTCCCTAATAGTACCACTTCGCACAAACACTAGAAATATTTGTTATAATAGTGAATTTAATATCATGGTACACCGGTGCTCAATGATCGATGAACAACCACCTACACACAATCGCTCGTGATTACCACAAAGGACTACAAACACTAAGGACAATATTAGTTACAATGCAAAAAACACAATCAGTGAGCTTTCCCGCACCAGTGGTCGAAGACTGCTGGTTAGGTCACACCAGAAAACAAAATTCGAAGGACTTTCCCAGGTTCCAAGGAATGTAGGAGTTGATTGGCAGGAGTTACCTCTCTGAAGCAAACTCTTGTTATCATCAGACAGATAAGCTGAAGACTGGGACAAAAACTCTCGCCTGGGCTGCTGTCTACTAACGGACGAATCAATCACTGCAGCAATTGGTAGGAAGGACGTTGGCAAAAAGCATGAAGAATCTGTAACGCCATTTCTGTTTGGAATTTGTTTGTGTTCATAGCCCCGTGGTGTACAGAGTTAACTTATTCAATTTTTTTTGGAATTTAATCTTTATCATTATTTAAATGCGCAACTGGCATATCATAATAACAACATTTTCCTAAACCAGTAATACAAACTATTAAAGAAAAAGTAAATATTTTACAGTTAGTAGGTGCACGGATGTACCAGTCTCCAGAACTATTTATTTTACGGAATATGTAAAAAGGACAAGAACGGAGAAATTTTCCCGGAATTGCTATTACTCCGCTTTTTTTCCATTTTCCGTGTATAGTGTAAATATTTTTTGAAGAAATCGAGAATAACCAAAAAAAACAAAAAAAAAAAAAAAGAAATAAAAAATTTGAAGATATTATCATGGAGAAAAATGGTGTAAACAATAATAAGCCATACCATCCGTAGAGGGTTTGAAATTCTTTCGTATTGACTAAGTTCGAGAACAATATTGTGTGCATTTCAATAAACTCTATCACATATTCATCTTTTGGTTGGAAAGTCATTTGTTTCTAATCTCTTTAATAGCATCTTTGATAATTTGCAGTTCATTCCTCCCACTTTCTTTTAAACTTAACTTTTTCTCTTTTTTTTTTCTTTGACCTTCACAGATGTCCAATAAATTCCATTGTGACGTTTGTTCGTCTGACTGTACAAATAGAGTAAGAATTACATGTGCTGTTTGTCCAGAATATGATTTATGTGTACCGTGTTTTGCTCAAGGTTCTTATAATGGAAATCACAGACCATACCATGATTATCGGATCATTGAAACCAATTCATATCCTATCCTAGTGGAAGATTGGGGCGCCGATGAGGAATTACAATTAGTCAAAGGTGCACAAACCTTAGGGTTAGGTAATTGGCAAGATATTGCAGATCATATTGGATCTCGAGATAAAGAAGAAGTCAAGGATCACTATATTAAATACTATATTGAATCACCTTACTATCCCATTCCTGACATAACAAAAACTATCAATGTTTCACAAGATAAATTTTTGGAAGAAAGAAAAAAGAGAATTGAAGCCTTTCGAGAGAAACCATTGGAGCCACCCAGGAAACCTATGGCCTCTGTACCAAGTTGTCATGAAATTCAGGGGTTTATGCCAGGTAGATTAGAATTTGAGACTGAATTTGAAAATGATGCAGAGGGTCTAGTGAAAGATATGGTGTTTGATCCAGATGATCAACCTTTAGATATCGAGTTAAAATTGACTATATTGGATATTTATAATTCGAGGTTAACTACCCGTGCAGAAAAGAAAAGATTATTATTTGAGAATGGGTTAATGGAATATAGAAAATTACAAGCAATTGATAAAAAAAGAAGTAAAGAGGCTAAGGAATTGTTTAATAGAATTAAACCCTTTTCTAAATTGATGACAGCCAAGGATTTTGACGATTTTCAAAAGGATATATTGGAAGAATTGGACTGTAGATCTAAAATCCAAGTATTACAAGAATGGAGAGCAAATGGTATTACGACAAAAGAAGATGGTTCAAAATATGAACGTGATAAGCAAGCAAGAATAGTAGCGTTGGGAAAACTTGGAAATTCAGATTCACATACATCGTTAGCTAATGGTATAGTAAATAGACATAGAACTGTTACGGCCACATCAACACCTACCGGAACTACTCCATCACCAGCATCAAAAGGGTTGGTAAAAGACCATTCATCTAGTAATAATGAGGCAAGTGGAAAAAGGAGAACAATGACTGTAAACGATATTCAGCATGGTTCAGATTATGGATTATTATCTCCCGAAGAGCAACAACTATGTGTACAATTGAAAATGTACCCTAAACCGTATCTTGCAATTAAAGAAGTCATGTTTAGAGAGTTACTGCGGTCGGGTGGGAAGATGCAAAGAAATGAATGTAAAGAGTTATTAAATATTGATCCATTGAAAGCAAGTAAAGTTTATGATTTCTTTCTTCAGCAAAGTTGGATGTAATCTAAGTGTAATAATTGACATTATGTACCAAAAAATATATGTACTTATATAATATTCACATTTCTCCTCAGTAAAATTATGAATAAGCATTTCATGTCGTGTTAATGGTAAAGGTGTCTTTTCAAAGATAAAAGGATGAGTTTTTAAATGGGCCTATGTCGTTAGTATACTTTCACTTACAAAAAAGAGAGTAGGATAGCTGAAGGAGGAATATAGGTCTAGAAATATATAGAAAATGTTTGTATTTAGATGGAATTGTTCTAATTGCTTTGTTAGTTATTTCTACTGGTAGTGTTTTCATACAGAAAGTACTATATATAGGTATGTAATCAGTACATTCGCTTTTATCTAAATATACGGTTTATATTATATTATTATTAATTAAATGAATATTGTATGAATTGTGTTGACGTTTTACCAAAAGTGTTTGGAAAATTAAAGTCAATATTTTATATTACAATTTTTTTTTAAAAAAACTATGTTGATTTTACTTTTATTTCCCTTTTATGTAACTAGAATTTTATAATTTATATAGTTTATAAAATATGTGGAATGTGTATTACAATTTTTTAACAATCAAGTCAAGAATCTTAACTCTAGAGTCTTCTTCTTCTTCTATATTATCAAGGAAGGTGCTTTTAATGTAATCCTTATATTTGGTTTGTAGCTGCTTTGAATCTTTTTCTGGTAATTTACTTTTATAAGCAATATATTTCTTGACAGATAATTGGAGTTGATCAATATCCAAGTTTTCCAAAGTCATATATCTAATGTTAAGTGTAATATCAATAAACATATTCATTAGATAGTACTCTGGAAACTCTTCCTTTAATGATATATCATGGTGCTCAAATTTCCAGTATTGTAAAATATGGTTAATTAGATAGTCTCGTTGTAAATCTTTAAATTGATCAAACAATTCGATATATTTTTGAGATTCCTTATATAGATATTCAATGGCTTCTTTTTTTAATTCTTTATTAGTCGTTTTATCGGCTACAGCATAGTAACCTTTTTGTTTTTTTAAATAATGTTCACCCAGAGATTTCATACCAATGTCAAAAATAGTTAAGGCAATATCACCACGTAATGCAGGATTAGTCTCTTGAGAACCCAACATATTCATATCAGCTTCTGGCAATTCATTTAATTTATCCTTCATAGCATCACCAGTCGATATTGTTTTAATATTTGAGTCTTGGTCATCATTATCTTCATTTTCATCATTTGGTCCTTTTTCCTTAGCTTCATTCAACATATCTAATTCTTGTTCTCTTTCATTAATTAAATTCATAACTTTTCTTCTATTAATTAATTTGGTTATAAAATTTAATTCAAATTTAATATATTCGAACCACAACTTTGAGACATCAGGATTAAACCTTAGCCCGTTTTGGAACACACTTCTACAACTTTTGAAATTGGCATGTTTTTCATATTCATATTTAGCACAACTAATCCATATATTAACATTATTTGGATGTAGTTTCAATAATGTGTTGTAAACAGAATGAATTTTTTTATATGAGGTAGATACCCCCCGATTCTTGAGGAAATTTAAATACATAGCCCAAAACTTAAGGTCTTGTGGAAATTTGTTGGTACCGCGCTGATATATAAACCCAATTCTTTGAGGGATAGACCAATCTGATATACTGTTTGTTTTATTTGTTTGAAGAATTCTATGGACTCTTTTGACACGTAATTTTTCCACATTAGTCTCGTATTGAATGTATTTCACGTAGTCATTTATACTGGATCCACGAGAATTTAGGCGGTGTTCAAAATTAGTTCTTTTCTTCATTATGTTGGACACTTCATCTTTGGTGAATACACCTTTCTCCACTAGATCATCTAGTTCAGGAATAAATTGTTCTAAATAATGTCTTGTTTTGGTTGACATGTTTTAGAAATTATGAATTATTTATTGGGAGGGGAATGTTGGCACGGATATTTTGCGAAGGTAGAAACAAACTATCTTGTTGTCGATAAATAATGTCTTTGTTACTGTATAATCTATATAAAGAGAAAAGATGAGATGAGATGATCATCTTAAATTTTTTGTAAAGATATTGAAAATTTTCCACTTACTGTAAGACAAAAAGTGAAAAAAGAAATGTAGAAAAACATTGGCGGACTGTTTTTACATCCGTACATTATTTTTCTGTAAAAATCTTACCTACTTTTTGGCAATATTTGAATTTCCCGTTATGGAAACCCGTATGTGAAATATTTTTCTATTTTGTGTTGTTTCATCCTTTGCGTCCTTATTTCAAAGAATTGCCCTAATAAAGTCTTCGCTTGGCTGCTCTAGTCGGAAAGAAGAAGTGTGGAGGAAAGGTAGAGCAGAATCTCTTCTCCTTAGCTAACATTCTTCTGCCTGGGAAAGGAGATAGTGCCACTGCAAGATACGCTAAACACCATAGGAGTTTAGTGTAGTTTTCCAATCAGTAGATAGAATGTCTCCATCCAAGAATGATCCTGGCTAAGTAGTACCAGCCATACCTCATCCAGTCATAATGTTTATTCTCTTCAAGGAATTTGGTGGATCATTACTGCTAATTGTGTCTGTAGATGCGAATACATGGTAACAAACTACTCCCTCCACTATCACAGATGGCTTTACTCCTTGGAACCTGCGAGAATATGGATAGGTCTGGTTCTGTTGTAATGTGGGTTTAGTGAGTAGTAGGTAGTAGCGTAAGGTGCTAATATCGATTGTAGGATATGGATAGTAGCTGGCATTGTATCAATCCGTGACATCCCCGTGGTATTGTCCATCATAAAGTAGTAGACAAAGACGGCTTATTCAGTACAAAACGTACGTAATACTTGAAACCGTTATTGCAGGCTACACTTAAGCATAAAGACCCAAGTAGCGTACAGGAAAAGCCAAGAAAAGATGTCTTTAGTTGTCCAAGAACAAGGTTCCTTCCAACACATTTTACGGTATGTTTATTTAAAATAAAAAGAGAAAAGAACATGGATTAGACATAATAGAAGAGGTATATTAAGGATCTATTAAGAACGAAGTTTGGTATTTACATAACCAATAAGTAAAGTAGTCGTAATTTATATGTAATAGTGTTTGCTGATGGCTTGTAAAAAAAAATATTGTAGTTCATTATTTTGATCGAATGAAATAAATAAATTTCATAGAAAAAGGTGTTAAAGTACATTTATTGACGATATAAGGTGATATAAAGTTTTTAACAAAATGGAATGAATATAAAAAGTAGATTGGCATTACATTGGTATAATTATAATTAGAAGATGTGTGTTGTTTAATTGCTTTCTCTGTGTCTATCTTTTAACTTTACTCAAGCAAGTACGTAAGGTTCTCTCAACAATTAAGAGCATTAATCATACTAACAAAATAGTTCATTATTTTTTATCAAAAATAAAAAATGACTATTATATCTCTTTTTAAATAGTTTGTTAAACACTAACGTTGATGGTAACATTAAGATTGTTTACGCCTTAACCACCATTAAGGGTGTTGGTCGTCGTTACTCCAACTTGGTCTGTAAGAAGGCTGATGTTGATTTATCTAAGAGAGCTGGTGAATTGACCCAAGAAGAATTAGAAAGAATTGTTCAAATCATGCAAAACCCAACTCACTACAAGATTCCAGCTTGGTTCTTAAACCGTCAAAAGGATATTGCTGACGGTAAGGATTACCACTCCTTGGCTAATAATGTCGAATCTAAATTAAGAGATGATTTAGAAAGATTAAAGAAGATCAGATCTCACCGTGGTATTAGACACTTCTGGGGTCTACGTGTTAGAGGTCAACACACTAAGACCACTGGTAGAAGAAGAGGTTAAAATCTGGAAAGGATTCTCATTATTTAGTATTATATATATATATAAAATAACATTATACTTAAAGAAACTTTTTCTCACTTTTTAATATCTTTTTCTTTTTTTTGGTCCTTTTTTGATAAATATATATGTATATTAAAAGGTTTTTGCCGTGTGTGGTAGGTTGAAGAATAAGAATACACGAAAATGTACTGCAGTATAGTCGTAGGTGATGTGTTAAATGAGTAAAGAAAGGGAAAGAATAAGAATCTTCTATGTTTATTTAAAAAAAAGTCTTTTTAATTGTGTTATATATTGGTTAGTCCTTTGACCTCTCTCTAAAAGTTATCTCAATTTTAAAGCAGAAATGTTCATGAAGTGAAAAGTAAAGTAAGCATAAATGAAAACGTTTGGAATAAATTCATCCATCACCGTGTGACAACCTAAATTAAAGGCAATGGCCCCATAGAATAAGAAGCTATTGTACACAAGTGTATACAAGAATATCTATTAGCAAGAATAATGAATAAAAAGATTAAAATGCAAATGAGGTGGAGGATACATATATATATATATTTAATCCTGCTAAACTAAATAATATAAATAGTTTACTGAACAAATTTTATCAACTGATTATCTGGAAAAACTGTAAGGCTCTCAAATTTTGTTCTCTTCTCATATATTGTCTTTGATTTTGGAACCAAACTTGAATAGCCTTTTCAGACATATTACACTGTTGTGCTAATGACAGTCTTTCCTCTTTCGAAGGCGCTTTGTTTTTTCTGAACGCTTCCTTCAATATTTGTCTTTGTTCCTTAGTGGTTCTTCTTCTTCTACGAGAAGTTGTTTGGCTATTGTTATCAGTATTGTCAACTGGAGACACAGTTGAAGGTCTCTCTACTATAGATTTGGACTGTATGCCAGACTTCTTCATTATGGTACCATTCTTAGCAATGTGGTAATCGTTGGATTGGGGTACAAACGAAAAGTTTTTCATTGCTTGTTGTTTAGTGATAGAACTATTTACAGAGACTGGATTAGTCATTATCTTTTGACCTAAATTATTATCCTTGAATATTAAAGAAGAGAAACTATTTGAAGATGCAGAATTGTTCATTGTATTGAGTTCACATGGTCTAAATTGAGTGGAAAGATGTGGTAACTGATGTTGTTGATCAATGTTTGATACAGGTATAGCGCCATGAGTACAGTTTTTAATTGCAGGGCTAGAAGAAGGAATGGAGGTACATATGGGAACAGGTGTTGTGACAGGAGTTTGAGTAGGCGAATTTGTAAAGCCAAGTGGAGGTAGCACGATAGAACTTGTAGTTGCAGAAGAAGCGACGGACGATCTCTTAGTGGTAGTGCTTGGTGTTGACAAATAATTAGCAGATGCATTTGTTAGAGGTGCAGGAGCAGCATCAGTACCTGTAGTACTTTCTAAATTTGAATTTAGCATACTCTGAATAGATGGCAGTTGGGTATTAGAATTAGTCAAAGATCCAGAAACACTCAAATTCATAGCTGGAAAACTCTGGATATTATTAGGAGGGATAGTGGCAGCGGCAGGGGCAGTAGCACCAGCTGAAGTTGTGCCAGTTGTTTGAGGCACACCAACTTGAGCAAATGGCATTGCTGATGATATAAAAATAGCAGGACCATGACAAGGTTGGCCTAATACGTTATAACCTTGAGCAGGAAGGGTAGCGGCAGTAGTGAGTGCAGCATTACAAGGTGGCATTGGATAGGTAATTGCAGTATTGATATTTGAGTTATTAAGCATCATCATATTATCATAAATAGATAGTGTGAATATGTGTATGTAGGTGTTCCTTTTTTTTTATTCTTTTCTCTCTCTCTTTTCAGGATTTAAGAAGCAAAATAAAAAGCTAAAACATGCAAAAATGAAGAAGAATTTTTAAAAGCGATAAAGAAATTTAAAAATATTAATTAAGTAGAAAAAATGTAGGATTGCAGACTATAGTTTGGGTGTCTGTGTAGATGGTTAATGAAAATGGTTAGAAGTCCTAGCTGGGAGTGGTTATAAATGATGGGGAAAGTTAAAGCTGTATAGTTTATATTCAACAAAGTTTGATATGGACTATAATTTCATGACTTGTGGGTCTTCTCAATAAGCAAAGAGAGGAGAAATGAAAAGAAAGAAAAGATGGAACTGAAAAGGACAAAAAAAAAGAAGGGAGAGGAAGGGAGGAAGTGAAAAGAGAGGGATTGCCAGAACGAACAAAAGAGTTATGTACTAAAAGATCGCTTTTAACTTGGACAAATTTAGTGTTTCCAATTGCGTTTCTTTTATATGTTGTACATTAGATGGACGAGTTTCATGTTTAGGAAAAGAGAAAGAAGAAATTTAAGCCAAGAAAAAAAAGCATACAACCAACAAGAATAAGAGACAGCAGAAAAACTGGAAATTCAAAATCTTGCGTTATGTGAGTGATGAACAATCTTAAGTATGTACGAACTAAGGAGAGTGGGAAGTACGACAATTTTCTTGAATAGGAAATAAATACATAGACAAAATTCGGTGGTATTGAAAACATTATTTTTCCTGTTAATAATAGTAGCGACGTAAATATTGTAAATATTGTAAATGTTATGTATTATTGTGTATTATTGTAAATAGAGATGTATTATGAAAATCTATTTGTTTGTCTGTTTCAGATTGTGTGCCTAAATGGGAATGCATATGATAGTGAATTCTATCATTTATTATTTATTATTTTTTTTTGCTAAAAGTAAAAACAAGATCAAGACAAAAATATTTTTGGTATTTCATTATAATGTAATTCTAAACAATAGTCTATCTACAATAAGATGAAGATAAAAATAAAACAAAATAAAAGAACGGGCTTATTTTTCTTAGATAAAACAATACGTCGAGATACGATAAATGTAAAGTTAAGTTTTTTTTTTGCAATTTTTTTCTGTACAATGTAGGGTAGAATGAATTATGGAGGGAAGGAGGAGGATTTTGGAAAAATTCTCTTACGTATACTTCAACGACATATGGATATTTGGAAAAGGGGCTTTTTTTTTTCTTTTACTGTTAAGGACATACAGACATGTACTCACATTGTTTTTTTTTTCGGGTTTAACAAAAGTTTGATTTTTCATGCACCTCATTTTGTGGAAACAAGAATGAAAAATTTTATTTTTTTTTGTTATCTCTTTTGATTTTCGAAAAAGTAATATTTTTGGTATTTGTATGTAAAATTCCTCCTTCCTCTTGAGATAAAGGACATTAACGAAAACAAAAAAAATAATGATCATAGGAGGGAGATATCAAAAAAGTTGGGAAATTTCAAGTAAATAAAAATATGAAACAAAAAAAAAAAAGAAAAGAATAAGAAAAACAATATGAACAATTGCTTCCTATTTTTGAATAGATGATATAATGAAGAAAAAATTTGTATTGTCTTGTAAAAATGATCTAATGGAAATTCGAAACATCTCATATATTATTACTCAGGGTTTCAATTCAAAATATTTTTTTCCTGTTTAACCCTCTATTTGCAAAAAGCTAAAGCAGGCATAAATAAGTGAAAGATAAACTTGTATACAAAATTAGAGGTAAAAATGTATAATACATATTATTAGTGCTAAGAAAAAGCGTTTAAATAATGAATTCAATTCATTCAACAACTTGGTAGTCTTTTTCTCTGTGCCCTCTACACTATGTCTTGGATAAAGCCATTTTCTCAAATTTTCTTTTTTTTTTGGATAATTTTTTTTTAGTTTTTTTGTTTTTCAGGGTTGTTGAGGCAACACAAAAATGTAAAAGAGTGTTAACCCTATAAATGTTATAATTTAAAAGAATAAAAAAAAGTCTTTTCTATAAAAAAACCTAATTGTCTTGATGTCGGGAGTAAATCCATGTGCGGTTACAAAGGCTAATTACCAATCTATTGTTCCAAAAGTAGAAATAGCCGTATTTTTACCTTTAGAGTTTGTTACACAATTCGGAGGACGGAGAATTAGCGAAAAAAGAACCGGTGACTAGTAGTAGAGTATTGATAACGGCTGATAAAACGGTTTTGAAGTAAAATAGGACAAATGCTGATATCACAATAATAGACATGATATAAGACTTAATTCTTTTTTGTTTTTATTTTTAGAACATAGTGAATAAAGTAGACAGAAAAAGGATGAGAGGGAAATAAAACACAAGAAAAAAGAAAAAAAGAGAGAGAGAGAGAGGAAAAGGAAAAAGAAGAAATTTTAAGTCAATGAAAGTAGTAGTATATCATGAGTTTGTCCATGGTTTTTATTGTTTTTCTTGGTTGTTGAGGAATTGTCTGTTAAGCCCAGAGTGCTTGCTGTCGAATTGTAGTATTTTAGGGGATAGTTAGCAGAATGCTAGATAAGTGGATTGTTTTCAATTAACTAAAAAGATAACTAAATACTTATTGTTATTTTTTTTAGAAGTGTGTAACCTCTGAGGTGGTGTTGAATCCTAATTAGTTATCAATCAGTCTTCTTACAATAGAATATCAAGAGTTAGAAATGGTCTTTATTACAAGTATTATGTACGATAAATCTTCTATCCCTTTCCTTTTCTCTTGTACAGACATCGTGAACTTAGAAGTTGCTCGTAAGCTTTTGCACGTATTGATTTCTGTTTTGGGATCTTTTACGTATTGGATGATACAATTTTATATGTTTGACTATATATAAACTATTCATGATCTCTTTTTTTATCAACTCCTTTTTTTTGTTTGTTTATTTATTTATTACGTAAGTTTTAAAATATATTAATATAATAAAATAACTTTGGATTCTTACGCGTATATTGTTGAAGAGCAATGAGTGTGAAAATAAGAAAACAAAGGATTTTACATCTTTATTATGAAATAAAGTTGATTTTAATTGTAGAAAAAAAAAGTGGCCTAGTTTATTTCGTACCACTTATTTAATATTATTTTGTTTGTCTTCTTTATTCTAAATTTTGTATTTTATTAATTCTTGGCAAGATTATAATGAAAAAGAAACAGAAAAACAAAAAAAAAAAAAAAAAAAAAAAAAGTAAAAGGAAACACATTCTTTGTTTTTTATGCAAAGTCTATATTTGTCAAGATCACAACCCTCTCCCCCCTAAAAAAATTGTCTCGAAGATCACTTAATAATGGAACTCTTTTCGTAAAAAAAAAAAAAAAATAAAAAAAGAAAGAATGAGAAAAAAGGATAAAATTTGTCATTTAATATTACCGATAACACTAAAAGGCTTTTGAAGCTTTCAAATGTCCAAAGTTGTTAAAATCAGTGCAATATAGACAAAAAAAAGAAGATTTCTTGAGGCGTTTCTATTAATTAATTAAATGATCGCTAATTTCTAATACCCTTTTTTTAATTAAAAACGGACATGACTTAATCTAATTACTTTTCATTAGCTAATATAATTAAGATTGGACTTTGCTGGATATACTATAATTCTACACATATATCTATGTATTTTAATTAAAGTAATAGAGTTAAAGGGAAGACTATATTATTTTCATTTCTGTTTTTATTTTTTACTTTTGCAGACAGGACATTATTACGATCTATCTAATTTTTAAGTAGCAAATTTTACATATCATACACTTGTTAGTGTATTTTTGCATTTTTTTTTTTTTTGTTTTTCCTTTGGCCAGCCAGAAGTCCTATATTATTAATAATTTTTTTGTACCTGCTCTTAGGCACGTAAAACAAGTAAAGAAAAAAACGTTTGGGTAATTTTTGATAGTATCTCGAATTATCCAAATATACAAAGTTGTTAGATGCATAAATGTATTTTGTTCATTATATCTTAGTATAATAGTAAAAGAGTATAAAGACTATTCTGTTCTAAAATGGGAGTAAAAGAAAAAGCAGAACAAGGTCGAGAAGTACTTTCAATTATTCGCTTTCTATGAGTAATTTTCTTTAAAAGTCGATGAAAAAAATATTTATCTAGAGGAATTGTTGCTGTATATTGCATCTAATATTAAAATGTCCTTTTTTTTTCTCGGGAAAGAAGACTAATTTGCCTACATGTCTATGATAAAATGGTAAGGGGACAAATCAAGATTCAATTAAAAACATTCGGCTTCTCATTTAATGAAAAAGGTGTTGTTATATTGACTTTTCTTTACAATATTAAGATTTCAAGAATTTTAAAAGAAAACTTGTTTGTAAGCCTATTAAAACTTGTGTAACAGAGTATGCCCATGTACGTCAACAGAAAAACAGCAGGGTTTAGAAAGAAACTTCAATCCAGAGTACAATTCCCTTTATGTTCATAGCCAATACTAATTGATACAGGCGTTGTATTACTGGGGCAGGGGAAACTAAAATTACACAAGATATCATTCTTTGAAAAGGAAAAGATACACAGTTTTGGGAGAGGGGGGATCTGTAATCTTTATGTAAGCAACATTTTATTTTATCGTACTACCTTATTTTTGTTTTTCTTTTTGATTCTTTTTTTGTGAGCGAAGGTGAAAAAAATTCATTCGAATGCGAGGTTTGTTTCAAGTAGGAACCAAGTGGGATAAGGAAGTACAGGGGAGAATATGAAACAATTTTCAATAAAAGGCAATGATAAGTAAAATATATCATAGTATGTATTCTTGGTAGCTTTGAGGTGGAGATTATTATGTGTTTAGTGTAACCAAATTAAATGAAAACACTCTAGTAACTTAAAAAAAAATAAAAATAAAAATAAAGATAAAAAAGAAAAAAAGAAAAGGAAGAAGAGGCTTGGAAACCAGCGTTTAGTTTAGTTGTTTTTACTCTTTCTCTTCTGTTCGGATATGGATTCAAGGTTAAGGCTTCTTGCGAGTATTGGGTTGCTTTTGTTTCTAACTTTCTTTATATTTTGCCAATATAATGGAGGTAATAACAATGGAAGGGAAAATATATTTACCATTAACAAAACTATTAGTACTAATGGTGTGAAGAAAAAATTACATGGACGGTTCTTACACATCACTGATATCCATCCCGATGATTTATATCGTGAAGGCAATTCAATAGATTCAGTGTGTCATTATCCTATAGCAAACAATGGAAATAATGATGGTGAGGGAATTGACTATAATCATTGGGATTGGGCTCCCAAGTTTGGAAAACCCATGTCGGGTTGTGATTCACCCATAATACTAATGGAATCGACTATAAGTTGGATAAAAGAAAATCTAAAGGATGAGATCGATTTTATCATCTGGACAGGTGATAATATGAGACACGATAATGACCGCAATCATCCCCGTTTAGAATCTGCAATATTCGATATGAACCAACTTCTCACCACAAATTTTTATTCTCAAATATGTAAAGACCAAAAAAATAACAACCCTAGGGATTTAGAGATTGGTTTGATTCCTAGCATTGGTAATAATGATGTTTTCCCACACAACGTCTTTGCCATTGGACCAACTTTGCAAACAAGAGAATTCTATAAAATGTGGCATTGGCTCATACCGGAAGAGCAGCAAAAATTGTTTGATAGATACGGATCCTTTATGAGAGAGGTGATACCAGGGAAATTAGCAGTAATATCAATTAACACCCTATATATGTTTAAGGCTAATCCACTAGCAGACAACTGTATGAAACCAAGTGAGCCTGGGTATCAGTTATTGATCTGGTTAGGTTATGTTCTTGAGGAATTAAGGCAAAGAGGGATGAAAGTTTGGTTGTCTGGACATGTACCACCACTTAGCAAAAATTTGGAGGCGAGTTGTTTCCACAAGTTTACCTTATGGACACATGAATATAGAGACATTATCATTGGTGGTCTGTATGGTCACATGAATATGGATCATTTTGTTCCCTTAGATGGTACTGAATCAAGGGATTTTTTGGTTAATATATATAATAAAGACTATGATCCATTTATAAATGTGCAAGATACGGATCTTCCATTTTTGATACAAGGATCAAAACCAAAGGGGAAAGAAATGTATATGGAACAAATAAGAAGTAATATATACAAAAAAGTGGCCAAAAAATTGTCACCAAAGAGAAGAAAGAGAAAAGGTAAGTTGCCTAAGACAGCAAAGGATTTACAATATAAATATTCGATTGTTAATGTTGCCGGCTCTGTGATACCAACCTTTAATCCATCAATGAGAGTGTGGGAATATAATATTACAGGGCTGGAGCAATTCGAGATAAGTAATTCCATTGAATATGAACCATGGGACAAGTTTTTTTCAAAAGTTGAACAAATTATCGAAGAAGAAATTGGAATGGAAGTAGGTTTGGATTCAGTGAGTAAAGATGATAAGACCATTCCACGGAAAATGCCGAAGAATATGGAACTAGGACCAGCTTATGAACCACAATTATTTTCTCCTATGAAATTTATCCAATATTATGCAGATCTAGATAAGATTAACAAAGATTATTATCAATGTGTTAGGGATGGGATGACCGAAGAGCAAGCAGTAGAGAAAGCATTTAAATATGAAATTGAGTACACGTCAGAAGACAGTGAACCGTTTAAAGGGAGATCACTTTTTGTTCATGATTATATGGAGATTGCAGCTGAACTAGGTACTAACGATGAACAATGGAAACCCTTTTTACATAAGGTTTTTGGAGCGACCGATTATAGAGATGAATAAAAGGATGGTAGGAAAAGTTGTTCTTTCAAACATTACATTTGTATAAATATATACTTTTATATCTCTACGTAGATATATATGTGGATATTTGCTCAATAACGATAATGATAATTATGATGTTTTTGTATATACCTATTAGAAAGATTATAGTTAGTGTTACAATATATTCTGAATTGTTTGTTTATCGTTTTTTATAAAATAAAATATATTTCTATGAAGTTAATTATTTACTTATTTATTTATTTATTTATTACTCGAATATGAATTTCTTCATTTCTTCGTAAGCCTTTTCTAAATCATCATTAACAATGACTAAATCATGAGCGCCAGAATCGGCATACTCCATTTCAGCGTAAGCAGCACCTAATCTTCTTTCTAAGGATTCAGGTGTTTCAGTACCTCTGCCTTCTAATCTTTTTCTTAAATCTTCAATAGATGGTGGTGCAATAAAAAGAAATCTTGCATTTAAATCAGTGTTTTTGACAGACTTGACACCTTGCATATCAATATCTAAGATACAGGTTTTGCCAGAATTAATAACATTTTTAACAGACTCTATTGAAGTACCGTAATAGTTACCAGAGAATTGAGCCCATTCAATGAATTTAGAATCGTTAATCATTTGTTGGAAATCTTCAACAGTGGTGAAATTATAATCTTTACCTTGAACCTCGCCTTCTCTTGGCTTTCTTGTAGTGGAAGATACAGAGAATCCAAAGACATCTGGATATTCAGCAAATAATTTTTTCAAAAGAGTGGATTTACCGGTACCACTTGGACCAGAGATGACGATTGGGCGAGACATTGCAGATATACAGCTAGTGTACAAGTGTTTTTATTTGAGTTAGATAGAAGTGTAAGAAGAATAAAAATCGTAAGAAGTGGGAATGTACATGTATTAAACAAAATTATATAACAGAAGGTTGTTTCAAATTGTCCATAGACCTTTTGCTTCTCTTTTATTTATTAGCAATAGTTGATGCTTTTCTCATCTTGTTCTTATTTTTTTTGCCTCGAGGCTTTTGCATTTGCCTTTAGGATAAAAATTTTTTTTCTGTCAATTTTCCTGCATTAAACAGAAAATAAAAAAAAATAATGAAGAGATCAAGTGAGATTGAAATTAGAACGAAATTGAGGGAGAAGTGGAATCTGTAAGATGAAGTATAGATTGATGTCACCGGATCTATATCTGTTTGCTAGTCCGCTATGATCCTATAGTATTTGTTCCGTTGCTGGATTCTTGTTTACATCGGTTAAGTTGGTGGTAAACAAGTATCCCTGACATACGGCATTATTTATGTCAGGTTGAGATACAAGAGGATGTTCCACACATCAAACCAATATTATTGATTATCTTATTGTAGAATGTGTTAAGAAGAAGACAGATAAACCAAATTTTTAGTGGATAAAGCAGATGTTTCTGGGATCTATAATTTATTATTGATGTCTTATAGTACATGAGGTGATAATCTGTATATAACTGTGTTCTTCATTTTAGCTTGGTTGTGCAATATACATTTATGTGTATTATAAGATATATGTGCATATGTATATCACCGCTTTCTCTCGCAGTCTCTCTCTCTCCTTCCTTTTATGTATTTATTTGTTTTTGTCTTCTATTTCAACGGATTTAAGTAGCTTCCATAAATTCTTCCACTTTATCTGTTAAATTGAAAAAAGAGATAATGGCGAAGAATAATAAAGTTATCAGTTAACAAAAGAAGTTACTCAGGCAGATAAAGGGGGTAGCTAAAAAGACAGATATCTAGGTGGCCTACAAAACGTGTCTATTAGTCTACATATATACACACTTTTACACATTATATATTAACAAACTCCTATATGATGACTGTAAAATTACAAAATTACTTCCTTACATTATTTATCAAGTTTACAATTTCTAGTGCCATAAGCATATTATCTGGGAGAAATATTCTTGATGATGACAATGAAGATGAACTGTTACCTATGCCAGATACGCCTGATACAATCGATCCAATAATAAGTGATCCTGATGCTGATCTTAATCCTGTTACAGAAGAAATGTTTTCTTCATGGGCTCTATTTATTATGTTGTTTTTACTAATATCAGCCCTATGGTCTAGTTATTATTTGACACAAAGAAAAATTAGAGCAGTTCATGAAACAGTTTTATCTATCTTTTATGGGATGGTGGTTGGTCTCATTATTAGAATGACACCAGGCCACTATATTCAGGATATTGTCACTTTCAATTCCTCTTATTTTTTTAATGTTTTATTACCACCTATTATTTTAAACTCAGGTTATGAACTGAATCAAGTTAATTTTTTCAGTAATATTGTATCTATACTCACATTTGCTATACCAGGTACATTTATATCTGCAATGGTTCTGGGTATCATAATATATATATGGACTGCATTAGGATTAGAGAGTGTAAACATCACTTTGGTCGATGCATTATCTGTAGGTGCTACATTATCTGCGACTGATCCTGTTACCATTTTGTCCATTTTTAACGCTTACAAAGTAGACCCTAAACTATACACAATTATATTTGGAGAATCTTTATTAAATGATGCCATCTCCATTGTTATGTTTGAGACCTGTCAAAAGTTCCGTGACCAGCCTGCAGGAATATCCTCGTTTTTTGCTGGTGTCGGATTATTTTTGATAACTTTCACTGTATCTTTGATGATTGGTGTATTTATTGGGGTTTTGATAGCTTTAATTTTAAAACATTCAAAAGTAAGAAGATACCCACAAATTGAAAGTTGTATTATTCTCTTAATTGCCTATGAGTCCTATTTCTTTTCCAATGGTTGTCACATGTCAGGCATTGTATCATTATTGTTCTGTGGTATTACATTAAAGCATTATGCCTATTACAATATGTCAAGAAGAACACAGATTACTATTAGATATATCTTCCAAGTGTTAGCAAGATTATCAGAAAATTTTATCTTTATTTATCTTGGTTTGGAATTATTCACTGAAATGGAATTAGTTTATAAACCACTATTAATTATTGTAACATCAATTTCTATTTGTGTTGCACGCTGGTGTGCAGTTTTTCCATTGTCTAGATTCGTTAATTGGTTGTACAGAATGAAAACTATTAGAGCTACCAGAAGAGAGTTAAGAACAAGTCTTGCTATCCCAGATGAAATCCCATATAATTATCAGATGATGACTTTCTGGGCCGGGCTACGTGGTGCCGTCGGCGTTGCTTTGGCACTAGGTATCCAAGGTGAATACAAGTTTACTTTTTTGGCCACAGTATTGGTTGTTGTTGTATTGACTGTTATTGTTTTTGGAGGGACTACAGCTAGTATGTTAGAGATGATGAATATTAAAACAGGTTGTATAGATGAAAATGATGAGAGTGATGACGAATTTGATATTGAGACGACTAGACAAAATATACCGTACTACAATAACATTAATATTGATAATAATCACGGCAATGAGCGTGGTTTTGTTGATACTTTCAATGATAATCGGATAGTAAGACAATCATATTCAGACGATAATATTGATTCTCCACAGTTTACAGCTACTGATAATAGTCTTGCTAATGATCAAACAGGTAATACTTTTAATAATTACAGTCAAGATCCAATTTTATTCCCAAGAGAAGTGGATAATTTTAATGTGGAATCTCAAATAGAATTAGATTCTGCTAAAGGTCAAAGTGGTACTGTCACTCCAATGAACGGTTCAAGGATTGAAAGAGAAAAAGAGAATTTAAAGAATAAATTTAATGGAATATTTAATTCTGACTCTCAATGGTTCCAAGCACTTGACGATAATGTATTAAAACCAGTGTTCTTAGATAATCCTGGAAATGCACCAAATCAAAGTAGGTCGAATACGCCTTCCGTACTTGGATTTAGAAGAGATCAACGATAATTGGGTAGAGTATACCCACGAATTTAATATATGTATGTATGTGTATATAATGTTCTTGGTTCATTCTTAATTCAAATATAATTATTAGATTTAGAAACACATTATTACAATACACTCTATTATTATTCACAACAAATATTTCATAATGTTGCTACATTATTTCTTTTAGTTTGGTTGTTTAGAAACATAAAAAGTTTTTCTTTTTTTTGCCAAAGAAGACAGATTTGAAAATATTGTAAATAAATGTTAACTTTACATCTTAATATTAAGTATTGTTTACTTTATTCGCCTTGGTATTTTCCTTTTATTTATAATACTTACTTGTTACTATTGTATAATCTTACGGATTTTGTCGGATTTTGTCAGATTTTTACATTCCGTTTATTTCAAGTTGTGGTGTTTCTCTTTCCAGAAAAAGAAATTTGAGTATAGATTAAGCAAACATTTTAAATGTAATTTATTAATAAGATTCTCAAAAGGTGGTAATTATTATGTAAGACTTTTTTTTTCACAAGTCTTTCTCATTCGAAGACAAAAAACTTCCATTCCAATAAATTACTTGTTTTTTGTTGTTGTTTTTTGTGAAGTGATATTTGTAAGTTGTTAATAGTTATTTTAATCAGTTGGTGGTTTAAAAGAGTAACTATTGACCTTAATTTAAAGGATAATAGATAATAGATATAAATATTTTCTTTATTTACCTAAAAAGAGGTTTTACATTGATTCTTTTTGTTTTTTTTACTTATATTGAAGTTTGCACTACAAATTGAATAACTTCATACCGTTTATTTAAAGGAATTTCTTTGTGTCCATAAGTAGTTGTTTTTAGTTAAGTGTGAAAACATTTGTGTTTTATTAATATCGTAATGATTAAACTCTCACGTTTTGAAAAACTACAGAAGGAACAAAATGCATTATCTTTTAAGCCTATAATTGATGAGTTAGTGAGTTCGGATTTGGAAACTTTTTTGTTTATGGTTGAAAAGATCCAGGAATGGGATAGACCGAGGGAGGATTTGTTTATATGGATCCCTGTCTTGAATAAGATTGATTCCATTCTGTCTGAACTTGTCGAAAAATACAGTTATTCTGGAGTTGATCCTAAAATAAAGGCTATTACATTGGTCCCAATGGATTTACAAGATGAAAATACAGTGGTAATATTAACTGACTTCACTTGCAGGCTTTTATATCATACAGAAAATAGATATATTTATTCTTCAATTGATGTCATGAATGATTTATTGAATTGCCCCAATTTTAGAGTAAAATATGGTGCTATTAAAGTACTTGCCATTATTGGTGAAAGATACGTCATTGCTCGTGAAAGATTAGAAACATTATGTAAGTCAACATTGCCTGAAATGAGAAAGAAGGCTCTACATTTGGCTTTGGCTTTACCATCTTCGGTGAGTAATGATGACAGTGAACAATTCACATTGGTAGATTTGTTTTTTAACAGTAAAAAATACCCTTCCAAGTGGTCAAGATTCAAGTTTACTTATTATAACAGCTCACCCGGTAAAGAAAATAATAATACTCATAAAATAAATTCACAAAATAACGGATCTTCAATGAGAAAGATTATTTTTAACAATGATGATTTGAAAAAGTTTTCTCTGAAGCAGTTGTTTGAGAAAGGTATGGAGGTTCTTCCACCAGAAACATGGTACAACTATTCTCTAAAAGTTACAATAGCTAAAGCGTTTAGTGAGGATACCCCTGAAAATATTCAACTAAGGAATATTATAGTTCAAACGAAATTCATAGCAGTAGCATTTATAAACACAATTTTCATTCCACCTCATGTTAGCTCTAAGTTATTTGAAGTTGATCCATACACATTCAATTGTCTTACGGATTTTATCTCGTTAGCAGAAAGTCGGATCCCAGGTAGATTAAGGATAGATGCACTGTTTGCATTAGAATGTATTTCTTTGAAACATATCTGGTGTTCTGATATTATGAGAAATTTAGGTGGGAACTTATCACATGGGGTTTTATTTCAAATTTTACGTCAAATTGGTAAATTAATTAGAAATGAGACAAATAAAAGTGAAGATTTTAATGAGGAATACAATGTAAGATTTTTTTATTTGATTTCAAATTTGGCAGAAGTAAAAACATTGCATGATTCTTTGTTGGCAGCGGGTTTAATACCTTCGTTATTAGAAATCATTTCAGCAAAGAATAACTTATATAGAAGAACAAAGGCATCTGCTACACATTTGTTAGAAGTTTTTATTAATGATGTGGATTCTACAGCAGAACTGATTAACTATAATGGTTTTACTTTGATAATTGATTTTGTTACTGAACAAGTTAATATTGGACTAACAGATGCAAAGACTGAAAATACTTTGCAACTTTCCACAATTGATTTTCTTATTCCGTACAGACAACAAGCCTTTATCAAGAGTTTATTAAAATTGGTATTAAAATTACTTAAGATAGATTCTGGTGATAGAATTAGAAATTTAATAGATTCTCCTATCTTGGGTTCATTATTGAACATATTAAAAAATATGGAAATTTTTGGTTCTACCTTAGTATCTTTTACTCTTGATGTGATTCAAAGAGTTATTAATAGTGAACCAACTATATATACCGTGCTAGTTGAAGCTGGTATAATTCCATATATAATAGAGAATTTTTCAAAATTCATTATCCCTCATTCTGAATTACTATATTTATTACCTGATGTCATATCTGCTTTGTGTTTAAATTATGAGGGTTTACAAGAGGTTAAAGAAAAAAATCTTATTGATTTTCTATTTAAGGCTATCTTAGACCCAAAGTATGCTAGAGAATTATCTTGGAAAGAGGAAGCCACAGATTTAGGCACAGCTTTAGATGAACTAGCTAGGCATTATCCTGATTTAAAACCTGATATTATCAAGTCCTTTTGTGAAACAGTCAAAGAGATTCCATCTCATTTAAATTTCAATGTTGTATTTCTTCATAAGTCTAAGTCAGGTGGAACCTGTTTTTACCACTCAAGAGAAGAACCTGTATTGAATAACGAAGAAAATGGAACTCAACTGAACTTTTGGGATGAACAAGATTCTAGTGTAATAATAGACTGTTTTTCAAATCTACTATACGGAATGACTTTAGATAATTCAACTTTAGATAAGTTGCCCGAGGTTTTGAATCTAGAAGATTTATATAATGTTATAATACCAACCAGTGCACCATTTGATTACACATCTTCACAAGCTATGTTGAATATTACAGATGTTCTTCAAATTCTTGATGAACATCGTTCTGGTTACAATTTTGTGGTATTTTTGGAGCATCTCCATAATCGTTTAGGTGACATTAAGGGATTCTTAACTTCTCCAAATGAAACAAGTTACTTTTTAGGTATTGAGAAGGATGATCAAAAAATAACACATGCAGGTCGCGTTGTTGATAATCTTAACAGCATATCTTCTATTTTGCATATTATCACAAATGTTTATGTTACCCTGATGACTTTATCTAATACAAGAGTTCAAGAGATTGTTGATTTTTTCCAAAAAGAAAGTAACTTAGATCTTTTAACTAACTTGAGCATGTTATTTCAGAAGGCAGCATTGGAAGAGATGTACATTCGCTCTCATTTACCTGATGAAGTTGTGACACACACAACACCCGATGTATTTGGTCATACACCACCCATTCATATTCATCGGACAAAGCCGGTGAGAAATGAATTAAAAGACAATTTTACGTCTGCTAAATTTAAAAATACATTTCAAATCAGAAATATATTGATTAGGATACAATCCTGTATTGCAATGTTATTAAGATGTTTCTTGAGACTAAGTCATGCTACATCTATGGATTTGATATCTCAGGATAAGGTAACTGAATTGAAAATTTTTGAGAGTATTATTCAACAACTGTGTGCAATGGTGGATGTAGCGGCCAACTTAGGGAATACATCATATATATTGGTATTACTGCATTTCAATACATATGTCATGACTTTTCCAAAGACTACAATTGCTACTACAGAAATAATTCAAACAATGCCGGTTTACTTGTTTTATCAAAAGGGAGGTTATCAGCTCTACACAAATATACTTTTAAAATTTTTCAATATGTTGACAGAATTTACCGATATGGAAGTGGTAGAAAAAATCGATTATTTAGAGGAAAGAGAGGAAGTTTTAATAGTTAGTGTAATAACAAATATTTTAACATTCTTTAACAAATGTATCCAACAAGAAAGTATGGAAAGCATTCGGACCATATCTAATTATTATGTGAATATTGATGATTATAATGTTACTAAAAGTTTAATGAAACGATTGAAAATACGGACTTTGAAATTATTATCGATGTTAGGACAAATATTCAATATCTTTCATTCAGTGAAAAGGCCAATTCCTTATGGTGTTTTTAAGCAAATTTTAACTCTTTGGAAAAATTCCTATACCATGAATCATGAAACAGATTCAGATAAATTATATATGATAGAATGGGATCTTATAATTCCTTCAGAAAGAAAAGTTTCTCTCTTGGTAAAAGTTGGTGTGGATGAAAATGTTGCTAGAAATTATTTAGAAAATCACAAGAACATGTTACCATCAAGTGAGTCAGAGTTATCTATTATATCCCCCGAACAAAAAGAACATTTCAAATCACTTCTAGAGTTGGAAAATTCAATGAACCCCAAACTATTAAATGATGAAGGCATAATTGGTAAGGATCTTGAAGAATTGAGAAAAGAGGTATATAATGAGAATTTGAAAACGAAAATTTTTGATATATTACCATTATATCCAAAGCTAGTTAATGCTATTGCTAAAACTCTCATTCAAATATTTACGTGTCTTTCTTTGCCTATTGTAGATTTTACACATTCCATGTTGAGTCAAATTCAAGTTGCAGGTATTGAGGATGAATCTAAAATTTCATCATTTGTTCATTTGTTTGGTATCTTTTTGAATGAGGGATTTGTATATCAGCAGTCAATTAATTTGATGGATGACTTTGTTGTACACTTAGAACAATTATTAAAACCCAAGTATGTGAATAAGATATGGTTTTCCAAGTTTTTGTATTGTTATGAAATAATTTTGTCTAAATCTGAATTACCTACTTATGAAACCCCCGCAGAAGGTATATCATTGCGCTATAAGTTGGTTCCTATGCTCCCTGCATATAGAATTAAAGAAAATTTAAAGTTAACTATATTTAAAAGTTTGATTAAAATTGCAGAGATTTCAAACTTTTATTCAGCTTTAGCAGTTTCAAGAGTACTTTTAATATACGCAAGAGAGCGCTCTTATGCCGTAGATATTATTAATTCTGGTATTGTTTCGAGACTACTAAAAGCTGTCGGTACATTCCAAAAGTACGATAAAATTAACTTCCTAGAATCATCTTTTCTTTTATTAGTTAGACGTTGTTTTGAAACAGATGAGTATGTTTCTAACATTATAACATCTGAGATTGATAAAAGCTTTACATCTAGGACATTAGGCAGCCAAAAAGAAAAAGAGCGCGATTTGGCCAGCTTATTAGAAGAGAAACCGCATGTTGTTATGAGAAATCCTACTCTTTTTACTAATATACTATCAGAAACAGCACGTTTTGATGATTTTGGGTCAGATGATGTTCTATTAAATTTTACAATGAGACGTCACCAAGAGTTGAAAAAGCCGATAACTGAAGAACCTTCCGGAGATTGGCAACCTTCCACGCCAACAGGAATCATTCACTTATTATTGAGTCAGCTAATGGCAGCTGCTAAAAAGGATTGGATTTCAGACCCCCCAACTGATACTGCTAAATCAAATGATATGGACAAAGACATAAGGCACAATCTAACAAAAAATCATGTTTGTGCATATATGATTTTTTTACTGAAGATGTTAGCTGAACTAATTAGCAGCTATAAGCAATGTAAATATGAATTTTTAACTTATAGTAGAAAGAATATGTATACAGAAAGACCTCGACATAGGTCTACTGCTTTAAATTTCTTTCTATATCAGTTGTTAGACAAATCTTCTTCACAAGATCAAAATAAAGAAGAATCTAAGAGGAAAGAAGTTATTAGTATGTTGGCAAAATCTGTTTTAGTTGGTTTTCTTACTAGTGTAAATGATGCAAGTAGTGAAACTGTCGATCCAAAAAAAGCAGATAGTGATCTTACCTTTATTCGTAAGTTTGTTATTGAGGCATTGGTGAAAGTTTTAAAATCTGCTAGTAGCACTTCAAAACTTCTGGAACAAAACGTCGACAAACTGGATGCTTGGTTTAGCATAATTAGTTCAATGGTGTATGTGCAGGCGCCATATCTAAGAGTAATGATTGACTCGAATAAAATTGAGGCAGACCGTTATCAAATTTGTCGTTTAATGATAGATCTTAATATCCCAGCAGCTATAACAGAATGTATGTCCAAATTGGATCTTAACTATCCTTTTTGCAAAAAGTTATATAATGATGCAGTTGAAACTTTGAATGCAATTAATTCTACCAGATCAGATTTTGCCAATTATTTTAAAGTTGAAACTCATGAAGAAGATGTCGATATGGAAGAAGAATCTGAAAGAGAGGAAGTGCCAAACATGTTCAGGAATTCTGCTTTAGGAATGTATGATGTTGAAGATGTAGAGGATGAGGAGGACGAGGATTCATTAATTGGAGATGATGAGGGTATTGCATTTGTTAATGACGATGATGAAGGCTATGAAGTCGTGTTTAGTGAAGATGAAGTTGATGAAAATGAGGGAGAAACTGCTGATTCTTTAAGTAGTGGTAGTAGTGTTGAAGAGATTGTTTTTGAAGTTGAACCTGATGAATTAAGTGATGAGGAAATGGAAAATGTGGAATCTGAAGATGATTTTTCAAGTTCAGAAGTTGAAGAGGGTTATTCAGACAATGACAGTGGGCAATTCGATGATGAAGTTCAGAATTATGATTCGGATATAGATATAGGTATCAGTGATTACTATGAGGGAGAATCAGACTGGGAGTCAGGTCTTACTGATTTGACAACCTCGGAAGAGGATAGTGATACAAACAATGATAACTACGAAGATATATCACAAGTTAGATTAGGTAACGGAAGAGCTGTATGGTCTTTAGGAAATGGGGTTGAGCTTGAGGAAGAAATTTCAGATGAAGAAGAGCAGGGTGTTTTCCACGGTATTCAACATGTTTTTAATCCAGATGATCAGTTACTATTTAGAGTTCATGAAGGTAGTAATAGAGGACATAATCATCAACGTGTATACCGTCGTCATCCAAATTCCTCTATGGTCCCACCATCTATGTCCTTGTTGAATGGTAATAGAAGGAATCAAAGTAATCTAATCAACCCACTAGGGCCTAGTGGTCTTGAGCAGGTAGAAAATGATATTACAGCACAGTTAACCACAGTTGGAACTGGTGTCCGTCCAAGAACAGGTCGTCCTCATTTTGCTGATGTTTTATTTTCAGGAGAAGTACTTGATGAACGGATATTGGATGGAATTGTGATGAAATCTACATTAGCAAGATGGAAAGATATTTTCGATATGTTTTATGATTCTAAAAATTATGCTAATTATTTAATACCTTCGATTCTCAATCGTCTATTCAAACCAAGTTTGGAAATATATCAGTCTAGTCAAAGGAAGAGACAGGAAAGGATTGAAAAGTTAAAGGAGGCACGTACCAAAAGGCAAAAGTTGTCTCCAGAAGTTAGTATTGTAGACAGTCATCAGATATCAACTGATAATAATTCACCAGTAAGCTCTACCCTAGGTTCTGTAAGTGTTGGACAACAAGGTAGTCCCCAATTGCAGGAGTCGGCGCCTATCTATGTTGATATTGAAGGTACAGAAGTTAATATTGCTGGAACAGATATTGATCCGGAATTTTTAAATGCATTACCTGAGGATATGAGAACAGAAGTATTTGTTCAACATATTCGTGAGCGTAGAGCTGATGCAGTACATGGGATTACTTCTTCTAGAGAAGTTGATTCAGAGTTTCTTAATTCTTTGCCAGAAGATATTAGAAATGAAATACTTGAACAAGAGGCTGCTGAACAAAGATTATCAAATGTTATTGGAAGAGCCAATGAGTCGAACATTGAAGAAAATGAAGATTTTGATATGTTGCAAGATGAAGAGGATAATAACGCTATTCATGAAACATCATCAATTCATGATACCATGGAAGTACACGAAGAGCAAGGTAAAGAAGAGAAAAAGAAGCAAGAAAAGATATATTTTGAACCATTAATAGATCGTCAAGGTACAGCTGCATTGATGAAGTCTGTGTTTATTGTTCAACCATATATTCAAAGAGAGATTTATCATGAACTTTTTTTGAAGTTATGTTCTAGCAAGCAGAATAGGAATGACATTGTTAACATTTTATTAATGATTTTACAGGAAGGAGCCGTTGATCAAAATTCTCTAGAAAAGATATATGGTATGATAGTTGCTAGATCTCAGGGTAATACAAGAGTTTCAAACTCAGCAATCAAGCAACTTCCTCCTGATACAACACCACTAACTGTTGCAAATCAGGCAATAGAAATACTTCAATATTTAATTGATTCAGACTCCAAAATTAAGTTCTTTTTTATAACAGAACATGAAAACTTATTGGTCAGTAAGAACAAAAAAGATGATTCCAAGATGAAAGATAAGTTACCAATAAAATATTTATTTTCATTGCTCGATAGAAAGTTGATAACTGATGAGACAGTATTGATGGATTTATTGACCAATATCCTTCAGACATGTACTAAACCGTTACCTGCTATGTTAAAAAATAAAAATAGTAACGTTTCCAAGAGAAAATTCAATATACCAAGTTTTGATGCTGAAGAACTATCAAAGATTGTATCTATTATTAGACTTGACAGTTGTAGCACAAAAGTATTCCAACAGACTTTAAATATACTTCATAATTTATGTGCTGTAGAAGGATCATTCAGGATATTTACTGATGAACTTTCTAAAATCGTCAAGGATACAGCAGTGATATTAATAGATGACATTAAAGAATTAACAAAAGAGGTTGAAAATGCAAACTTTGGAAATGAATTAAGTGTTGATTTAGTACAAAAGTTAACCCTCCCTAGTTCTGAGCAAGCAAAACTATTGAAAGTTTTGACAGCTGTAGACTATTTATATACGCACAAAAAGGTGGAGGAGAACAGCAATGCTGTAGAACTGATTAGTTTGTATAGCAAGATGGATCTAGGTAAATTGTGGCTATCATTAAGTGGTTGTTTGTCAGCATTTGAAAAGAAGAAAAATTTAAGTACATCAGCAACTTTGTTGCTTCCAGTTATAGAATCTCTAATGGTCATTTCAAAACACTGTAGTATGGCTAATAGTGGGAGTAAATTGGTCTCTTATAGAGAAGAGAAATTAGAAGATTTGGAAAATGTGGATGTAGAGAATCTATTTGTTCCATTCACTGATCAACATAAGAAGTTATTAAATCAAATGATTCGTTCTAATCCGAAATTAATGAGTGGGCCATTCTCATTATTGATAAATAACTCAAAGGTATTAGATTTTGATAATAAAAGATATTATTTTATTGCTAAGATACGTTCGGATACACATGAACGCCCAAAACTTCCTATTACAGTAAGAAGAGATCAAGTATTTTTAGATTCTTATAGGGCGTTATTTTTTAAGACCAATGAAGAAATTAAAAATTCTAAATTAGAAATAACTTTCAAAGGTGAAAGTGGTGTTGATGCGGGTGGTTTAACTCGTGAATGGTATCAAGTATTGTCAAGGCAAATGTTTAATCCCGATTATGCATTATTTTTACCTGTTGCGTCTGATAAAACTACATTTCATTTAAATAGAACATCTGGTATTAATCCTGAGCATTTATCATTCTTTAAATTTTCAGGTATGATTATTGCCAAGGCTATCCGCGATCAATGTTTCTTAGATTGTCATTTCAGCAGAGAAGTTTACAAGAATATTTTAGGTAAACCAGTTTCATTAAAGGATATGGAATCACTTGATCCCGATTATTATAAATCTTTGGTATGGATCCTAGAAAATGATATCACTGATATTATTGAGGAGACATTTTCAGTTGAAACAGACGACTACGGTGAGCGTAAGATTGTTGATTTAATTGAGAATGGTAGAAACATTGCTGTTACTGAAGCCAATAAACAAGAATATGTTAAAAAAATTGTTGAGTATAAATTAAACACATCAGTAAAGGAACAAATGGATAATTTCTTAGTTGGTTTTTATGCTTTGATACCTAAGGATTTGATTGGTATATTTGATGAGCAGGAAACGGAGTTGTTAATTAGTGGTTTACCTGATATTGATGTGGATGATTGGAAGAATAATACCACGTATGTAAATTATACTGCATCTTGCAAACAAGTTAATTACTTCTGGAGGGCTGTGAGGTCATTTGACGTTGAAGAGCGTGCCAAATTATTACAGTTTGTTACTGGCACTAGTAAAGTTCCATTAAATGGATTTAAAGAATTAAGTGGTGTTAACGGTACTTGTAAATTTTCAATTCATAGAGATTATGGATCTGTAGAAAGGTTACCATCATCTCATACATGCTTCAACCAACTAAATCTTCCGGCTTATAGTTCATATGAAGCTCTTCGTAGTGCTTTGTTACATGCAATTAATGAAGGATCTGAAGGATTTGGGTTAGCGTAGATTACTACTGAATATTTATGTTGAATTTATAGTTTTATTTTGTAATATTAATATGCAGAATAGAGATTAATTATTTTTTCAATTTTTTTTTATAAGAATAAAGTATTTGTAAGGAACCTAACTGGAAATCCAGTAAATACGCAATTCCGAGGGTAACACCTGAGTGTCTGGGTTAAAGATTGGTACAGCCATGTGCGCAGTGGCTTGTATAAGATATTGAATCTGATAGGAGGATTTCCAGGGAGTGATAATTATATCAGATCTTGTCAAGAGGCCTTTGACTATTGAGAGATATGCCAGGGGTAATCATCTTATTTAAATACATCTCAGTAATGATATTAAGAAGTAACTCTTAATATCATACAAGACTAAGAAGAACAATAACAAGAAGTAACAATATTACATCAGGGTTATTAATTAGTGATATATAGAGCTTATGTAAGGATGCTTATACTTAAGCTAATTGATATGATTCATTCATTTACATACAACAACTTTTACAGCATTATATTTAAATATGTTCTTTTTTGTTTATATTTTGGTATCAATTTGTTCATTTTAAGTAAAGAATAATTTGTAAAAAAAACAAAAAAGGAAAAAAAAAATCAAAGCATAAACGAAATGTAAAGGTTACCTCAAGTAATATACTAAAATATAGATATTAATTATATATATAAACACTTACAAATTATATACTTGGTGGATTCTAACTATTAAATAGATTAGTCTTGGTTATTCGGGCTATTCTTCCTTCGATTAAAAGTATTAAATAGAATACGAATATTAATGCTGATAATTACTTCTGGCACTATCCCTCAATAATCAAAGGTCTCTCAAGTAAGCTTCTTAGTAATTTACCACCAATGTCCATCCGATGATCATATGTTTGTTCAAAAACACTCACAATCTTGGGCCCAGAGTTTCAGTTGTTCCAAGTCCTTCGCCTCGACATTAGACGCTACCCCCAGACAACGTATTTCAGGATTTCCAGTTAGGACTACTTATAGTAAGATGTATCATTTTTTGGAACAGCTAATTTTTTATCATAATTTATGATTCTTATTTTAAGCTTTCTATAAAGATGGATATTTCACTGGTTGAAGAAAAAATTTCTTATTTATAAATGTGGTAGAGGAAAGCATAGAAAATAAATTCAAGATAATCAACATTCAATAATATATATAATTATGCCTTGTTTTTTTTATCTTTCGTTTTAACAAACCGAGTGGAGGGAAAATATATAAAGAATATTTATTCACCATTATTGAACACAGTTATTACTGATCTAGACTAATTGCAATCAATGAAGAACCTCAGTAAGTATATTACATGGTATATCTAATATTACCCAGAATAGAAATAATTTATTTGTGGAGCTTGTTCCAAATCATGTACTTTTATTGCTGATGAAATTTGTAAAATTAATTTTAATGATGATAATATATAAGAACTGATATGCTAATTAAAAACAAGTTTTGCACTGTTAAAATCATTTTATTAGTGATGTAGCTATTTTTTTATCACAGATTGATAGCACCTATTTAAAACCTAACAATAAGTAAATATATGAGATGATTTAATTTTTAACTTAATATTGAACTGTTTCTTTTTAACTTTTCTATTTAATATTTCCCAGTAGTCATTAAATAGTTTGAAACATATATTTACGTGATATTTGTACTATGTAAGAGTACCTTCAAAAAGATATATTCTCATTAAAATTTTCATAAAGATTCTGTTAACACCCTTGAATTTCCTCGTCTTAATCTATATTATTGGGCCATTAAAATATGTCATGACCTCTTATTATAAAATAATAAATATGTTTTCATACCGACACAGAGTATCTTTCTTTCAGAATTTTACTATTAAAGCAGAAAATTACAAGTTGATTGGACGGCTATCCTTATGGTAGGATATACATATAATTTTCTTACATAACTCATAAGAAGATGCATGTACGGTGCCACTGAGACTAGTTATCATGGTTAAGTAATAAAGTCATTAGCAAGTTTAATTTAATTAAAATTCTTTATTCTCTTGTATATGGAATATAAAAATGGATATATATGAATAAAAAATGTATTTACATAGAATATTCATAGACAACTCCCAAAATTTCTTTCTTTATCGTCCTTTCCTTATTCTGAAAAAGAACTTTAACTTTTATACAAACAATTTATTCTTCCCTATTTCTTTTTAAACATTTTTCTTTTATCAAATTTGCAATTATTATAATTCTATAATACATATTAGTTTATCTCCAATTATTATCTAAACTATTCATAGGCAGTCATTCGACATTCCTAACAAATTTCTTACGGCAAAGGTAATCAAAAAATTACTAATCTTGCTACATATTCACAATAAAAAAGATGAAAACTAGTCATAGAATATAGGATAATCTCTCTATCATATACACATAAACACAATATACATAGTTAACTGATACATGGTTACAAATATTTGTGAAAATCTTCTGAAATAATCATAGTCTCTATATTAAACAACATTTCAGTTTTCTTCTTTCTCCTTATACGACCAACATTCCAATATTTCACCATTAATTTCAGCAAAAACAGTTACAATCTCTTCATTATCCCTTAAAACTTTAACCATATCTTTCCAAATCTTCTTTCTTTCATTTAAATCAACTACATCCACCAAAACAATATCTCTTATTTGCAACATATGTAAAAAATCACCATCTTTATGATTTCCAGTTTGAGTTCTCAACTTTTCTATAGTAACATTTACATATTGTTCAATTTTTTTTTTATATGCCATACGTTTTCTCCTCTCACTGTTTATTAAAATAACCACGGACAAGATTAATATGAATCCTACTAGTATCAATTTATAGGTCTTTAAAAATTCTGTTATTTGATTACCGTATTTACACCACAGACTAGAATATTCTTGTGAGATAGACCTGATATAAACGTCGATAGTTTCACTATCGTTACTTTCAATGTTAAAAAATTCTATCTCTGGAATCCCGTCTAATTTTTTTGAAAGTGAATTCCATAATTCCTCAACTTCATCTTGTGTCCACGCTTGATCAACATTTTGACCAAAAATATCATGTAAATGACTATATGGAATACTATTTCTTTTTTGATTAATCCCTTTACCACAATTGAATGATGCATTTCTTCTCCTTAATAAATTTACAAATTTATTAAACATACTATCAAGAAATTGAATCTTTCTAACATCTGGAATACAATATGGACTCAATGGAACTAAATTATATAATGAAAGTAAAGGTACAATTTTTCTATATTGTGATTTACAAGTGAGCTTCAACTTTGGAAAACAAATGGCTTCATCGGGACATGGTAGACACTTTGGATTAAAAGTATATAACCAGTCATCAATGACATTTAAGTCAATATTGAATCTAGCTGCGATATACTTTTGCAAAGCAGCAGGAACTATTGGTTGAGGTGGCAATTCTGCGCCACAATATCCAATTCTGATTCTTTGTTCTCGATACCAAAGGATGAACAGTACTGCTGATGTGATAAAGATAAACATAATTATGTTGAACAAAGAATGTTTTATTTTTTGAAAATCCAATTTTCTAGGAGAAGTACATTTTGTATTATTCTTATCAAGTAATGTATATTTCTGCCCGCCATTCTCATTTACTGATTCCGAAGTGGAAATGGATAGTTCCCTTTCATTTTTTTGGTCCCGTTTTTCAATTTTTGTATCTGTGTCAATTGTAATACTAGCATCCTCACTATCGGTTATAATGTCAATATCTTCCCTAGAAGATGCTTTTGTAGAATCTTTATTTTGGACATCCACCACTTCATAAATCTGATTAATCTTTTCAGGAATGGGTGTTTTTTCATTATTCTTAAGGCTATTGTATGTAGTATCATCTTGATAAAGTGGAGTAGACGAATTGGGAGTGGATTCAATTTTTACCTCATTTATTAAATTTTTATCCTCTGTTGCATTTCTCAATAGAATTGCAAATTCTGGAGAAACTTTTAGTTTCGATAAATTTGGAGACGTTGTTTGTTTTTCTACAGTTTTTATTTCTGATATGTTTTTATCCATTTCATTACTGGACTCAATAAAAGGAAAATTATCATCATCATTTTGTTGTATAGCTTCAACAATTGTCTCAGGAATTATAGACGATTGGATTTGAGTTGATTCATTTTGTTCAGTTTTCAATTTTTTTTTCTTTCGCTTTCCACTGTTTGTTTTCGCTTCGTTGTTATCTTTAATCTTATCTTTATCAGTTAAAACAGTGTGTTTAATATCAGCTTCAATTATATGATTGTCATCTTTCTCATCTTCTAGATGTTCTCTCTTTCTTTTATTTTTATTATTATCATTATTATTATCTGAGGATTCAGTTGAAGTTGAATCCTTTAAATTTTGTTCTTCCAAAAAATGCTTCTTTGTTTTTTTAGCTTTTGTAACTTTTTTAATCCCCTTTGAACTTGGCTTGACATCTTTATATTTATCTCTCAACTCATCCAATTTAGGCACTATTTCACTATTAAACAGCCCAATCAACCTAGATTTCTTAACTTTTGAGGGTAAATGAACGTTGTTATCAATCAAGATTCCTCTTAATTGTGCCACAGTGAGATTCTTTGGATCAAAACCTGGTTCCAAGAAAGAGGGATCCATTTCTTTTTGTTTGTTTATTTGTTTGTTTGTCTGTTTGTTTCTTCTTTCCCCCCTTCTGTTTTGATGTTTTCGTAGAGCTAAACAGCGACAACAACTCCAACAGTACCGTCACAAAAGATAACTAAAACAGATTTTTGTGTTCATATAGCGTAACGTAAAATTATTGCTAGTTATCCTGTTTTGGTTGAGCAGTTATTCTTTTATTATTTGTTATTATTATCTTTCGTTTTTTTCCCCTCCGTCGCTCTCGAACAAAAATTTTTTTATTTTTTCTTTCTTTTTTTCGCTATTTGACGTCGTTATTTTTGTCTACTTGGATGTGTGTGGTGTCTGGATGCATGAAAAAAACTATTCCACGTGACTGTCGCTTCTCTCCTCCCCCCTCTTTTCTTCCTCAAAACACGTGCACAAATTCTTGTGAGTACATAAAAATTTACACATATACATATATATATGGATATTATAGATATTATAGATATTATAGATATATACACGCTATACTTATATCATGCTTTACTGTACTAATCGATTTATGCATTCGATCACTTCCTTGTCGTCCGTCTCCGGCTACAATGGTTTCAACAGTCGTTGTGTTTTAAGTGACAATAGCAACATGTAATTCTTATTTCTTGTAAATAACAACAACCACATCCCTCCCCAAAACACACACACACACATATCTATCCATCTCTATTTATCTCTATCTATCTATATAAGCGTCAAATATTTTTGCTTCTTTCAACATCTATATAAATAGAAGTAGTTCATGGCGCTATCACATCTAAAAACACACATACATCCAAACACAAGTTGACTCTAATAAAGTTTATAAACAATAAAAGAAGAATTTATAAGATTGAAAGGAAACACTTACGAATAAAACTGAGTTATACAAAGAGATCACTACAAGATTACATATCACACAGACGGACAGACAGACAGATATATATATATATATATATATAATATCATTTAGTTATTGTTAATACTACACTTACCACTAACTTTTCTCATCCTCCCTCCTCTTAATAAGTAATCAAAATGAATGAATATGAAGAAGAAGAAAACAAAGACATGTGTCCAATCTGCAAGACAGATCGTTACTTGTCTCCTGATTTGAAATTTTTAGTCAACCCAGAATGCTATCATAAGATCTGTGAATCCTGTGTGGACCGTATTTTCAGTCTGGGTCCTGCTCAATGTCCATACAAAGGCTGCGATAAAATCTTAAGAAAGAATAAGTTCAAAACACAGATCTTCGATGATGTCAGCGTGGAGAAAGAAGTGGACATAAGGAAACGTGTATTCAATGTTTTCAACAAGACTTTGCAAGATTTCAACGGCAACTTGGACGAATACAATAAATATCTAGAAGATAGAGAAGATATAGTATACAATCTAGACCATGGCATCGATGTAGATAAAATGGAGGAGAAACTACGCACCTATGAGGAACTAAATAAACAGTTGATTCAAGCTAATCTGGAAAGATTCAAACAAGACACGGAATCGTTTAAACAAAGACAACAATTTGAAAAAGAGATGAAACTAAAGAAAAGACTGTTGGAGAGACAAATTGAGGAAGAGGAACGTGCAAATAAAAGGTGGGCCAAGAGAGAAATCGTTAATAGATTAACCACATCGAATCTCTCTGTAGATACCAATGAAGTTATAGATAGTGTCAAAAATACAGTTAAGTTGAAGAAATCATCTGCAAGAAGGAAGTTAGAAGAACTGAATAGAGTTTTACAAAATAATCCATATTTCGGAGCAAATATGAATCCACAGAATAATAAAACAATGATGATGATGATGATGCAAAGAAGACAATTGGAACCATTTACCCCATTCAATGGTGATAGAGACTTGAACCAAAGATATGTTGTAACAAGAGACCAATATGAGGACCCATTCATCCAGGATTTAGAGAAAAGAAAAGAATATACAGCTTCTGGGTTCCGGGTGGATTATACATATGATAGATTATTGAATGAAGCATTTAGAGGATTAGGATGTATAATATCAGAGGAACTGGCATAGTAAGGGATTACTAACCAAAGTGGTATGCACATCCTATATACCTATAGATATTCCCATACAACAAATATATACGTATAGGTGTATTATATATTAGTATGTGTTTAAATGTATATTTACATCTAAGCACATGCTGCTATGGTTTAAATCCGTACACCACACTATACATACATCTTTTGGAACCTCAAAAGCTTTTCTTCCATGAAAACAAAGCAAAGAAGAAGAAGAAGAGGGGAAAACAAGAATACAAGTGAAGGTACAAATCGAAAAAAACATGAACATTTAAGCAGAATTATATTCTATGGTGATAGATTGTTAATAGTAAAAAAGTTCATACTAATCATTTTTCATCTTCTCATCCTCTCTTCACCTTTTTTTCTCTTTTCCTCAGAGAATAAAAGACTTATCCTCCCCGACTACCCTCTTCCATTCCAATAGAATAATAACCTTTTTTTTTTTTTTATAATATCCACCAGGTAATATCATATCAAGAAAGGAATAAGAACTAGATCAAATTATGCTACCTATTCAAAGATCACTCTATATAAGAAACAGAGGGTCTTTAAACCCTTTTTGTCTTTCATCTTTCTTAACATTGATTACAAGAGGTAAGAGAACTAAAGCTAATAAAAATGGATCAGATATTTCACCACAGATGCAACGTGTAGTGACCCAATTGAGTGTGATGAGTGCGCGTAAAAAGCAACCCAAAATGTTAAAATTATCAAATGAAGACTTAATCAAGCACCAAACCATCGAGACAGCATGGTCTATCTACCAAGATAAACTAAATGGTCAAAGAACGTCAAAGTTAAAAAAACAATATTTTGCTATTGAAGAAGCCATGAATAAACTTAGGCAGATCAACCCAAAATTATTTGACAAATGTAATATTGATGAAAGTGGGAAAATTTTCCCTATGGAATTAAGAATTCCAACAGATTATCCACCAAGAGAAATATGGCACTATAACTATACACCAAAGAAAGAATAAATATATCATCATTTTAATTAAAAAAAAAAAAGAATTTATTCCTTTCTCTCTCTCCCCCTTTATCTTTCACTATATGTATATATATATTTAAGTTAATAACGTAATGTAAATAGTTTAATTCACCATTTATAACCCAACCCAACTAAATCTTTTATTTCTTTGATTACGCAACAATTTATGACCGAATTTCTTATTGTATAATTCGATTTCATCTCTTTGTAATCTTTGGGTATGACCTGACAAATTAGTAACCACATTTTCAAATATGGTTTTGTCTTGAGTCAAATCAGTTTGTAATTTATTCAATCTTTTTAATTTGATCATCAATAGATCTATAACGTTACATAATTGATCATGATATTTTTGTAATTCATCGTTTGTCATCTCTTCAATATCACATAGGGTAGTATCATCACTAGCACTGCTACCGCTGCCACTACTGTCATCACCTTGATTCAATAATTTTGAGATCTGTGTGTTTAATGTATCATCATCACCAGCAAAGTTATAATCATAGTCATAATCATAGTCATGATTATCAGTCGAATGTATAGTATTATTTTGATTATCATTTTCCCTCTTCGACACTAACTGTTCCTCTAACTGTTCCTCTTCCATCCTACTATCATGACTAGGTTGGGTAAACCTTGGAGAATATATGAAATTAAAATAATCTTTGAGTATCATTGTATTATAATGAATAAATTTTTGATCAGATTCCAGTAAATGGCACAGTTTGATATAAAGTGAATCCTCCAACGGTTCTTGTCTTTCCTTTCTCCTCATCGAAATATCAGTATGTTCATTTTCTTCGTTCTCTTGTTCCACACCTAATATATGTAAAAGCGTAGATCGTATATATGATTGCTTCCAATTGAAAGGTTGTGTATGTAAACGACCACTAAATAATTGTTCATAAATAACATGAGGTCGTTCTTCTTCAATCAAATCTTCTAGAGAAAACAGCTCCACATCTGTCTTGTTCTTATCCTTCTCGTTCTCATCTGATCCTTTTCCTCTGTCACCACTATTTAAGATGAGGCTATGCTTTTGGTCAAAGAGCAAAGTGAGACAACTATCTAGTTGAGTGGTTATATAACTATCCTCACCTTTTTCTTGATCCTCAACTGAATTATCTATTTCAACAGAAGCATCTGAGAAATTACCAAAATCACTATCACTATCACTGTCATTCTCCAGTATCAACACACCCTTAGTAGATGATACCACAGGCTCAGTAGAATTGTCCTCACTTATGTTCATTGCATCGATATCCTTCTTCAATTTTATATCTTGGTCCATTTCTTTCTTTATCCTCTCAAAACTCAGTTTAGTGCACACAAAAGGCCTATATATATATGTAAAAGAAACACAATTGATCTCACTTCACCTAACTTCAACAAGCAATTAACAACAACCCCAGGTGCATTGTGTTACATCTGGATCTAGAGATGTACAGCAAAAATATTGCATAAAAAAATCAGCTATTCTAAGTAGAATAGACCCACTTTACTGCAGCATCATTTCTTTGTATATCAACATAATTCTTTCTGTGTACGTTGTTACCGAATGTGGTAACATGGCCAAATAAATTTTCAATATCAAAATTTCTTGTCAAAAGGCTCAAAGGAAAAAAAAGGAAAATGCAATTACAGATTTGTTGATCTATCTAACTTCATTTGATTTGTTATTTCTACAACGTTGTTGTTATGTACTTGTCTGTAGTAGGTGTATTTCTATAGCAAGGGAAAGAGAGAGAGAGTGTGTGTGTGTATCTGCGTGTGTGTATGTGTCTGAGTGAGTGCCTAAGCAGGAGATCAACAATTTAAAAGCAGCAAATCACTAATTTGTCACTGGGGTTTATGAATAAGTAGAGAACCCGATTGATAAAAATAGAAATAGACAGATTAATAAACTTATCATTTTATTAGGACTCTTTGTCCCTAAATTCCATTATTTATCTATTCCTATCATACCCCACTAAAGAAAATCGTTTTTCCTATTATTTTGTATTTTTATTTTTATTTTTATCCTTTTTTGGTTTATTATTACAGCTTTTTTTGATATTCTAGTTAAATACTATAAAATAATCCTTTGGAGGGCAACATGAATTCTGATAGTTCCTCCTTTGAAGACATCTCTTCATCATGTGGTAAAAAATTTATTGCTCTGGAAGTCTCTGACCATTCTGATTTTGATGACAGCTATAACAACATCAACAACAACACAAATACCAATTCAATATACAAATCACAACAATCTACAAAGACAATTCTTTCGAATAGTAATAAAAATATAAATCATACCACTTCTATTTCAACTATTCCCCATGATTCTGAAGATTTACCCAAAATTGATAAAAATTTACTTAGAAATGATATTCCTCCATTTGTATTATTAAGAAGACCAGCAAGTAGAAACAAAATTAAAAATAGAGATAAAACTAAGAGATATTCTATGTTTATATCAACAGATACCCATAACAATCTTTCTACTTCCACTGATAATAATATTAATAATTCTATCCTCACTTTAAATAACAATATTATTGCTGGAACTACTTCTACTACCACCACTACTACAACTGCCACAGCAACCACGACCACAACTAGCTCTAGAACTACAAATGATACCTCCAAAAGCGAGGAAAAAAGACGTTGGTCATTTATATCAAATCATTCCTCTAATTCCAAGAAAAGGTGGTCTACTTTATCATCTTTCACTTTGGATTCTGCGTCTTCAAATAACTCACACAAAAATCATAGCCATAACTCCCCATCTACATCAAATAAAAGACAGTCATCGTATAGTCTCAACAAAAGATTCTCTACTGCAAGTAACATATCCGTAGCTACCACCACCACAAGTACTAATAATACTGATGTTATATCATTCCATAATAAAAATACAAGTATTGATAATATCTCTATTCATACACAAGATAAATCCATTTCATCAATGAAAAGATCTTCTACTGGTTCTTCTTTAAGACAATTCTTGAATAGTTTTGTACCTTCATCTTCATCATCTTCAAATCATAACAACAATACAATTGATCCTAATTATAATAAAGAAAATAAATTTCCAGATAAAAATAACTTTTTTAAGAATAGATCACACACGAACACTGCTACTTCTACCTCTACCATTTCTAATAATCCTATGGATAACAGAAACCCGTTACAAAGGATTAATCTTAATGATCAATATAGTAACACTGCTAATAACAATGGTATTCCACACAATAGCTCTTTAAGTAATCGTCATTATATTAATTCATCATCCACATATAACCTGAATGATGATACCAATAGATTAAACCATTCAATGGAAAATTTATCGATTAAGTCCAAAAGATCCAGTATTTCTTCGCTATCATCTCAATCCTCCTTATCTAAATGGAAATTTTGGAAAAAAAATAGCAACAGCTATAATTACTCCACCAATTATAATCATAATTATTCGACCTCTACATCTTCTCACAAGAGACAAAATAGTAACTTTGAAACCAATCATAGCCTAAAGAATTCTACTAGTTCTTATTCACTTAATATCTCGTCATTTTCTACAACAAATAATAATAGCAACAACAACAATAATAATATATATTCGAATAAAAATTTACCACACTCTAATTCTACAAGGACCCTTCACAACTATTTAAATGAAAGGCCATTATCTATTTATTCTCATGATACAAACAAATTAAGAAATAAAAGTAACTTATCTGACTTCCATAAATCATTCTATAAGAATAGTAATGGATCCATCACAAATTCAATACACAATGTAGCCGATTTAGAGAACGAACCATCGATTTATTCTAATATAGACCATAATAATAGTAATCATAATATATCATCTTTAAAGAAAAAATCATCCACTTTGAATTTAACCATATCTGGATTAAAACATAGAACTTCACAACATAGTCTAAAACATAAAACTTCACATTCTTCATTACAAAAATTCAAAACAAGAAGAAAATCAACTAATGATGACGGTTCAAGTTTTTTGACATCCACTTCGTCAATAAATTCAGGACATAGTAGTCATAATGGTGATAATAGTAGTAATGGTGTTGGTGTTTATGGTTCTACTAGTAATCCAAGGATTTCTTTGCCTATACCAAATCAAGTATCTCGTGATAAAATTAGAACGAAATTAAGAAATTCTACATCCTTGTTATCCTTAAATTCTAATGTACCAGTTGATAAGAGGACATATGATGAGACTATTTTGAATCAGTTGTTACAATTATGCACTGTGAAATATGTCATTGATTCAACAGATTTGGACTCTGAAGGTAATAAAAATTTAGAGACTCTATCATCAAATCACTCTGTTCAATTATCTAATAATGTTTGGAGATCAAGATCGACGATAGACCCAAATCAAACCATAATTTGTAAAAAATTTGTTTTATCTAATGATGATGATGATATTATCTTAAAAGAATTACAAATGTTATCACTTTGTAAAACAACACCTGGTTTACCACAATTATTACAAACTTATATAGTTGGTAATGCTCCTTCTCCAGCCCAAACTACCAGTACGACAAATATGGAATTTTCTACTAATGAAGATGTTAAGACATTGTACATGTTTTTAAAAGATCATGGAGATCCAATCATTGAGGTTGCAATGACAAGTTGGTCACAGTGCTTAAAAATCTTTTGGCAATGTGTTAATATATTATATGTTGCGGAAACTAAATTTGAATTTGAACATCGTAATTTAACACTAAACCATATTTTAATAGACAAAAACGGTACTGTAACTCTATGTGATCTATCTATGAGTAGAGCCAACTATGGAGACAATACAGTTTTATTTACAAGACTAGATCACCCTATTTTTTTTAGAAGTGGACAGGATTTTCTATTCGATACATATCATTCAATGAGATCGATATTTATTCAACAAGGTGAACAATGGAGTAAGTTTGAAGCAAGAACAAACATTTTGTGGTTACGTTATGTTGCAAAGAGTCTATTCACAAAGAATAAAGATAATAAATCAGTGGGCCCTGAGAGAGAACAATTGGTTAATATTATATCTTTATTGGACCATTATAGTTCATTCAATGGTAATGGCAATAAACGTGGGTCCTTTATTTTTAATAAAAGAAGAGACTATGATATTAAATCATCAGGTGATCTTTTAAGATATAAATAGATTATTTAAAATTATCGATAAAAATAGGGAAATATACTAATATGTATCTATATATATTTCATTCTTTAACTTTTTATGGAACAATAAATAATTCATAACAATTTTTATATATACATCTATCATCACAATATAATAACCATTCCATATCATAGTATCAATCAAACTATACACAAATTCTTTTAATCAACAATCATTTACCATCAAAATTCATTGGAAGTGAATTGTAACATTTATCTTTAATTAATTGTTTATTTTTCATTTACCGATTTTTGTAATAGAGAAATGATTCAATATTTAAGAAACTAATGAAAACACATGAATCAAAGGTAAAAACAAGTGGTTAACAACCCTATACTTCAGATGAAGAGAATCTTCTTTAGAAATTAAGGAGTATATCGAATAACTATATCTTCACATCAGGAAGGTGGAGGAAGAGAGTAAGATGTTAATATTAAAATTGCCTTGGCTAAGACACAGAGAAGAATCAAGAAATTATGAAGTTTACACAGTAGACGTAAGTCCTGATGGGAAAAGAATTGCAACAGGTGGGTTAGATGGCAAGATTAGAATATGGTCTATGGATACAATAAAAAAATTATGTCAAAATAATAATATAACAATTGATGAAAGTGATAAGATGCCTATCGCTAATATGAGTAGACATACGGGGTCAGTGACATGTGTTAAATTTTCACCTGACGGTAAATATCTGGCAAGTGGTTCTGATGATAGAATTCTATTGATCTGGCAATTAGACAAGGAACACACTGAAGAAAGACCTGTGTTTGGTAGTCATGTTGTAGAAAAGGAACACTGGACAGTAGTTAAAAGACTAGTAGCTCATGATAACGACATACAAGATATTTGTTGGGCACCAGATTCTAAAATATTGGTTACTGTTGGGTTGGATAGATCAATAATTATTTGGAGTGGTTCCACATTCGAAAGATTGAAAAGAATTGATATAAACCAATCTCTAGTGAAGGGTGTAACCTTTGATCCGGCAAATAAATATTTTGCGACTACATCAGATGATAGAACTTTGAAAATTTTTAGATACCATAAAAGTGGCAATATATCATTTGCTTTAGAACACATAATTTCAGAGCCGTTTTTTGCTTCACCATTGACTACCTACTTTAGAAGGTTATCTTGGTCTCCTGATGGTCAACATATTGCTGCACCAAATGCTACAAATGGACCTGTCAGTTCCGTTGTAATAATTAATAGAGGTAATTGGGATAGTAGTGTAACTCTAATTGGTCATGATGCACCTACTGAAGTTGTTAGATTTAATCCTAGACTTTTTCAAACAGCTAGTGAAAACCATAATAATAAAAGTGGAAATAATAACAAGAAAAATAAGAATGTTGAATCAGTATTAGCAACTGCTGGTCAGGATAAAACATTAGTAATATGGAGTACAAGCAAGGCAAGACCTATTATTGTTGCTTACGATATTGTCAACAAACCTATCACAGATATGTGTTGGTCTCCCGATGGTTCAATGTTGGTTATTACCTCCTTAGATTCAACTATCACTGTAGTATCATTTCAATCAAATGAGTTAGGTGTGGCTATCCCATTGTCACAGAATATGGAACAACTGCATCGTTATGGAGTGGATAAAGATTCCTTGGAGTTTCCAGAAAGTATAAAGCAATTACTGTTGGAGAATAAAGCTAAAAAAGAAGAAAAGGCACGTATAGAAAATCTAAATAAAAGATTTGATAAACCACATATGATCTTAACAACCAACTCTACTATTTCGCCTTCTTTTGATATTACCACTACCACTAGTAACACAGCTACAACTACTGCAACTACATCTGCTATTACCGACATTGGTACATCTAAAAACCAAAAAGATGCAACTACAAATAGTAATGAACAATTATTAAAAAATACAAAAGTCAATGTACTTATACCGAAACGTAAAAAAGATAGTATTTTGAATAAACCATTGACTGAGAGTAATGGTAAAAAACGCATTATTCCTACTTTGATCTCATCCCCGACAAAAAAGAGACGCGAAACCCTTTCATCACCCACAGAAATGTCACAAAAAACAGCTAATACTATGTCAATAAATAGTAAATCCAAAAAAATTACAGGCAATAACATATTTAAAGACTTACAAGAAAAAATGGGGTTTGGATCCATTGATATTCCAAGATTAGGTATTCATACCTTAATCATGGGCACAAAGGAAAGAATAGGAACAAGTAAATATTACCAAGAAGATGACAAAATCACTGAAGAAGAGAATCAACTTAATAACTTTAACAATTTAAATCAACAAGCATTAATAGATATAAGTACTAAAATTGATGAAGGCGATGAAAATGATTACATTATGACTTTAAATAGTAAAATTACTCCAGAAAAAGTATGGAGTGATGAACCAAATACAAGATATATTGAAAATCCTAGTGTTATCCCAGACACTGATGTAGTATTAAGCGAATGTGGTGATATTAATAAAGAATTCCATGTTTTAGAAATAAGAAATGGTGTTGAAAGAGCCATTCAATTTGACAAAGAAGCTTTAATTGAAAATCCAACAAGAGTTTTAGGCTATTCACAAGGTAAGAAAACCCTTGAATTTTTCATACCGGAACTCATATTGGCGGTAGTTGGATCAGTGTCTTGTAAATGCTGGTGTTTTGCAACATCGAATGGGTCAATCTATATCATATCACATTATGGACGTTTAATACTACCTCGTATTAGTATTGGGCATAAAGTCGTCAAGTTAATAATTGAAAAATCCCATTTAATAATTCTAACTGAAAGAGGATTGATATATGTTTGGAATTTAATCAATTTAAAAAATATCCATAAGAATATACCCATTCTTCCAGTGTTGAATAATGAACCAATACAAGGACATAGAGTACGTATAAATAAAACAATTACTCATATAGGATTAACATCTGATAAAAATCAAGATATCACAATACAATTAACAGCAACTGTAGGTGAATCTGTATCAACAAACTACACATGGAAGAATACCTTAGGCTGTTGGGTTTTACAAGAAAATGTGTGAAAAACCTATCTATTGATGGACATTAATCATTTATAGATTATTCTGGATATCATATTTTTCTTAGAATTCTCTTAATAATATTTTATTCTTCTTTTGCATTGCTGTGTACTTCTTTATAAAGTAGTCTTTGGACAAAATTTAACGATTTTGGAATGTATTTGATAAACTTATTCCATGTTTCTACTTTGTTTCAAACAATTAAAGCTTGTATGAATTATCAAAAATTTTATTTTTTGCAATATTAAAAGAAAATTACACATTGAAAGGAATAAAATAAATAATAATAATATAAATATGTCAACATAACAATATAAAAAGGGGTTTATCAATATACTGCTTATTAGATATGTTTTTGGGTTGATTTATGCATGATATAATTTATGATACTACAAATCAAGAAGTGAAATAAATAATCATAACGCTTAAAAATTTGTCATTTGAATAAACTTTCGAAAGAGTTTCAACACATATCATACTTCTCGGTTTGAAATTTACCTGAAAATTTTGATAACTGTATATTTTTTTAGTTTGAACTACTAAGTTGTCAGAAAGCTTAAAGAATTCAGATGAAGGTATTGTTTGGGGCACTTCAGGCTAGGATCACTATGAGATTAAGAGAAGAAAGATTTATATAAAGTTTATTTTTATAAAGAGAAATATTTGGACAAAATAAAGTATCAAAACTTTTTTTTTACTATGCAGTGTAGCCCATATGACATTATTGGACAATGAATCCTTCTCCATTTTGTGGTAACTATTCTATTCTATTTTTTTATATGAAACCTTAAATGTGTTCATTCAACTGAATTAAATTCTTTATATTTAAACTATATTAGCAGAAAACTTATCATAATTTTACTTTATTTATCAATAATTATTGTATCCTATAATTAAATCATTATTGCATTAATATGATATTATGTTACATAAAAACTTTATATTTTGATATATAGTATATATATATAATCATTATTTTAAATGTTCTTCATCAAAGTATAGTAAACCTTATCGAAAACTAAATAGTCTCTTCACTCTTTATGAAAAACCAAAAGGATTTGCAGCGCTAGCATTCATAATATTGGCTTGACGCTGTTGTGGCTGCTGTGACAATTGAGGTCCATTTCCAAATCCAAAACCAGTAGGTTGAGTTTGCAACATTGGCTGTTGTGTCGCTATTGTGGGTGTTTGTGAAATAGACGTCTTCTGCAAACCTTGAGCTAGACTACCTATTTGGTTGTTAACAAATTGTGGTTGTTGCATGACACCACCAGTCCATTGATTCTGAGATAGAGGTGCAAGTCCCCCAGTTTGCTGTAATGCTATCCCAAATTTTGATTGTGGTTGGAACCCACCTGTTCTTTGTAGAGGCATAGCATCACCAGTGGTTTGCATCCCAGCCAAAGAAGTTTGAGGCATTATATTAGCACCACCAGTTAATTGGTTACCAAAACCTGTAGTAGGCATTACATTTGCACCACCTGTCATTTGATTAATGAAACTTGTTGTTGGTATAATATTGGTGCCACCAGTTATTTGATTACCAAAACTCGTTTGTGGCACACCATTTACATTACCAGTTATACTTTGAGTCATAAAACTAGTTTGTGGAACAGCACCTCCAGTGACTTGTAATGGTAGCATAGCACCTCCAGTAGTAGAAGCCGGTATTATACCACTACCAGTCTTCTGAACTGGCAATACCGAACCTACAGGTGGTAATCCAAAAGAAGTATTTGGAATACCACTGAAGCCACCTGTAGTTTGTAAAGGCATCAATCCACCAGTGACCTGAGTACCGAATGTTGTTTGAGGCATAGTACCACCGGTAGTTGTAATTGGTATTAAACCATTAGCAGTCTTTTGTACAGGTAAAACCCCACCTGTTAATTGAGCACCAAAAGTAGTTTGTGGAATGCTCATTCCTCCTGTCTTTTGTAATGGCATTACCCCACCAGTAATAAATGGCATCATCACAAAACTGGTAGAAATTGGTAATATATTGTTACCCCCCGTTTTAAATGGATCTAATGGTAAAATTGCTGGACCACCAGTCAAAGTACTTGTAATATGTGACGCTTGTGTAGAATCAGATGTGGACTTAACTGACTCTAAGTTATCCAATTTTGGCGCTGGTACTGTAGACTCAGTTGCATAATTTACAGATGTTGCTTGTGCAGCTTTTTTTGGTGTCAATGGTTCTAAATCTAACAATTCTTGAACAGATCCAGTAAATTCATTGTTGCTAACAACTAAGTTAGGTTGAGATTTGGAAGCTGGTCTAGCAGTCCAAGAATCATCATCCACAATATTTGTTGGGGGTTGAGTAGCTGGAGCAGTTAATTGAGGTTGTACTTGATGGGAAATATTATTACTTAATTGTGAACCTGTATTATCCTTTAGTGATCCATCTGGTTGAGTAAACATATTACCAGTTGGTGCTGGCTGATTTTCTCTTCCAAATTTATTATCAAGATACTTCATGACTCTTACAATATCACCTTCACGTAAACCTAATGTTCTTAACATAGAAGAATTAATGTCAGCTTGCATATCTTCAGTGATTTGTTCTCTATCAAAATTAATTGTGTATCTTTGACAATTGCTGACATCAACACCACAGTTAAGGAAGAATTCAAACCAATCATAATTATTTGTTTTTGTATTTGAAGAAGTGCGTCTTGTAGAACTACGACGATCCACATTGTTTGATACATCTGGCCTTGGGGGCTTTGCAGGTGGCAATTCTTTTTGTTGTTGTAGACGTTGTCTTTCCTCATCTAATAATTCTCTAGCTTTCTTTAATTCCATTAATTCTCTTTCTCTTAACATTCTATCACGTTCTTTTTCTTCCTTTTCTCTAATTCTTCTTCTTCTTTCTCGTTCCTGTTCTCTTGCATCTTTACTAGAGGAAAGTCCACTTGTGGTGGTGTTATTATTAACATTTGGCTTGAATTTATCCAAACTAAAACCAGTAACTCTTTCTACATAAACTAAATCATCTTCTGACAATTTCTCTGCTGCTACGGCGATCTTGACACCATTAGCCTTATGCAAGTGGATCTTACCATCAGCACAGCCAATAAATTGCGCTTCAACTTTAAATGTACCAGTTCTATCAACCCAAATACGAGATTTCTTTGGATCTGGGAAAGTCTTCTTACTAGAATTAGAATCAGCGTTTGCAGAAGCGGCAGACGAAGATGCTTTCTTCTTATGAGAAAATGAATTAAATCTACTTCTTGATTTTTTCTCAGATATATCTTGATTTGCATCAGACTTCCAAGTGCCTGAATCGACAGAGAAGTTCAATCCACCTAGAGTGGAACTTTTTGCTTTAGATGGAGACTTGGAATTTGATCCCTTAGCCACTTTTTTAAAAGAACTGAAAAACCCACTACTACTCCTCTCAGGTTTATTTTGCGATCCAGTCATCCGTTCCACAAATTGAGCTGGAATAACACCCCTTTTCCCTGTAGACACATTTTCACACATCCACCAATCTGGTGATTTTTTGTCGTTAACAATATATACAATGTCACCTTCTTTAACTGTTAATTCATCATGAGATTCAGCAATAAAATCATATAAGATTTTACCCTTTTTTTTAATCTGAGATGCATTTTCAATTTCTTTCAAACCTGCACCACGGGATGCACCTTTATATTCACCTAGGATCGTCATAATTTCATTACATTTGTCATTACTACCAGTATGTAATTCTAAATTCTTATATGGATCCACGAATTCCAAAAACATATGTTTCTTTTCGTGATCATAAGAAACCAACTTATCTATAGTCCATTCTTGAGGCACAGAATCTTTCTTACTTGGGATAAACGAGATCTTATTATGACCGATGGCTAATTTTGCTTTATGTTTCTTACGACCATCTATCTCTTGGATATTCCAAGTCTGATAAAAATCATCTTGTGGTTCATCATTATCATCAGTATGTCTATTATAATTGTCTGTATTTATATTTCTTCTGTTTTGGGAATATGAATTATCATAATATCTATCTTCATCACCAGAGTAATATGATGCACCGCTTCTAGCTCTTTCCCTATTACCCTTAGGACTACTATCCATACCACTATTGTTGTCCATCATAGTGGAGACAGGCCTCATTGGTTTTGGAGGTGGAATATCTTCTTCTTCTTGTGCTTCATTTATATTATTTTGACTATTTCTTTCATTATTTTTAGAATCAGGAAATGGTTGAGAATCCACATAGTTAGATCTTGCATTGTGTTGTGGCGGTGGTAAAAAATTAGAAACAGTAGCCGGTGTAGTAGAAGCGGTAGTAGTAGTAGTAGCAGCAGCAACAGCAACAGTAGTGTTGTTGGTATTGATGGCAGCAGCAACAGTAGAAGTATTATCACCAATAGGTTCTACATAGTTGCCCGGTACAAACCCATATTCGTTAGAGGTATTAGATTTAACAAGGATCCAATCAGGGTCTCTATCATCGTAGACATCAAATGTATCATTTTCATGAAACACCAATTCCTCGCTTGGATTTTGTGGTTGTTCATAGTCATATAGTGCTTTAACATGAGAGATCACTGGAGCCTCTTCAATGTAGTTTGAAGGGACCAACCCTGTAGGTTCTTCAGTATCTGTACCCAAAAGTCTTTTCTTGACGGTCCACCATTCATCAATATCCGATTTAGCCAAAAGATATAGTAAGTCATTTTCTTCGATAGCCAATTCATCCGTAGTCTGAGGTTCATACGAATAAATAGCCTTATAAATACCAATAAATACAGTCATCTTGACTTATATGGATGGAATGAAACGTTAAAAAGAGGATAATATATAAATACACGTTTTCTTAACCACTGACCTAGTCAGATAACTAACCTTTGTAAAATATTTTTAATAATACTGTCTTAAAATAATTTTTAGAGTATTTTACAAACAAACAAGTGCAGACCTACCTATAAGTTTTGATTGTCATACCTCTATCAATTGATCAGTCAATAAATCAATCAATCAATCAAGTTTTCCATTTGTCTATGCATCTGTCAACCTGCGCGAGTTCTTCCTGTTCTTGTTTGAAATCCAATAAATTCTCCTTTCTGTCTTTTTTTTCCTCTCCTTCCCCCAAAAAAAAGAAGCCTTTCCCCGGGTAACCTTTTACAACCTACAATACTACAATATGATCCATATCTTTGAGTGTATACAAGTATCTTATAACAATATGTATATGTAAATTATATATATATATATATATATATAGATCTGTATACTTACTGCAGGGCCCTCTTTTATTCTTATTTTCTTTTTTCACTTAGTCATTTTACAGTTATGTTGCAACAGTTGTTTCATTCTATTAGGACCAAAAAATCTACCATTACAACGGTTACAAAGTACTACTTTTCTAACAACCTTACCGTCTGGTTTAGTCCATTGATACACTCTTTGATTATGTTCCAGATCCGATGGGTCAATTTCCTTTAAGGAATCTTTCGTTATATTATTGCTATTATTACTATTACCATTTTCAATTTTCTTTGGAGCCACTGAACTACTCTTTATATTCTCTACAGGTTGTATAAACAAATCATATATCTGTAACGACTCCTCACATTCTAAAGCTTTGTGAAAATACTGGGCAAAATCTAGACTCGTCAAGGATTCTAATTGTCTTTTAGGTATATAACTACCCAACAAAGTATGACTCAAATCATGTTGTGCAACCTTAATCTCTTCCATATCAACCTTCCCACCCAAATACCCGTGCAAATTAGGTCTACTAAGTCTTTTTGAATCTTGTTTGTTCTGTCCCTTGACATCTTCCTTTGTTCCTGTCTCTTTATCGCTATTAGTTTCACCACCATCACTACTATCACTGCCATTACTATTATTATCTTTCATTTCGTCTTTATCCTTTGCTCCCATGTTCCTTCCACCATCTATGCCCTCACTTCGGTCTTTAGTCAATTCAACTAATTCTTGTCTTGTCAACACTACGTCTTGCGATTTCTCGAATGCAGCTAGTCCTGCAATTATATCATAATAATTCTTTTTGGCCACTGGCTTCGATCTTATATTTATTCTTATACTTTTACTATTTGGAACAGATGTCATATTATATTTTATATTATATTTTATATTTTTATTATTTTTATTATTATTATTATTATTATTATTATTATTATTATTATTTTCTTTTATTTTTTTGTTTTTTTGTTATTCCACTTCAGTACTTTATATTTTCCTAACTAATACACATACATATACTCAGATATCCAATATATAAATGTCTATACGACTAGCCAGTCTTTAGTATTTTGGGACTAATCTATTCATTATACAGACATCGATCATCACACTTTTTTTCAATCTACATTATGTATTTGTCTTTATTTTTATTTTTATTCTTATTCTTATTCTTATTTTTATTTTTTTTTTTCCCGTTCCACATAAAATCTCCAATCTTCTCTTATTCTCATTAAGACATCATAATACTTTATTAAACCAAGGATATCACCATTATAATTGCTTTTACTAGGATTATTATGTACATGTTCTAATATGTATATGTATATATATGCATGTATATGTATGTATTTATGTATGTATGTATAAATGTATGAGTAAGAAGGTTTATGACAATATTTATTGCTCATTATCATTATCATTTTCACTTACACTACGTTTCTTTAAAACAGCTTGTGCGATACGTGAACTCAAATCATCACCAACATTTGATTTCTCCATATCTAATTCGAATTCTAATGAGGAAGAAGATAATGATGATGAAGCCATATGATTCTGTTCATCCATCATATATGAACCACTACTGTTACTGTCTGCTCTATATCTTGGAACTGATGAAAACAATGGAATATTTGAGAGAGAATTGTCGCTATTTACTAGAGACACACCATCAGATTCAATATAGGACTCCTTGTCTGCTTCTCTTCCTGGGTTCTCCTGCCCTTGTTGCTGCTGCTGCTGCTGTTGTTGTTGTTGTTGCCTAACTCTTCTTTTCCTTAAAAGGTGCCTTCTCTTCAACTCATTAGTCCTTTGTTCTTCCTCGTTCTCACTTATTTCATTCATTTCATCTTCAATCTCTTTATTCAATGAATGCTCATCTCCATTGAAACCTGGGAAGAATCCAGTTTCTCCCTGGTTCACCATGTTGACAATTTTCATGGTCAACGCACGTCTCTCCCTTTGCAATTCTTTGAAACCATTTGGCGATACAATTGATGTATACAAGGGCTTAATTGATTTTAAGATATCCATACCGATGTCGCCCACAATCAAAGCACTGTAGGTGACTATGACACAACCAAAGTAAGATAGGGTAAAGATCAAGTTTTTACTCATGTTGTATTTTCTGAAGTAAAAAGTGATCAATACAGACCATAGAATATACAACAGAGGAGCAAACCCCATTGCGATCAAAATCTTCCAAGTGGCAATAACATCATTTGCTTTTATCTTGACTGTAGAGTTAGCCAATGCCTTCTTTCTCTTGTCATTGGATATCTTGCTCGAGAGAAGGAAGACTGGAGAAAACATGATTAGACCAGGTAATGCAAGGATCAATGAGATTGTAATTCTGAATAACCTGAAGATCAAAAGAGTCAAATTTTTGCAGAAATTCACTTTAGCGGTCTCCACAAGATGGTCCGGTAGATTGTAGTGTCTCAGATGAGCATTATATTTTAATATGTCTCTTGTCAACTCTTTCATCTCTGGTTCGTCTTTATACAACTGGTAACCGTTGACAATTCTTCTGTTCATTTCCATGATCATTGGCAATGGGATAGTTCCAGAGAATTGGGAGGAATAAAGACGTCTTATTGCCTGTACGACCATTAATGTTTCGTAGTCAGGACAGGTGACAGTGACAGATTTCAAGCCCTTTGTGATTGTATCCAACAGTTCTTTGACTGCTTCTTTATTAGTGTCTGGGTTATGATATTTGTGGACCAACTCTTTAGAAATTTCTATAGGTTCACCAAACTCTACCACGGCTCTGGACCTGAACCTGTGAGGATGGAAATAGTTCATGCCGCAGGGGACAATCTTGACATTAACGTCCGGGTATTTGTCCATGCAGCCCAATGCCATGATGGCGACACCTGCCTTCAAAGGTAATAGATCTGTTCTGTCATGAGACCCGCCTTCAGGGAAGATACCTAGACAACCGTTGTGAGCCAGATGTTCGAAGACTTTACAATAGACTAATGAATGATCCACTTTGTGTGCATATTTGAAGTTAGTACCGTTTTGTAGGAGGGACCTAGCCTCCTGTTTATGGCATTTGAATTCTTTTCTGATGATCAAAGAGGAGTCGCTTTCAATGGACTCAACCACTGCGGTGCCCAAGGATTTAGGCAACCCAATCAGCCCTTTCTCCTCACAGTCACGAGTGAAATGTGTTCCGATACCGATAATTCTTTTTGGATTCTCTGGATCGATCTTAATTTTACCCTCGATGAATTTCAAATTATCCTGGGGTCTAACGACACCGATAGCGAGAAGACACCTAGCGAGGAAGCCGATTCCGGTGATTTTCAGAGAAGATTCAGCGATTAGAAAGGAGACTCTTCTATTTAAGTTTTTTCTGACTTGGTCCATTAGGATGACGGGGTCCACGAATTGGTTGGCATGAGGGGCGGCCACGAAGATGACAGGGCCTCCATCGTTTGGGATCTTGAATGCACCACGGGTTCTGATTTCTCTGAAGAAACAGTCGAAGATATTTGATAGTAACCAGATAATGAAATCAAAAGTCAATTTCCTCCAAGTGGAGGGCTCTTCATATTGATAGTCAATGTGATGAGATATATGTGGTTGTAAAGGTTCCATTTGATTTAAAAGATGTAATCTTTCTTCTTCAGAGACAGAGGTGGAAGCAGAAGCAGAAGCAGAGACATTCTTCAATTTATTTTTCAATTGGATTTCTTTTTTCTTTTTATCACTCAATGGTTGATCCATTATTGTACACATACAAAAATATAATCTTTTTTTTTTTTTTTTTTTTTTTTGTTTTTTTTAACTTTTTTTTTTCTTGTTGTCCCCTCTCTTTATTTATTTATCTATCTATTTATTTATTTTTTTATTCTTTTTATTCTTTTCAGTTCTTGTTACTTTATTAAATGAAACGATAGTGCTAGAAGAAACTAAAAGGTGTTTACAGCAAACAAACAACACAAACAAATTGGTTGTTATTTGGAAAGAGAAAAAAAAATTTTTTTTTCTCTTTCAGTTTTTTTTTTGTTGTTTTTCCTTTTTTCTTTAAAACAAAAATATCAAACAAACTTTCCTCCGATTCCCCAGAACAAAAACAACAGGAAAAAAAAGGGAAAAAAGGGAAAAAAGGGATTTTTAATAGAAAATACTACCGATTGTTTTTTTATTTTTTTGAAATAGAACAAAAGACTCCCCGCAACGGAGAATGTTTTTGTTGTTGTTTGTTCCAGTCGTGCAAAAATTGTGCCGCAGTGCCTTTGACAGACCCTGCCATCTGGATCGCTTCCACCTCAAGAGACGTCCCGTTGATGCAATGAATTACCATCCTGGTATTGTTGTTGTTGTCTTCAACTATATCAAAGCTTCCCGGCATTCTACTTGATCTTGTTGTCTCTTTTTCTTTCTCTTTTTCTTTTTCTAGGTTTTGTTCTTTGATATTAAACGCATGTAAAATCACTCTTTTCACAATATCTTCTTCACCTATATGTTTTTTGTTCTTGCCACATTTAATAAACGTATACAACGGGCCCAATGTCATCAATCTTCTATATAACTGGTTGGCATCGTATTTATACCATTGTATCATTCTGTCACTGGATTGGATCCTTGGAGCCAGACTAGACTCATATTTTCCTTCTTCTTTCCTCTTTATATACCCCCCATTCTTAATCAATTCACATAACATCTTGGAGCCAACTTGGCCCAATCGATGTGTTAACCTAGTGGTGAAAATAGGCTGTTCGTTTATCTCCCTTGCATCCTCCAACATCTCTCCTATATCCAATTCACACGACTGAGATATGATCTCTCCCTTGTCAAATTTGGTCGGATGCAAACTTTGAATCGTCACACCAGTGAAACCGTCGTTGTTCAAAAGTGCATACTGGATCGGCGATGACCCCCTATATCTAGGCAACAACGATGGATGCACATTTAAACTGTATTGCACCATCCTTATCACCCTCTCCGGCACCAACAGTCCAAACGACACGCACACAATCATATTGATTCCATCTCTTCGGATCACAGGCATCAGTCTCTCAACCATCTCTTCTTTGTTGTCGCATAGAATAGGCCGCCGTAAGATTCCCAAAGTCTCGTTTTCTTTCAAAACCGCTGGACATCGCAATACAGATCTTCGTTTCCCGCCCCATTTCGGCGGTCTCGACACAACCCGTATATATTCAATTAGATTGGGCGCGGATTTATGGATGTTATATAATCCACGTAACGAATAATTACTGAATATATCACTGCCAAAAAATAAAATACGTAAAGGACCCACATTTGTCATATTTATATCATATATATATATATATATATATATATATATAGCCTCTTAGTTATTATTCAATGTTTCATTTTAGTTTAGCAACCACTAGTTTTCTTCTTCTTCTTTTTTTTTTTACCCTTACTTTTATTTTATTTTTTTTAAAGAAAAGAAAAAGAAGATAAAAAAAAACAGCAAATAAATAGATTAATTATTAATTACTTTGAAGTAGTTGATTTGTTATTGCAACCAAACAAAAACAAATATAAAAAAAATAAAAAATAAAAAATTTTACAATAAGCACAGACACACACACATATATATATATATATATATAGAATAGAAAAAGAAAGAAACTATCGAATATTGTTTGTTTGTCTGTATTTCCTTTTTATTTTGTAATCTGTTAAGAAAACAATGTCATCAACAACAGTACAACCAGTGCAGCCACCTACAATGGGTGATAATGATGACAAATTATACAATTCTTCAATTAAGACCATGCCGCCAATGACATTAGAGCAATTTGAAAGAGAATTAGCCAGCAATCCTGAACAGAACAGATTCAAAACGGATTTGACTCAAACCGTTAATGGTTTGAGAGAACAGATTTTACCTTTAAGATTGAAATTTAATCATTTTTTGGCTCTAATGGCCACATTGGATCAAGACCAAAATAAATCTTATAGTGCTGATAATATAAATGAACATACCGATCACCTACCAGAAAATGAGAAGGGGAAAGAGAAAGATAAAAGTAAAGTGATCAGCGACGATATTAAGACCGAGAAGGACACAAAGGATAATAATCTAAAAGATACTTTGATGTCACCAAGAGACAAATTCAATTTAATAAGAAACCAATTAATCAACTTGTATGAAAATATACAGAAATATTCTAAAGAATTCCAAAATTTGGAGAATCTTTTCAGTTGTATTGCTGAATACTCTGAAACTAATAAATCCAAACAATTTGAACCTTTGGAATGTTTATCTATACAACATTCAAACAAAGTAAAGACAACTACAAATACTACAAATAATCATAATACTTCTACTGTTACTACCAATAATGCTAGTACTGCAGTGAATTCCACAGTCACACAATCAAAAAAGAACGATAGTTCTTTAGCAATAAACAATAAAACACCTCAACAGAACAACAATAACAACAACAATAACAATAATAATAATGTTACTATGGCGACAGCAATACCAAATAATACAAATAAAAGTAATATTGGCGGTAATACAAACACATCATCAAGCACATCTAATAACAGTATCACTACTAATACTACTAATAACGTTGCTACAAACACAGTTACCAAGAAACCAAGAAAACCAAGACAATCTAAGAAAGCTTCAAATGCAGCTAATTCTCAAAATTCAACTCCGCAGAATGGAAATATTCCAATAAATAGAAATAACGTGAATACAATGATTAAACCACAACAAAGAATAATACAAAGCCCATTAATGACAACAAATCAAAACATTTCTTTACAAACGATGAATATAGGACAAGGCACGATGAACCCATCAAACATGCTTGGAGTGTCTACGGCAAATAATGTACCCAATACCAATATCAATAATAATGCTAATAATAATACTACCATATTATCGCCAGCAAACGTTTTAAATAATGCAATGTTGAACCTGAATAATGGAAGCAACAACAATAACGCCAATAACAACAACAATAATAATATGCTCACTACAGTGAATACATCCAATGGAAATATGAATTCTATTAATCAAACCAATCTGACTCCAGCGAATATTCTAAGCATGAGCAATGCTACTCTTAATAACATGAACAGCATTAACAACATGAATAACATAAGCACCATGAATACAATGAATAGTATAAGCCAAATGACCAATGTGGTCAATAATAATAATAATAATAATAGCAGTAGTAATAGTAATAATCCAAATGATTTAACTAATATTGATTTGAGTGCCTTTGACTTGAACAATTTAAATATGGATTTCCTTTGAGGAAAGCTCAATGAAATCTTACATAATTAGACCCACTATCACTAGTATTGCATATATGGATATATGACACTACGTATTGTCAATAGAGATCACGCTCAAGCTTTTTTTTCTCAACTCGCTCTTCTCATTGTCTTCACCAGCTCTCAACGAATGTGACTCAATCAGTCAGGCATCCGATTTTTTTTTCTTTTCGTTTTTTGTTTTTCTTTTTTTTTTTTTTTTCCACCTCTCACCGACAAAAAAATTTGGATATATAGGGAAAATAAGATGGCACTGGAAAAATTTCAGTCTTTCGAAGGGACCTCAGAAACAAAACTTTATACAGATTCAATGACACAGATTACTTTATCTTATATACGTATGTATTTGTGTAAATGTATGTGATAGTGTATCTGGTGTTTTACTTTTACATCTAGTATTGTGCTTTGACTCTACCATTAATCAAGCTTGGTAAATTACAGTAGACATCTAGAAGTTGCAATTATATATATATCCAGTAATAGGGTTAAGTTGAATTGATACATTGATCATGTCTGAACAATTAAGACAAACATTCATTAACGCAAAGAATGAGGGTCGTAAAGCCTTGGTCACTTTTATGACTGCAGGTTACCCAACTGTTGACGACACCATTCCAATTTTAAAGGCTTTTCAAGATGGTGGTGTTGATGTCATTGAATTGGGTATGCCATTCTCTGATCCAATTGCTGATGGTCCAACTATCCAGGTAGCTAACACTGTAGCTTTAAATAACGGTGTCACTATGAAAATGACTTTAGAACTTTTGAAAAAGGCCCGTTCTGAAGGTGTCACTGTTCCAGTTATTTTAATGGGCTATTATAATCCAATTTTAAATTACGGTGAAGAACAATTTATCAAGGATGCTGCCGAAGCTGGTGCTAATGGGTTTATTATTGTTGATCTACCACCAGAGGAAGCCATTAAAGTTAGAAACTATGTCCATGACAACGGCCTATCTTTAATTCCATTAGTAGCACCATCTACTACTGATGAAAGATTAGAATTGTTGTCCCAGATAGCTAATTCATTTATTTATGTTGTTTCAAGAATGGGTACTACAGGTGCACAAACTTCTGTGGCATCTGATTTAGATGTCTTGATCAACAGAGTCAGAAAACATTCAGGTAATACCCCTATCGCTGTAGGTTTCGGTGTAGCTACTAGGGAACATTTCGTTACTGTTGGTGAGTTAGCTGATGGTGTTGTCATTGGTTCAAAGATTGTTACTTTATGTAAGGAAGCTGAACAAGGTCAAAGATATAATGCGGTCAAAAAATATGTGGAAACTATCCTAAATGGTGTTAAACATTCTATTCCAACAATCGAAGAATTCCAGGCCATGCAAAGAAAATCTAGAGAAGAGGGACAACTGACTAAAGATGTTATCGCTGGTTTCAAAGAGGCTCACAAACATAAAATGAACTTTGGTGAATTCGGTGGTCAATACGTTCCAGAAGCCCTTCACGCATGTTTACGTGAATTAGAAGCTGGGTTTGATGCTGCTGTTGTTGATCCAACTTTTTGGGAAGAATTTAGATCTTTATATTCTTACATAGGACGTCCATCCTCTTTACATAGAGCTGAGAGATTAACTGAACACTGTGGTGGTGCTCAAATCTGGTTGAAAAGAGAAGATTTAAACCATACTGGTTCTCATAAAATTAACAATGCCCTAGCCCAAGTTCTTTTAGCCAAAAGATTAGGTAAAAAAAAATGTTATTGCAGAGACAGGTGCTGGTCAACACGGTGTTGCTACTGCTACTGCATGCGCCAAATTTGGATTGTCATGTACTGTTTTCATGGGTGCTGAAGATTGTCGTCGTCAAGCTCTTAACGTCTTCAGAATGAGAATCCTTGGTGCAAAAGTTGTTGCTGTTACTAATGGTACAAAGACTTTACGTGACGCTACATCTGAAGCATTCCGTTTCTGGGTCACAAATTTGAAGGACACTTATTATGTCGTTGGTTCTGCCATTGGTCCACACCCATATCCAACTCTTGTACGTACTTTCCAAAGTGTGATTGGTAATGAAACAAAGGAACAATTTGCTAAATTAAATGATGGGAAGCTCCCAAACTGTGTTGTTGCCTGTGTTGGTGGTGGTTCTAATTCAAGTGGTATGTTCTCACCTTTTGAAAAGGACTTGTCTGTTAGACTTGTTGGTGTAGAAGCAGGTGGTGATGGTCTTGAGACTGGTTACCATTCTGCTACATTGACAGCTGGTAAGCTTGGTGTTTTCCACGGTGTTAAGACATACGTTTTGCAAGATAATGATGGTCAAGTGCATGACACACATTCTGTATCTGCAGGTTTAGATTATCCAGGTGTTGGTCCAGAATTGGCATATTGGAAATCTACTGGGCGTGCAGATTTTATGGCAGTCACTGATGCGGAAGCTTTAGAAGGTTTCAGATTGTTATCTCAATTAGAAGGTATTATTCCAGCTTTAGAATCCTCTCATGCAGTCTATGGTGCCGTCGAAATTGCAAAGAAAATGCCAAGTGATCAGCATATAGTCATTAATGTCTCTGGTAGAGGTGATAAGGATGTTCAAAGTGTTGCTGAAGTGTTACCTAAATTAGGTCCAAAGATCGGTTGGGACCTAAGATTTGAACAAAATCCAGCCGCTTAATGAACACTAATATATATATGTGCGTATACAAATACATATCATTGGATAATAGAAACTTAAGAAGTATAAATATATAGAAAGGAAAAAAAAGGAGGGAAAACACGAATACAGTGCTTTCTTAGTATATAACTTTAATAAACGTTGCTTTATGAGAATATCTACCCTTTGACTGGCACTGCTGCTACCATTGTCATGGGTATGTTGCAAATGTTTCCATTTCAATGTTTTCTTTGTGGATCTCACAATCAATTACATTTCTACATTTTGTAGACACCATGTAAAATAAAAATGACCCCCATCTTTTTCGCTATCGATGAGCAAAATGGAAGAAGAAAAAAAAATTCTGAAAAAAAAAAAAAAAAAAAAAAAAAAAAAAATAATAAAAAATAAAAACAACTAAATAAAACAAAATTAAATACAATAAAATGCAATGATCTTGATGAAATGTTTGGATATTCATACTTTGTTTAAAGTTAAACAGATTACCACATATGATACCAGATACCTTTTTTAGCTTTAAAAAAAAATTATTAATAATAACAAGGGTAATAGAAACGAATATAGATCGTTTTTGAATTTGTCGTTCTTTTTTTTATTTAATCATCTATTTTTTTAATTTTTTTTGTTAATAATTTATTATTTATTCTATTACTACTATTTTATTTGTTTTCTACTCTCGTGTATGAATATTCCTGGAATACCGAGTCGACAGTCTATTGGTCATCAATTGACATCCGGTGTTCATGGGCCAGGACTTTTACAAATAGACCAAACTGATAACAAACTTGCTAAATGGGTCCAACCACAATTCAATAGCTCGTTATATAAGCATTTTAAATTTCGATTGAGAAAGGTTAGTGAAGATTTTACAAAGTTGTTTACAAAATCAAATAATGAACCTTTGAAAAATAAGAAATATTATATCTCCGAATTAAGAGAAAGTGACTTTGAAAATGAAAGTGATGTTGAAAATGATGGTATTGACGATTTTTTAGATGCCGATACTATTATTGAGAGAAATACTTTATTGAATGATCAAGGATCTTTGAAAAACTCAGAAAATAGTAATAATAATAGTGACAATATTCAAACGCAGCAACAGTCTAATTTAGAAAATACTGGTGATAAGAGTTTTCAAATGATTAACTGGAAATCACTTATACCACCAATGGAAAATGCTAGACCAAAAATATTTAAAGATATAAGATTTACTAAATATAATTCTAATCTTAGCAATAATATATCATCAACAATGTTAAATAAAAGATTAGATATTGACAAACCACGTAATGATTATATTCCTTCTAACATCATCAAAGAATTAGATGAAACATATGAGATTAAAGAAATAGATTCTATTAAGAATAAAGCTAATAGGTTCAAAGTATTTGATCTTTCAGATGGTGATCTAATAGCTTCAAATATGGTTAGAACAAAATTTATTGAATATGATGCTCAAAAAAATATCATCGTATATATCACAGGGAAATCCTTCTCGAAAGTCGTTTTTGCTGTCTTATCTGAATCTGATTCTAATGATAAATTTTCCTTCAAAATAGATTCAAGGTTCCCAAGAAAAGTGTTCAACATCGATACAAAAGTTAAATGTATAAAATTTGCTTCAATCTCACATGAAAAATTCACTATGAAAGACTATGTGGCTATTCTTACAGAGAATATGTTAACAGTTATTAAAATAGATAATGTACAATTAAGTCGAAAAATTGGAAAATTCGACTGTTCACTCTGGCTAACTTTGCCATTAAGCAGTTTTAGTGATTTTCCATTTGCAGATATTAGTTTTAACCCATGGAAAGATGGGCAATGTGCGTTGATCGATATAAAGGGAAATTGGTTCATTTATGATATACCCGTTGTACAATCAGATAGACTTCGTTGTAACCTAAGTGGAGACATGAATATTATACCGAAATATAAAGGGACGATATTTGATCCAACAGATTTATTGTCATTTAAGAGAATAGTATGGTCATCGGTTGAATCAAGGTTATTACTTGTCACATCATCAAAGATAGTAGAAATTGACATAAAAGAAAAGTGGGAAAGAGAAATTATAGAGGCCGTCTCATGGTCTGAAATAAGAGAATTTAAAAATATGGCATTCAATTTAAGTATATTATTGACATCTAAAGAAGTTATCATAGTTGACAAAAATTACAATGACAGTGTTGTAAGGAGGGTAATTTCCTGGAAACATGATTTGAATCCAGATGACAAGACTTATAAATTCTCTTTACATTACATTAAATTTAATGATGCTACTTTTATCTTTGTAGCAATATATTCTAAAATTGAAAATATAATATATGGGCACTCTTTTCTTTATCAAGGTAAGAATATTTGGTCCATTGGAGAAGACACAATTGTTAATATTCCTGAAATATTTAAAGGTATCAAAACGATATGTGATACACATCAAACTTTTAACGGAAATTTTAGCATTGGTAATCTGAAGATAAATTTAATATTAAGGGGAGTTGACTCTCAAACAATTTATAAATATCTTTTAGATGTAAAAGGTACAGATAACATTGGAGATATAGGAGATTTTTATAGAAGTAAGAATAATAGTGAGTTGTATGGCAAATTGCTTAAACCTTATAAAAAAGTCTCTGAAGTCACTTTATCATTACTTAATAGTATTACATATGAGCCGCCAGAAGGATATGATAAATCAAAGGATGATGAAGTTTTAGAAAAATATGGGTACTCATTGTCAAAATCCTTGAACAAACTGCTAAAAAGTATGGCATTTGGCAACTATTCAGAATTACTAACATCAATAGATAAGCCTTTAGGATATTTCGAAAATTTAACAGAATATGCATCATTATTAGATCAATTCATCCACCATTATAAAGATCAAAGGATATCCTTTAATGATCTTAGTATACTATTTACTGTATTATTAGCTGAACCCATTCATGATATTGATATATTTCATAGTAAGATTTTGCAATGTTGGGAACCTGTCACATCAAGTGCTGAACATTTAACAAGAGAAATAGTAAAAAGTTTAGTTACAGGTTTTGTTAGATATTTGAAATTAGATGTCTATGATGAAATGTATCAAAATTTAGAAGAGTCTTTGGATGAGGATCACAAATCTATATTTAATTCTTGGGGAGATGAAAATGATGATTATATGGATGATATGGCTAAGATGTCTACTGGTTTTATGAGCAGTCAGTCACATATATTCACTAAAGATTCACAACCAATGATTCCAGTTGTGAGTTTTTCACAAAAAAAGAAGTCTAAAAGATCTGGTGCATCGATATGGAAGGTTAGTAAAACTACAAATATTTCCGGTCTTTCTCATAATAGGGAACATTCTTCGACATCTTTCAACAGTTCTCAGGTTTCTAGTTCTCTTCCTAACAATATGACGCCTGCATTTTCTTTGACTCAACAGCCTCCAATATTGTCACAAGGTTTCATAACACCCAATGCATCACAAGAGACATATTCTCAAAAACAGAAAAAAAGAAAGAAGAAAGTGGGTGGTTTTAATTGATTACCATAATATTTTTTTTAGTTATAGATATTATTATTATCTCATATTCAAGCATTTATAGATACTCTGCATTTTTTATTTTATTCATTATATATTAAACTTATTACTATTGCATAAATTATCTTTTGTAAAATTAATATAAGTATTAAATATTTTTCTCATCTAACTCATATCTTTTTTTTACATACTTGTCTGTATCAAAAAAAATCAAGTATATAACATTTACAATAACTATGCTTGAGCTCATTATATAAAAGGGAATGCTGTATCTAAATATTATGTGTACTTATTTAAAAATTCTAACATGAAAATTAAATTACCAAAAAAAGTATGTAATGACGTAAAGAATGAATTAAAAATCGTGCATCTGTACATATATTTTTAAAGATAGAATAAACATTGGATTCTAAAAGATTAGAAAGGTATAATAAAGTGATTTAAAAAGGAACTAGAGCATCAAAAAAGAATATTTTGTATCTTCAACTGAGTTATGCTATATATGTAATGCTATATTTTTGTAAGATACAAGTATATTTTGTATTACCAAATGATCATCTCATTAAAATTTGGAAGAATAAAAGAAGTATTTATATTTAATATTATCATATTTATTGTTTTTTCTCCAATATTCTATAGAAATTTAACAAAAAATCAGAGTTATTTAGATTGTAGAATTCTTATCAGAATGACTTAATTAATTTAATTAATAGGTTACGTTTTCTATTTTTTTTAATGAAAATTTATGTAGATTATTCATATTAAATAATTTTTGAAGATATTGATAGATAAGCAGAAAAAATCTCTTTACTTAGTTGTCTACAGGTGGTGTTACCAAGAAAAAAGATTATAAAGGTATTTGGGAACCAAAAAGATGTTAGAAAGGATGTAACATGTAGTACCTAGTTGACATTAGTCTATCTTCATTTTTAAAGTTAAGCTAAAGACATAGGGTAATTGTATATTTAGTTTCCTTCTAAGTAAATTGATATTAATGTTGTTTCTAAAAAACTGTTTTTAGAAGCTTTTAGCTGGAAAGTTTATAAGCTTTATATCAGATGATATTGTATTAATTCTAAAAAGAAAAAGAGAAAGCCCTGTAGGGGGCTCGAACCCCTAACCTTATGATTAAGAGTCATACGCGCTACCGATTGCGCCAACAAGGCCTCACTCATCGAAAACTGCTGTAGAATAGGATTGTTATAACCATCAAGATTATATAAGATACTGAATAAATCTAGAACTATTTATTGTCTTAATAAGCCATACACGTGCTACAACATTAGATGCTGCATAATAAAGAGATTAGATTACATAAGATTTTGGCAAATCTAGAATTTACCTATTGTTTTAATAAGTCCCACGTGTATTACTAATCACCATGATTAGAGAATTGGGGTGCAGTTCTAATCCACTAGTGCACCTAAATTAATGTAATAAATTTTAGGGTGAATCAGTCAAGTCATTAATGTACTAATCTGAATAATCGATCGAGCTCCAGAAAACATATAAAAGGACAACGTTTTCTGGAGATAAAAGACCATCTTCCATAACCATTTCTTGTAAATAATTTATATATTATATATGAACAAAAATAGAACAACAAGCAAGTAACAAGTCAAGTAACTTCGAATAAATATATTAGCTCGATATAAGCCGTTCAATTAATAAGACTGTTTTAGTAATTATATTATCGACTATAGTTGATTACTGTCTCAATTATTTGAATAACTATTGTTGGAAAATGAGAGTTTATTACTGTCATTTTCATAAGAATTATTTTTAATTAGTTTTTCTATATATTATGTGGTGTACGGATGTACATAATATCAGGAAAACATTTTAATTGTCACCAAATATGTCTTTCGAAGATTTGAAAAGAAATGAAAAACTTTAAAAGAAAACTTAAAGTAAATAAAAGAATGTATACTGAATACACTATATAATAAATATGTACAGGTATTTAATACAAAAACATAACAAGTATCTATAACTTAATGATGTCTATCATTACCATGGACGCAGAAGGCTCCAAATTCCAACATGGTAGCGTCGCCGTTGTTGATGATAACGATACTGGGAACGATAAAATCATCAATGATCAAATCAATGACTTGAAAAAAGAAATTGTACAAGTCATATCTAATACAGATTTGACTGTAAGTGAAAAGACAAAGAAAACTAAAGAGTTAGGGGAATTGATTGAGGCCCTACAAAAGATTTTAAAAATTGGAAAAGACATGGACAATGTTCACATAGAAAAAAATATAGATGTTGAACAAAAGATAGATCTTATTCCAAAGAATCAAGAAATAAATAATTATAAAGGTTACATACTTTTATCAAAGAAAGATGAATATGGTTTTTATTATACTTTTAAAAATTTAGATGGCAATATTATTAAATATTACTATGAAAATGATAACTATAAATTTAACAAGAAATTATCTAAAATTGAGGAAATTCCAATCTGGTTCAGATCATTATCCAGATATCTAAAATCATGGAACTTTGATGATGTTACACAATTGACAGGTAAAATAGAAATAGATAAAAATGAAGAGGAAATAATTAGAAACATTGTTATTAATTCTATGACTGATGATATGGAAAATTTTGACTTGGATGAAAAATCAGGTATTGAAGCTATTTTGTTTATTAAACAGCTACTAGGTGAAGAATTCCCTAGAAGAGTTAAGGACAGAATGTGGAAAGAACTGATTGTTGATGAGTTCTGTACTGAACCAGAAAGGATTACCAAGGAATTTATGTACATGGTGAACTTAGAGAAATGGAGCCATGTAAAAGATGATTTCTATAGAATAAATGATAACTTTTTAAAAACAAAAATTGAAGAATCATTAACAAAAAACGTAAAACAAGAAATGATTAACAATTTTTTAACCGGTAAATTAAAAGGTGACTTAAGGCAATTGAATGTTGAACAATATATAAAAGCAATTCGGGATTCAATTAGATTGATGAATATAGAATACTGTGAATCAAAAAATTTAACCCGTATTGAAAAAAGAAGATGTATTAACTGTAATTCGTGTTTACATTATGCCAAAAATTGTAGAAAAATCAATAATAACAATACTTACTTGAAAGGAATAAATTATAATAAGAAAGAAGACAAGGAAGAGAAGAAGTTACTTAGGCCTGGTGAAATCAATGAATCAGAACACTAGATCAATAAAAGAAAAGGTAAATGAACTGAATACCATCAAGAAAGAAATGAAGAACATGAATACTAACATAGATTCCAGAGAAAAGAATATGAAAATCGAAAAGAACAAAAAACAACAGACTCGAAAAGAATCAAACATTAAAGATATACATAATAAGTACAATATAAAGATAAAAAAAACATACTCAAAAAATAAAACTAATGACAAAGTAGTTATTGATACAGCTGCTGGTATACATTTGGTACACAATAAAGACTGGTTATTAAACTTTTCATCATTGATAAAAGGACCAGAATATTGGGGTGTAGGGGATGATAGAAACCCAATAGAAATACTTGGAGAAGGGATACTACCAATTAAAGGAGGTAGAAATAAAATAATTGGTGTTACAGCATACTATTCTCCAAAACAAGATGCAACAATTTTGTCTGCAGACAAACTATATCAAGAAACTGGCATTACCTTAGACAAAGGGTATGAATCGCTAGTGAACAAAGAAAATGAGTTTGATACGAAAACCTTAAAATTAGGAAACACCATATGGGTCGATACAGATAAAATTATAGCTGTCAAGATGACTGATAAGATAATTAGAGCAGTTAAACCTATTAATCCATTAGCGATAAAACCTAATATCACACTTTTAGAAGCTCACTTACGTTTAAATCATTTTCCAGCCAGTGGAATAATAAAATCAATAGAAATGAACAATTTTGATGATGTGAAAATGATAAATGATAAAAAAATTCTAAAAATATATGGTGTGAGATATGCGCTTCAGGTAAATTACATCGACACTTTCATTATACTGGTTCTATGAATCACTACACTTCACAAAAGGAACCAGGTGCTTCTTGGAGCTTGGATATATTTGGTCCTGTTGAGCATGTTAAAGAAAGATATTTACTCATAATGGTGGATAGTGTATCGAGATTTATTATTGCAACAACCCATATCAAGAAAAATAAAAATGAAATAGGAGAACAAATTGGATACAATATAAATTGGATTGAAAAACAATTCGATGTAAAAGTTAAAGAGTTAATCATGGATAGGGGTAAAGAGTTTGACAATCACGTAGTTGAAGAATTAGCTCACGAAAACGGTATTAATATTATATATACTTCTACTGAAGATCACCAAGCTAATGGAAGAGCTGAAAGAGGTATAAGAACAATTATTGAGGACACAAGAACATTATTGCTACAATCAAGACTTCCCTTAAGGTTTTGGACATATGCAGCTAAAGCTTCAGTGAATGTGAGAAACTGCGTATATAACAAAAATGTTGGAGAATCACCATTAATGAAAATATCAAAACATAAAGTGAAAATTAAATTAAGATCATTCATACCATTTGGTGCCCCAGCTATGATATGGGATTACAGAAGCAGAAAAACAGAAGCACCAGGAAAAAGGGCTATAACACTATCCAAGGATCCAAAAGGTTTTGGATATTATTTTTATGTACCAAAAGAAAAAAGAGTGATAAGTACCACAAATTATATATTACCAGATTATACAATAAATCACAGTTTAAATGAGAAGAAAGGATATGATATTATTGGTACATTTTTACATGAGGTCAAAAACAAAATTGGAGATATAAATGACATTGATTATGACGAGAATGAAATAGTAACATTGTTACCATCAGATTTTGAAAATGAACATGATAATCTGGTAGATGTTTTACACGAAGATGAAATAAGAGTTAAAGAACATTTACTAAATGACATCCAAGAAGAAATTAACGATGTAACGCCAATTATTGAACCTAGAAGCATAGAAAATATTAAATTAGATGAATTG